AAGAAGCAACCACCTCACTTGATGTGTGTCTTAGTCTGTTCCAGCTGCTATAACCAAATATCGTATTGGGAGGCTGGGTTGGGTGAATCACTTGAGGCCAGGAGGTTGAGACCAGCCTGAGCGACAAAGTGAGACCCTGTCTCCACCTGTAGAGCAGCTGTAGTCCCAGCGCATCTGTAGTCCCAGCTACTCAGAAGGCTGAGGTGGGGAGGATCGCTTGAGCCCAGGAGTTCAAGGTGACAGTGAGCTCTGATTGTGCCACTGCAGTCTGGCCTGGGTGACAGCAAGACCTTGTCTCTAAAAAAAAAACAAAAACAAACTGCCATAGGCTGAGTGTCTTATAAACAACAGAAATTTATTTCTCCAGTTCTAGAGGTGGGAAGTCCAAGATCAACGTAGTGGCAGATTTGGTGTGTGGTGAAGGCTGCTTCCTGCTTCATAGATGGTGCCTTCTAGCTGTGTCCTCACATGGAGGAAGGGGCAAGGCAGCTCTCTGGGGTCTCTTTCATAAGGGCACTAATCCTGTTAGACGGATGGAGCTTGCATGACCTATCACCTCCCAAAGTCCTCACCTCCTAATACCATCATATTGGGGATTAGGTTTCAACCTATGCCTTTTTTGGGAGGAAACGATCATTCAGACCATAGCAATGTGTCTGGCAGGCATGTGGGTGGGTCTGCACTGGTGAAGAGCTTAGCAATCTTCTGGTCCAGCCTATGAATTGGACAAATGAGGAAACTGAGGCCCCCAAAAAGCAGAAGTGATGTAGCCAAGTCTCTAACACGATTTCAGCTCATTCACTTTGATCCTAAGCACACCCCTCCCTTCCTTAGGGTCATGCCCCAAAGCACCACTGGATGAGTCATCGACTGTTGCGTAACCAATGACTTCAAAATACCGTGACTTTTAAGAACAAACAATAAACATCTCACAGTCTCTGTAGGTGGCTGGGTGGTTCTGGCTTGGGGTTTGTCATGAGATTGCATCACAATGTTGGGGGGTTGTGTCATCTGAAGGCTTAGCTGGGGCTGGAGAGTGCTTTTCCATGATGGCTGGCTCACAGGGCTGGCAAACCTGTGCCTGCTGTTGGCAGGAGGCCTCGGTTCCTCTCCATGTGGGCCTCCCCAGAGAGCTGCTGGAGTGTCCTGTGACCTGGCTGGGTTTTCCCAGAGAACAAGAAGGGAGCTACAGTGTCTTTTATGATCTAGTGTCGGAGGTTATCGATTACCACTTCCATCATATGTGGTTCTTCAGAAGTGAGTTACTGAGTCCTGCCCACATTCAAGAGGAGGAGAATGAGCCTCCGTCTTTTGAAGGGAGGAATGTCAAAGAATTTGTGGATGCCTTTTAACCACCACGACCTCCCACTTACACACAACAGTCATACCAAACCGCATGAGATTCCCCCAGCCTGCCTCATTCCTTCCCGTCTCTGGGCTTCTGTACATGCTGTTACCACTGCTTGGAATGCCCTTTCCTCATTTTTCATTTCTGTCTGGGATGCATCAACTCTGTAAGATCCGGTCAGAGATCACCTCTCCTCCCTCCGGCGGACTTGCTCACTCACTTCTCTGCACTCTCCCGTCTCTTTGGCAGTACTGCTCCTCCAGCCGTTGTTGAAAGCTGGCATGTACACCCCATGAAAGCAAGTCTTTGGGGGTCCCCAGCAGACCATCAGCTCTCAGTACACATTTCTGGAGTGAAGGATTGAAGGTCCACTCACTGGTTTCCCATCTGTGCCCTCTTCTGGGCGTGAGTGCTCTAGGGTAGACCACGCACGTGTGGTTAGCTCTGCATCTGCAAGCCCAGCCTGTCACTGGTGCCTGCAGGCACTCCATCAAGGCGGGTTTGGTTTCATGTTGGGCTCCTATGTCAGCCCAGGCTCCTGGTTACTGAGGAACTCGCGTGACCATGAACTCCAGTGTGGGCAGTCTGTTGTTTCCTGTGTGGCCTGCACAGCCCTGCTCTAAATCCAGTAATTTCCCTGCCAGCCCACTCTGCTCAGTGGCAGCACCCCACTTAGGAAGATGGAGAGAACAAGCCCACAAGTCTACAGACCAGGAGAACCATCAAGCCATTAGGGCAGGCACCACCAGGGTAGCAATTTCTTGTATGAAGCAGAGACACTAAGAAGAGGATGCGGCAGCCAAGGAGCTCTCTAGGCAAGGAAGAGATGATAACAAGGATTAGGCAGGCAAAGACTGAAATGTGTCTCTCAAGACACATGGGGCTGGGGGAGTTGCTGCATAAAGACAGGCAGCAGGGAGCAGGCCACTGGGGACCCTCTGGGGAGCAGCTTCTAAATGGGTGGAATTTGGGGAATGTCTCCAGGAATACTGACAGACTACACAGGGGAGCTGGAGATATGGCACAAGTAACCAAGATCGAAGACCAAAGATGCCATGTGGAGAGCAGGAAGGGAAGATGGGGCCAGGCAAGTGCGGGAGGAGGAAGCTTCCCCTGCAGGAAGGGGAGATGCCTCAGGGATGGCAGGTGGGATGGCTCGGGAGGAGGGACAGCTGTGTCTATGCTGCAGGCTTGAATCATCTCCCTTCCAGGAGAGAGAGCAAGAACGAGGGGCGCTGATGGTGCCAAGGCCCCTTCAGACACAGCTACTTGGCTGCTTTTCTGAAGGCTGTAGGGGGACAGGACAGGAGGGGCTGGGTTTGAGGGAGGGAGTGCACAGATGTTGGTGCCCACTTTGTGGGGACTGGCAGGCAATTGTTTTGCCAGGCTTTCATTTTTCCCATCTTGTACATGAGGAAACTGGGCTCGGGAGGGAAAGGGTGCCTTGCAGATGCACAGCCAGGAAGGGGAGGGCCAGGACTCAAACCCCAGGCTCCTCCCTCCAGCTGCAAGTCCCCAGCCCAGAGAAGGGGAGGTAGCTGGGGACCGAGCTCCCTCCAGGACAGGGTGCCTCTCCAGTTCCATCATTCATTCATTCATTCATTCATTCATTCATTCATTCATTCATTCAACGAATGCTTGCCGAGTGGCTGATGTGGGCCAGGCACTGTCCTAGGTGCTGGGATGCAGCAGCAGCCGGTCCAGTGCCCTCTAGCTCAGCTGCCTGCTACCTTTCTGACTCAGGGCTCTGTGCACACCGCTAGGTTTCTCAACAGGGAAACCCAGACAGGGCAGCGGTGGCCTTGACAGTTCAAGGGGCAGTGTGCGGCGGGGTAGGGGGCTGTGGACTGCGTTCTCGGACCCTGTGTGGTGGGGGCTGAAAGGAAGGGCACTGTCAAAACCCACAGGCCTGGCCCAGGAGAAGGAGGTGGGGCTGTGGAACGGCCCGGCACTGGGGCCTACATCAGGACGGTCCGCCTCTGGTGGTTCACCTTCAGGACCCGGGTGTGTCCGGGGCAAGGCTCTGGGGCAGGGAGCCTGGGTCCAACCCAGGTCAGTTATTTCACATCTTGGAGCTCAGTTTCCTCCTCTGCGAAATGGGCGCAATGGCAGTTCCTACCCCCAGGGCTGCTGTACAAGCTGGGACTCTGGGACCTGAATGCCTGGGTTGAAATTCTGGAGCCACCACCCACCAGCTGGATTACCTTGAAGAAGTTGCTTAGCTTCTCTGAGCCTCGCTTTTCTCCTTTGTATAATGGGGATGGTGATCGTATCCACGCCATGCTCCTGGGAAGTACTCAGGGCAGTGCCGGCCTGGGGGGAGTGTGGCTGTGAGTAGGAAAAGCTGACCTGGAAAGGGGCGTTTGCACACGTCTGTGGATGCCAGGGAGGCTGCTGAGAGGGAAGAGAGGCAGGTGGACAGGTGTCAGAGGCCCGGTCCTGCCAGGGAGTGGAGGAAGGGCCCCAAAGCCGGCCTGGCAGTCACTGAGGCTGAGGATTTGCAGTCCCGACAGCGTCCCCTCCCTCATATCAGGGCATTCATGGGGAGTTGTGAAGTCCTCAGTGATCCCAGCCCCACTGCGTTCTCCTGACTCCCTGTGACCCAGGCTCTCGGAGGTGCCCTGCTGCCTGCAGTCCCCAAGAGCACCGGGTTTGGAGTCAGGCCCTGCCTGGAGTTAAAGACCTGACTGGGCCACTGGCTGGCTGGGTCGTGGAGCCAATTTTGTCCTTACTGAGTCAGCTTGCTCAGCATAAGATACAGAGCGTAAGCCCCAGGCACAGCCGCCACAGATGGCCCAGGGTGCCGTCCCTCCCAGCCTGGTGCCAGACAGTGGTCATCAATCCCCCTCCAGAAGCACTTCTGTTGTGTGCCCCTTTGCAGCCCTGCACGATGCTATGGGGGGCTGAACTGGCCTCTGTGGGTCCGGTGGGCTGACTTCTGTGGGCATTAGGCTGTTCTCGTATTACTATAAAGAAGTGCTGAGACTGGGTAATTTATAAGAAAAGAGATCGACTTGGCTCACGTTCCGCAGGCTGTGCAGGAAGCAAAGGCATCTACTTCTGGGGAGGCCTCAGGGAGCTTTTTCTTCTGGTGGAAGCCGGAGGCGGAAGCAGGCACTTCACGTAGGGGAATCGAGAGGGAGAATGGAGGAGGAGGCTCCATACCCTTCAACAACCAGAGCTCCCGGAACTCACTCGCCATCGAGAAGTCAGCACCAAACCAGGAGGGATCAACCCCCATGACTGGATCACCTCCCACCAGGCCCCACCTCCAGCACTGGGGATTACCATTCAACATGAGATTTGGGTGGGGGCAAATATCCAAACTACATCAGGTGGGGTCTGGCAGGGCTGGTCATAGCTGCCCCAGGCTTCTCCTTCCAGCTGCAAGCCCCCAGCCCGAGAAGGGGAGGCTGGGGACTGAGCTCCCTCCAGGACATGGTGTGTCTCTCCAGTTTCATCATTCATTCATTCAACAAATGCTTGCTGAGTGGCCTCTGTGGGCCAGGCGCTGTCCTAGGTGCTGGGGTGCAGCAGTGGCCGGTTCAGTGCCCTCCAGCCCACCTGCCCTGCTTCCCTGAGTCATCACAGCACTCTGCAGGAACCTCTTTTCTGACCGCTGTTTTCTCTCCCTCTGGCTTTATCCTCCCAGGGACTTGAGTGAGAACGCCATCCAGGCAATCCCCAGGAAGGCTTTTCGGGGAGCTACAGACCTCAAAAATTTGTGAGTACAGGCCTGGGAGGGAGAAGGGTGCAGGAGCTCCAGGGCCACTCCTGGCAGTGTCCTCAGGGTATACCCGAGTGAGCCGTGTAGTCCAGGCAGCCAGGGAGCTGACCTGGGCTCTCAGAGGATTGGTGCCAGCACGGTCTTCTGGAATAATCTGGGGTTGGAGGAAACAGGCAGCCCTTGCCTCTCCCTTGGTTGTGATTCCATGTGAGAGCCAATGGAGGGGGCCCTTGGGGACTTGGTGAAGCATGTTATCAGTGTGGGCAATGTTCTCAGTCCATTTTGATGGCACAGTGTCTGTGCTCGCCTCATATTTGGGCTGGGAGAGCTGGGTTTGAATCTTCTCTTCTGGTTACATGTCACATACGCTGCTGCAAGTCAGTGAACATCACTGAGCCTCGATATGTTGTTCTGGAAAATGGGGATAATAAGATCTACTTCACAGGCATTTTCTGAGGTTTAAATGAGACATGGAAATAAATATACTTTGTCAAATGATATTTAATTGTAATGGCTTATTATTATTACTATTCAAATTTATTCTGGTCCAGGCTTACCACATCCCTGAGGTCTGACCACAGCAGGGATGGCAAATGCCTGGCATGCTTGTCACACACACCCCCTCCCACGCCTGTGGCAGACATTGATAATCAATCACCACATTCTTTCCCACAGAGCTCACCTCACAGCTTCAGTTTACTCTGACAACAGCACTCCAGGTAGTCACCTCTAGTCAACCTCTTTGGCACTCAGGCTGAAAAATCTGTTTGCCAGTTCTGGCTGCCACTGCTTTGGGACTCTCCCATTTTTCAGTTGCCAGCACCCACTAGGTGGTCTCCAAAATGTGTGTGTGTGTAGGGGGGTGCCTGGTCCCCAAGGGAAATGTAAGGTTGAGTAGAAGAATATAACTTTTACTTATATTTATGATTTTAATTGAAAATTAGAAAAAAAAATTAAGTTTTTACTAACGTTTACTATTTGGATTGACACATATACACGTAACAAACAACTAGAGGAGTGCTTCTTTTGAATGAATGCAGCACGTGGTCACAATGTTTGGACACCCTTACTCTAGGCAATGTGCCCTTCTCTCTACAACCTTCGTTTCCTTCACAGACAGCTGGACAAGAACCAGATCAACTGCATTGAGGAAGGGGCCTTCCGTGCTCTGCGGGGGCTGGAGGTGCTGTAAGTAAAGCATGGGCAAGGAAGGAGGGGTGTGGAGGGCCCTGCTCTGCGGGTGCCAAGTGCCACAGCCTGGGCAGCGGGTGTCAGGGAGACAGGAAGGGGGAAACCTGCCCTCCTAGAAGCGCTCAGAGGAGGGGAGGACAAGCACTCATGGGGTCATGCCTGCAGCAAGCAGTGTGTCCCAATGTAACCTGCTCAGGATGAAACCCAAGGGTTTCTGGCACTTGGCCTGGAATGCTTCCCCCTTTCCCCCCGCCTATCCAAACCCCACCCTTTCTTCCAAGCCAACCCAAGTCTGGGACATGTCCCATCACCCACCCTGCTCCATGTCTCCATCCTACCAGCCTTGGAGTCTATGGTGCCATCGGCTCACAGTCACCGTCCCAGCTCAGGGCTTTCCTGTGGGGTGGGATATGCCTCATGCTCTTTGGCTTAGCCCCTCCATGTCCAGCCCCGTGCTGGTCCACTTTAAGGTCGAGACCTTCCCCGTTCATTAGCAGGGCGGCCCTGTCCCACATCATCTGTTGGGCAGGTGCTAAATGACTCTGGTTTTTCCCATTTAGGACCCTGAACAACAACAATATCACCACCATCCCCGTGTCCAGCTTCAACCACATGCCCAAGTTACGGACCTTGTGAGTCAGCTGGGGCAGCAGGGAGCAGGGCATCCAAGCCCAGCTGATGCTGGGGGTGGGTGGGGCAGGAGGCGAAGCTTCTGCAGACAGGTTATGGAGCTCATTCTCCCTCAGACCCCCAGAGGCCAGCCCAGGCTGGGGGCTCCATGCAGTCGGAGGTGGAAGGAGTTATATAATTGCAGGGCATCCAGTGCCACTTAATTTGATTTTTCTTTGGAAAACAAATGATTTGTTTTTGTGCTTGAAAATGAGCCAGGCGGTTTGGGGCAGTGAGCCTGTGCGAGGTCAGTGCGATGACCTGGGCTTTGCTGGGCACAGCTGTGCCCAGAGCATGTGGGAGGGGAGGGACAGCAGCAGGATCTCCATGGGGCTGTGGATAATCCCCGGGTTGGAGTTGAGCTGCCTACTTGACTAAATGTAGACTGTGTTTGGCTTGAACATAGCACCAGGGGCAGCCACCTGCCTGAGGTTGGGGGTTCCCACAATCTGGCTGGGCTGGGGGCTCCAAATAGGTTGTGAGCCATCCTGTCCTCTTGCAGCCGCCTGCACTCCAACCACCTGTTTTGCGACTGCCACCTGGCCTGGCTCTCACAGTGGCTGAGGCAGCGGCCAACCATCGGGCTGTTCACCCAGTGCTCGGGCCCAGCCAGCCTGCGTGGTCTCAATGTGGCAGAGGTCCAGAAGAGTGAGTTCAGCTGCTCAGGTGGGTGCAGGCCCCTGCTGGGCTCTCAACTGTCCAGTGCCTCCTGCCCTGCCTCTTGTTCCCGCCCCTAATCTCGACATTAATACCTGGCCTGCCCATCACCTCCTGACCCGGCCCATCACCTGGCCCCACCCATCACCTCCTGACCCCACTGTCTGCCCCTCCTGGCCCATCTATCACCTCCCATTCTCACCATGGCCTTTGTCTCTGCGTGTCACTTCTTGCCTCCTCTCCTTTTCCCTCCTGTCCCCTCACTGCCTCATCCACTCACCACCTCCTTTGTTCCACCTCATCCTCTTTTTGGCCTACTCAGTGCCTCCTCTAATGTCCTCTGGGCTCCTTGCCCCTGCTATCACCCCCTTCTCCCTCCTCCGATCGCCTCACCTCTGCTGCCTAGACAAGTCATTGAATTGGGCCCTCTAAACTTGGCTCCAAAAGAGGTGGGCCTCAAAGCCCACGCCCTTTCACCTTCCCTCTGGGGTTCTGTGATAGCTGGTTGCCCACGTCCTCCCTGGCCCCTTTGATGTCCATACTGCAACCAGAAGACCAAAAAGAACCCACAAGTCTGGGCGGTGACTGCTCGTGTACTCACCTGGCCGTCAGCACTGTGTCGAGAGTCTGAACTGCCCTCAGGCTCTGCAAGCCTGGCCAGGGTCAGCGCCGCCTCCCCTGCCTCCCGCTGCCTGCAGCTTCCCCAGCTGTGCCTGCCTCTGCCCCTTCCTGGTGCAGGTGCCCCCAGCCCTGACCTCACAGGCTGCTCCCCTGCTGGGCACACCCTTCCCTCCTTGTTGCCTGCCGACTCCTCCTCACCCTGCAGGGCCCAGGGAGCCTTCTGTGATCCTACATGAGGTCCCGCATTGTGTTTCTGGCACATCCTCAGCACTTTGCTTGGCACAGGAAATGCTTGCTGAATGAATGGACAGTTCTCAGATTTGTGACAGAGGATTTAGAGGCTGACTGTTTCTCCCAAACCTGTGGACTGGGCCTGCCAGCCACACAGAGCTCTGAAGGAAAGCATCTCCTAGGCACAGCCTCCCCTCCTCAGTATGAGGCTCTTGGCTGTGGCTGTCACCTCCTCCACTGCACTGGCAGACACCCAGAGCAATGGCTGGGCTTGAACACCAATGCTCAGCACTGCTGTGTGTGTGTGCGTGCAGATGTGTGTATGCGTGTGTGTGTGCCTGTGTGTGAAAACGTGTGTGTGTACATGTGGGTATGTCTCATGTGTGAGCCAGGACTGCCTCTGCATCATTGCAGCTGCCACAGTTTTTAGGAATGGGAATCGGTAAATCACTTGGACAATTTTTATTTTGAAATGAAACCTTTTCCTTTGCATTTGGAAGATTGTGGTTTCTATGGACAATTTTTATTTTGAAATGAAACCTTTTCCTTTGCATTTGGAAGACTGTGGTTTCTATTTTCAGACGTTAGTTTCTCCTCTGGAGTCTGATCGGCCTGGCAACCCTTTTCCTTTGAAGGCCACTGTCACAATATGCCAGGAATCCATGTAGCTTTGTCTCATTTGGTTCTGGTGCCCATCCTTTGGGGCAGCCATGGAAAATATTCGAAGTTAGAATGTTGGTGGGGGTATCAATTGGCTCAACCACTCTGCAGGACTGTGTAGCAGGATCCACTAAGGCTCAACGTCTGTCCACCCTGTGACCTGCCACTCCTGCTAGGTGTGTGCATTTTTTTCTGCAAAAATGTCCAAAAATGTTAAAGACAGCTTTTTCCATAATAGCCCCAAATTGGAGACAACCTGAATGTCCACCAACTAATTATGACACATCCATATAATGGAATACTACTCAGCAATGAAAAAGAACAAACTACTGATACACACAGCAACATGGTGAATCTCAAAGATTGCATATTAAGCAAAAAAAGCCAGACACAAGAGAAACTACTGTTTCATTTATGTGAAGTTCATAAACGAGCAGAACAAATCTTTCGTGATAGATCTCAGAATAGTGGTTACTTTAGGAAAGGGGCAGGAGGGATCTTCTTGGGTAATGGAAATGTTCTATGTCTAGGTAGTGGTTCCACCAACTACATGCTTCAGAAAGAGCACTTTGTATAAATTGTACCTCCAGTTTTTCAAAGGCTCTTATTTTAGACACTGAGCTGGATCCTGGTTTTACCACTTATTAGCTGTGAGAATTTCTACAAATTAATTAATATCGAGGACTCTGTTTTCTCAGCTGTAGAATGGCAACAGTAATAGGCTCCTCTTAAGTTTAAGTGCAATACTGCATGTACTACACTTATTATAGAATGTGGCATAGAGTAAGTGCTTGAGTGTTTAGGAAACAGTCATTATCACCTTCATATGACAGATGAGGGGACTCAGGCTCAGAAGTGTTAAGTGACTTGGACTAGAATCCAGAGCTTCAGAATTCTGGGCAAGGATTTCTTCGTGTATGAATCACACACCAGTGCAGTTCAGTTCAGATTCAAGTTCAGCAAACATCTGATAAGAACTACTGTGTGCCAGGTGCCCACAGAGTTATACCAAAGTCCAGAATCTTATTTCATTAGTGATCCCCCTGGTTCATCCTCATCCAGAGAAACTGCAGTGTGCACCGTGTCCCATCCATCAGTCTGTATCTGGGCTCAAGGGAGGTGCTGATGCACGACAGCCTGAGGCCACACCCCCCTGTTTCTGCAGGCCAGGGGGAAGCGGGGCGCGTGCCCACCTGCACCCTGTCCTCCGGCTCCTGCCCGGCCATGTGCACCTGCAGCAATGGCATCGTGGACTGTCGTGGCAAAGGTCTCACTGCCATCCCGGCCAACCTGCCGGAGACCATGACGGAGATGTGAGTACAGGGCAGGGCAGATGCTGGGGCGCAGCCGCTCGGCTGGCCTGGCTCCGAAGGGCCAGTGAAGAGCTGGAGTAGGCGCTGCCTCAGGGCTTGCCCCAAGGCCCCTCAGTGACCATGGAGAATACACAGGTTGCCCCTGCTGGGCTGAGCTTTGTGTCCAGGACTGGGAAACTCTGCAGGGCTGGGGAGGGAGTGTCCGTCTGTGGTCCCACCCAGCGGTGTGAGTCTGCTAGAATCGGGTTCTCAGCATCATTTGTGGGCCCCTTTCAGTTACAAACGCCTGGGATAATGGAACTCAAGTCAGCATTCTCTCTGTCTGTTCCAGTGTCCTTACCCCAGACTTCAACTTCTGGAAGGGGGAAGGGAACAGGGGCAGGAGGGGCCAAAGGCTTGTTCAGGGTGGATGAGTCCAGCAGATAACACCCACGGCTGGGCTGACCTAGGCCCTTGCGCTTCCCCTCTGTTTTCTCTCCGCAGACGCCTGGAGCTCAATGGCATCAAGTCCATCCCCCCTGGAGCCTTCTCACCCTACAGAAAGCTACGGAGGATGTGAGTGCCTCCCGCTGCTTCCTGGGGAGCTGGTACAAGGCTGATGGAGATCCTGGGTGGCCCCACAGCCCTGGGGCAGGCCCTAACTCAGCATCCCGCAGCTGAGTGGCCCTGAGCCAGTCACCTGGCATTCCTGCCCTTCAGGCTGCTTGGCTGTGATGCAGGGACCTCCTTGCAGGGCTATCATGAGGCCTGAAGGGAGTGCTGAGCCTGAGCCTGGCCTGTGACGGGAGCTGCTTGTCATCCTCCCATTTCAGCTTGGGTACCAATAGGAGCAATTAAGGATGGGAGGGGCCAGGAGATTGCTAGGATGCATGGGAAAGCTTTGTCCATAACTTCCCAAGTTGGAGTGCCCCCTCCTGCCCAGCCCTCAGACTGCACAGGGAAATAGCGGCCATGGGCTTTTCAAATGGAGGAAAGATCTGGCCTCTCACTATTGTCATTTCAAAGCACTCCGCCCTGCTTCTGTGGCATCTAGGAGGTGGAGGAGACTGGGCAGGGCTCAGTGGCCATTGAGGGATTCAGATGCCCCTCTCCTCTGCTCACTTTGCAGAGACCTGAGCAACAATCAGATTGCTGAGATTGCGCCCGACGCCTTCCAGGGCCTCCGCTCCCTGAACTCACTGTGAGTAGCAGTGCCAAGGCTTCCTCAGCGGCCCAGGCCATCCCCTGAGGAGGCTGGCAGGGCCCAGGGCCCTGGTGGACGCAGAAGGAGGAGCAGGACTATGCCCCCCTCCACACAGTCCCTGCCCACCCCAGCCTCAGTGGGTCATCCTTTGGCTGCAAAGGGTTTGCTGTTCCAGCTCCCTCTTCCTCACTGGTGGACCCTCTGATGCTGGGCGCGGGAGAAGTGTGGAGAAGCTAGGCAGAGCTGTTGCCCCTGGCAACTGGGATGCACTCCCTGCCACGGTGAGGATTTTCCCAGCATTCTTTGCACAACCATCTTGGCCCTGTCCCCCCACCAAAGCCCAGTGTACTCTGCTCCTGAGGCCTCTGCAGTCACCGCAGGGCCAGTGAGCACCAGCTCCAGTTATAACATCTGCCACACCTTGCTATCTTTTATCCCAAATGTGATGAATCCCAAGATGTGGTGGGTGCTGCTTGGACAGTATTTGCCGGCTCCTCCTTCCAGTATTTCCCTTCCTTCGGGCTCTACTGGGGAAGTCTGTCAATAGAGCATACAAAAGGTAGTGAAGCACCCCCATCTCCCACTCACCAAGTGTCTCACTCCCCGAGGTCCTACAGCACTTTGTCTGTACGGAGAGCACACTCAGGGTGCCCTGGAGTTGGGCGAGTTCCCTGTAGGAGGGGCCATTTGTTACTCTAGGGGATGAGTGTTTTCACCTGCTCCTTGGCAGCCCAGGACACGTGCTTGGCATAGACTAGAGGCCTGGCAAGTACAACAGAATGGAACTCCCCCGGGGAGTGTGGGAGCCTGCCAGCTCAGTGCCTTCTGTGCATGCCATCTTTTCTTGGAGCAGAGTCCAAGTAGAGGCTGGGGCTAATTGTGAATGGCACCCCTGAAGTTGTGCAGTATACACCCTACACAGCTGTGCATGACAGCCTGGTGAGGGATCGCTGTCATTGGCTGAGGAGACCAGATTCTGAAAGTGGCCTGCCAAAATGCAGGCCCCTTCCTCTGAGAAGTGAATAAAGCTCTCCTAAGTTGGAACATGGCAGTCTAAAAAGGTAAAAAGTGAAGAACCCAATCAAGTGGTTTTCTGTTGTTCATGGGTACCTGGTCACAGCCTCCTCCCTGCATATAGCAACGTGGATGATTCCAGTACACCCCACCAACACTGTCTATCTCGGCCAGCCCTGATCTTGCCTCCCTGCTTCAGTTCCTGCCCCCTCTGCTCCATTTCCCACCCAGCAGCTTGAGGGGTGTTTCTGAAATGGGAATCTGATGCTGTCTCAATGGCTTCCTGATGCTGGTTGGGTAAAGCCCAAGCTACCGCCCCATTTGTTTCCTCCATTCCAGCCACATTGGCCCTGTCACCTGTCCACACAGGACAGGCGCACACAGCTCCCCTGCAGGGCCTTTGCTGTTGCTGTGCCCCACTCCAGGAATGATCTCGAAGCCACGTTTGAAGAAGAAGTACCCAGGATTTTTTACTCAGCTTGAACATTTATGAGGGTAGCTTGTGGGGTCCGATTATGATATTGGGAATGGCATACAACCCCCCTCCCCAAACCTCCTGGATGCTTTCACTGTCCCCCCGAACCCACCCATGTCTACATGTGGTTTTTTTGAACTTTTGTTTTTTATAAAAATCTATACATGGAATTCATGCTCAATGCAGAAAACTTTGAAAATGCTAAAGTATATTAAAAAAATGCTTGAAGTCCCACCATCCGGATCTCACACTGCATGTGCCGTCTGGCATTCTATTTTTTCCTGTAACTCTCTGAAAATATGTTAGTTATTCTTGCCCATGGGGTTTTCTCTTCTCTCAACAATCTCCTTTTGGATTCTAGACCAGATGAATTTCCCAGGAAGCACCCCTTTGCAGCCTTCTGTGGGGTCCACGTGTGAGGGTGGTGGACAAGTTGCTATAACAAATATACACCATTAGGATGTGCTTCATGTAAATGGCTTAGGGGCAGCACTGTTGAGCTGGGGCCATCTGCAGAGCTGTGTTATCGCCCTGGTGGGCTGTCCTCTATAACTCTCCTCTCTGCTGCCTTTTCTCCAGGGTCCTCTATGGAAACAAGATCACAGACCTCCCCCGCGGTGTGTTTGGAGGCTTATACACCCTACAGCTCCTGTAAGAATGAATCCTGGGTGTCTTGGGTGGGACCCAGGGAAGGGCCAGCATTCCTCTGGCCTGCTAGACTGTCCCTTTCAGCCTCTTTGGGGTATGGAACTCAATTGAGACAGTGAGCTTGGAAGACAGGCAGACCCACTAGGGCTGAGAAAGTCTCCAGGGCTCTGCAGAGGCTAGAGAGGGAGGTGGAGGCAGCTTCACAGCTGCTCACAGGATGCCAAAGCAGAGAGGCTCCTGAGACAGCCCATGCTCCTGAGGAGCTCGGTGTGGCTGGAGACAGAGCTTTCTCCTCCAGGGGGACACCCAGGCCAGCTCGGCCTCCTTGAACCGTGAACTTTCAGGCAAGGATTTTCTCCCAGGGCTCAAGAGGCACAGAACACAAACGTTCCAACTCAGCTGTCTGGGGAACCCAATGGACCTCTGGGAAGGAGGAGGAGCCGCCCCTCCAACCAAAATGCCTTTGCAAGGTGGCTCTCTGCTTTCCCAGAATCCCACAGGGCATCTGAGCAGTTCTCGGAAAGAGAGAAGAGTGGGTTGACCGAGATGTCCCTGTGCATGGAGAAGGCCTGCTCCTGTGGGCTCCTCCCTGTAATAACGCAGGCCGGGGCCAAAGAAGGTGCCCAGGACGTGAGATGGGTCTCATGTCAAGCCTCTCTCCTCACCACTTGGTCCTGGCTCTGCCCACAGGCTCCTGAATGCCAACAAGATCAACTGCATCCGGCCCGATGCCTTCCAGGACCTGCAGAACCTCTCGCTGCTCTCCCTGTATGACAACAAGATCCAGAGCCTCGCCAAGGGCACTTTCACCTCCCTGCGGGCCATCCAGACTCTGTGAGCGCCCTGATGCCTTCTTCTTCTCCCCTCCCAGCAGGCGGGCCTGGGGAAGGTTGCAGCCTCCACCGACAGGCAGTGGTCTGGCTCTGGGCTGCTGGGCTCACTGGGGGTGGCCTCTTACAGAGGAAGGACACAGACCTGGGTTAGACCATCCTGGGTTCAAAGTCCACCTAGGCCTCTTATTGGCTGTGTGACTCTGGGCAGTTTCTCTGGGCCTCATTTTTATTTATCCGTAAGATGGGGACGCCTTCCCATAGGGTTGTTATGAGATTAAAGAGGATGTTTGTACGAAGCTTAGCTCATTACAAGTGCTTGATAAATGCTGGCTTTAGCTAACAATAATATTGATGGTGATGATGATGATAATATATCACATTGATTCTAAGACACATGTTGTTTCCACATTAACAGCTCTGAAACTGGGATGCATGTTATAATCAGTGGTACATCACTTAGTTGGCAGCATTTTGTTTTTTATTGATAGTACAAAAAATAGTAGTGCCTCTTACAATTCATAATGTCAAATCAGATGAAATACAGTAATGACAATGGTGACTGTGAATAAAAAATTAGAGAGCAGTAAATCTGGTAATTGGTTGTAATATTTTATTGTGGAAAATTATAAGCAGATTAAGAGTAATACAGTGGACCAGGCATGGTGGCTCATGCCTGTAATCCCAATACTCTGGGAGGCCAAGGCAGGAGGATTGTGCAGGAGTTCAATACCAGCTTGGGTAACATGGCTGGGCACCCCATCTCCACAAGAACTTTTTTTAAAAAAGTAGCCAGGTGTGATGGCACACACCTGTAGTCCCAGCTACCTGAGAGGCTAAAGTAGGATGATTGCTTGAGCCTAGCAGGTTCAGGCTGCAGTGAGCTGTGGTCACACCCCCTGCACTCCCACCTGGGCAACAGAGAGACCTTGTTTCAAAAAAAAAAAAAAAAGAGTACTATTTTTCATCACCCAGCTTCCAATGCTGTACAATTAATTCCTTAATATCATTGAGTATCTAATTAGTGTTCAAATTTCCAAGTGTCTCTTGCATGTTATGCAATTCTTTTGTTTGTTTGTTTTTGTTGTTTGCTTTTTGAGCCAGAGTCTCGCTCTGTCACCTAGGCTGCAGTGCAATGGCACAATCTCAGCTCACTGCAACCTCCACCTCCCGGATTCAAGTGATTCTCCTGCCTCAGCCTCCAAAGTAGCAGGGATTACAGGTGCCCGCCACCACGCCCAGCTAATTTTTTGTATCTTTAATAGAGATGGAGTTTCACCTGTTGGCCAGGCTGGTCTCAAACTCCTGACCTCATGATCCACCCGCCTCGGCCTCCCGAAGAGCTGGGATTACAGATGTTAGCCACCACATCAGGATTTAAATAAAGCCTGTGCAATATAATTGGCTGATGTTGGTTTATGTTGGTTGATGTACCTCTTAAGTTGCTTTTAATCTATGTGTCCTCTTCATTTTCCTTTTCCTTGTAATTCATTTGTTGAAGACACTGCATCATTGGTTCTGTAGGGTCTACACTTTTTTGATTGCATCCCTGTGGTGTAGTTTCACATGTTCCTCTGTCCCCTCTGTGTCCTGCAGATTTAAAATTGGATCTAGGAGCTTGGTCAGGTTCAGTTTTGATTGATTTATTTGGCAAGATGACTTTATAGATGGGATTGTGGACTTCCCATCAGGAGGCAGACAGATGTCTGGCTGTCTCCCTTTTGTAATAAAAACAGCCATTGATCTCAGTGCTTGAATCCATTAATTCATTAGCAATCCTGAAATGGTGATTTTGAATTTGTATCAGTCTGTTTTTGTGTTACTATAAAGGAATACCAGAGACTAGGTAATTTATAAAGAAAAGAGGTTTACTTAGCTGACAGTTCTGTGGTGGGGGGGGGGTGTACACATATGGCACCAACATCTGCTTGGCTTCTGGTAAGGCCTCAGGAAGCTTACCATCATGGCGGAAGGTGAAGCAAGGGTAGGCATGTCACATGACAAGAGAAGGAGCAAGAGAAGGAGAGGGAGTGCCATGCTCTTTTAAATAACCAGATCTTGCTTAAACTCAGAGTAAGAACTTACTCATTATCACGAGGGCAGCACCAAGCCAGTCACGAGGGATCCACTGTCATGCCTAACCTCGCTTTGCCTTCTCCCATGATTGTAAGCTTCCTGAGGCCTCACCAGAAGCCGAGTGGATGTTGGTGCCATACTCGTCCAGCCCACAGAACTGTCAGCCCAGTAAACCTCTTTTCTTTATAAATTACCTAGTCTCAGGTATTCCTTTATAGAAACACAAAAGTAGACTGATACAAATTCAACTGAACACTGAACACTGATCCGAATACCTCCCATCAGGCCCCACCTCCAACACTGGGGATTACATGAGATTTGGTGGGGATGAACATCCAAACCATATCAGAATTCTAACATTCTTTTTTCATTTCTAATGCAGTTGTGACTATGCTTTAAAACAGAATCCTTATATTTAACTGGAATGTTTCCACGTAAGGAAAATTCTCATCTGCTGTGTGGTTACACTTAGGCACATAAATGGTCCTCTCATTCTACATCTTTAATTCTGAGCCTACAGTAAGACGGGATGTGCTGACTTGTGGGTCCTGTAGTGTGCATTTAATGAGCATTAATTATTAATATTACTATGTCCGTTGTTGTCACTGTCATCCCTGCCCCTGTCTGTGCCAGGCAGTGCTCAATCATCAGATAACATCTACTTGGGGTATTGGGATAGGTTCCAAACAGGCTGAGTAAAAGGTACAGCTCGGGACCCCTGGGGACTCTGCACATCACCAGAGATGTCAGCCACAAAGACAAACTCATTAAAGCCCACAAATTCGCCTGCAGCCCAACTCCTGCTAATTAATTTACTTATAGCCAGGGAGATGAAGAGGAAGCCCCATGGGGAAACTTTGCCAAGTATGTGAAATTAGAGGGTACAGGGAGACACTAGCAAGGTGGACTATTTGAAGCAGCTGGCAGAATGTCTGAAAGAAACATGCTAAGGAGATTTACTGGCCAGGGACCCACACACAGGAAAACCTTGGGGATGGGGAATGGAGTGAGAGACTCATGTGAGCCATTGTTATTTGCATGTATTATCTTAATACTTAGAGATGCTATGAAGATAGGTGCTATCATCCTGATTTTACCTAAAACAAAGACTGAGGGAGGTTATGTGACACACCCAATGTTGCAGAACATTCGGTAAAACAGGAATTTGATCTCAGGCATCTCTTCACCATCACCGAGAAATTACTTAGCTTCCCCTTTAATTGTGCTTTTTCTGTAAGAACAGAACTCATTATTGAAGGCTGTAAAGCAACACCGAACTTTCATGCACATCTATTAGATGTTAACGACTACAATTTGGAACAAGAATAAAAGAAATATAAATCCAAGGTACTAATCAAGTAATATTATTAGAACCTCAAGTGGTTCAGCTTCTTGACTGAGTCTTATTTTATTAAACCTGAGCAGATTTAAATTTACCAAATCATGTTTGATTTGTCCGTAGCTCCAAGATCTGTGGCCGAGTTCCTGTGTAACACTATTGATTTTGCTGCAGTTTTACTTGCCCCAAGAGATTTAACATTAAAAAAAAAAAAAGAAATAGCCCTATTGAGGTATAACTTACATACTAAAATTCACCTGTTCTAAGTACACAATTCAATGATTTTTAGTAAATTTCCAGAGTTCAACTATCACTATGATTCAACTTTAGAACATTTCCATCACCTTGCCTTCAAAATCCCTTGTCCCCATTTCCAGACTCAGCCACTGGCCATCACTGATCTATTTTCTTTCTCTGTAGATTGCCTTTTCTGGACATTTCATAAAAATGGAATCGTGCAGTCCAGGTGCAGTGGCTCACACCTGTAATCCCAGTGCTTTGGGAGGCTGAGGTGGGCAGATCACCTGAGGCCAGGGCAACATAGTGAAATCCCCATCTCTACACAAAATTCTTAAAAATTAGCCAGGTGTGGTGGTTCATGCCTGTGGTCCCAAGTACTCAAGAGGCTGAGATGGGAGGATTCCTTGAGCCCAGAAGTTCCAGGATGCAGTGAGCTGATTGTACTACTGCACTTAGGCTGAGTGACAGCCTGAGACCCTGACTCCAAAAAAAAAAAAAGGAATCATACAATATGTCATCTTTTGTGACTGACTTCTTTCTTTAGCATAATGTTTTTGAGGCTCATTCATATTGTAGCATGTATCAGTACTTTGTTCCTTTTGATTACCAAATAATTTTTCCATTGTGTAAATAGACCACAATTTGCTTGTCCATTCCAGGTGATGGACATTTGGGGCGGTTTCCACCTTAGGGACATTATGAACAATGCTGCTATGAATATTCACTCACAAATCTTTGTGTGAACCAACATTTTCATTTCTTTTTTGTTTTTTTTTGAGATGGAATTTCGCTCTGTCGCCCAGGCTGGAGTGCAGTGGAGCAATCTCAGCTCACTGCATCCTCCACCTCCTGGGTTAAAGCAATTCTCTGCCTCAGCCTCCTGAGTAGCTGGGATTACAGGCGCTCGCCACCACACCTGGCTAATTTTTTTTTGCGTTTTTAGTAGAGACAGGGTTTTACCATCTTGTCCAGGCTGATCTTGAACTCCTGACCTCATGATCCACCTGCCTCAGCCTCCCAAAGTGCTGGGATTACAGGCATGAGCCACCGCATCTGGCCAACATTTTCATTTCTTTTGGAATTTCTGGTTCATATGGTAAATTCCTGTATAACTTTTTAAAAGAAATTGCCAGTGTTTTCCAAAGTGGCTGTACCATTTTGCATTCCCACCAGTGGTGTATTATGAGGGCTCCAAATTTCTCTCATTCTCATCCTCACCAACACTTGGTATTGTCTTTTTTTTTTTTTTTTTTGCATGTTGATTCTAGCCATCCTAGTGGGTATGAAGTAGTATCTCATTGTGGTTTTAATTTGCATTTCCCTAATGACTAATGATTTTGAGCCTCTGCCTCCAAAGATTTTTAGCTGTGACTCCTTAATGCATATATCTAGAAAGACACTGAGAATTAGTCCTCTCTTCCTTTCCTTCCGCTGCCAGAACTGTTCACAGAGGCAGCTGCATGGCCACATATGCAGCACATTTTTGGGTGTTCCTTTAACACAGTTATTTTTTCCCAAATGGATTTTTTTTCTTCCTCCTGAGTGTTTTCCCTTTCCAGCTTCCTGCCCTTTGAAACTGTTAAAAATTCTAATTTGTATAAAATACTAAAGTTTACATAGAAGCCACCTGTCTCTGTGGGTGGTTCAAGTTTTATAGGTTGTTTTTGGCACAGCCTGTTTCTAGGAAGGAGATATTCTACGCCACACACCTTGAGTATTTTAATACATGCCTAAACAACACAATTAGATTGACTTTGCACAATTTTCTGCCAAGATGGTAATAAAGGGAAGCAAGTGGTTCAGGCAGGGGCTGGGGCACTAAGTCACAGGCAGATGTGGATGGGCAGGTGGGGAGGAGTCATAAGCAGTCCTTAAATCCTGGTATGTTTTAAATTAGCTACAAACTCTGCCTCCAGGATATCAGCAAACACACCCTGTCTGTGGAAACTGAAAGTTTAATAGGGGAAATAAATGTTGAGCTTGATGCAGAAGAGGTAGGAGGGGCCTGGTCCACCTGGTGGAGCTGAGAGGAGCAAAACCTCAGGCGGGAAATAGGGAAGGACACTGCAAAGGAGAGGTAGCGGGGACCCAGTTCCCAACCGGGGGCTGGAGGGCAGAGCCCAGGAGGTGATGGATGGCAGAGAGCACCGCCAAGGTCTGAGCCGAGCTGGGCACAGACCCTGGGCAAGGGTTTACTCTTCTGCTTGGAGAGTTCTGCAGCCCCTTGCAGGGGCCTGGGCTGAGACCAGTAAGTCAGATGGCCTGAACTGATGGCACTTAGATGGAGGAAAAGTGGCATGGCAGGGCAAGTCCCTTTGAGTTGGCCCGCTGCTCTGTCTCCCCGTACTTCGTTTTCTTTTTCTTTCTTTCTTTTTTTTTTTTAAATTTGAGACGGAGTTTTGCTCTTGTTGCCCACGCTGGAGCGCAGTGGCGCAATCTCAGCTCACGGCAACCTCTGCCTCCCAGGTTCAAGCGATTGTGCAGAGCCAGGACAGGTGTAGGAATGCTCTTCTCAGGCTGCCTCTGTTTGGACAGCCATGAGCAGGGCATGCCCACTCAGAAGTGGCTGGTCTGAACCCACTGTTTGTCGGAGCCCGCCCGTGGGCATCTGCCAGCATGGGGTTGCACACATCACGGCCATCTGCTCCCTGCTACCATCCCCAGGTTTATCCTGCTGACAACACAGGCAGCCTGCGAGAGAATCGGAGTGATTCCCCAGGAAGGGGCTGCTCAGTCATGGTTTCTGAGTTTTCTTTGTGTTGAGAGACAGCTGTAAAATGGTCAAGGAGAGGTCACTCCTGTGGTCTGGGGTGGGGATGGTGACTCCCTGTAAAGCCCAGGGACTCCAGCAGGCCTTGCCACTCTGGCCCCAGCACTCCCTATAGGAGACAGGCTGCTACCTGAGTCTGAAGGAAAGGGGACAAACCAGGGCTCATGGCCACTGGGGAGGGTCAGAGGCTGTGGCCTGGGCACCTGCAGTCCTGGGTTTTGTTACCTTCTCTGGGCCTTGGCTTCCTTGCCTGTGAAAGGCCAGGGGTGCTCTGGCCAGTCTCTGGGTCCTTCCTGTCTCCGCTCATGCTTGTGAAATGTCGCAGAGCAGAGGGAGGGAAAGGTGAGTGTAAAGAGAGGGGGCAGGATGAGGCTTGATGGGGAGTAGGACAGGGACAGCAGGAAGCTCCGGGTGGCAGAGACTGTTCCCCTGTAGTGCGCTGGCAGGACCGCTCCAGAGCTGATGGGCTGCACCCTGGGGGTTCACCCCACTCTCCCTTTCCCGCTGTGGCCAACCCTAGGCTCCAGGCCACAGGCAGCCTCCTTGGCCCCAGCCACAACAAGGCCCTGTCCAGGTGGAGGTCAGCGTGGGTTTGCAGCCCTTGTTTCTCATCGCTGATCTGCCTGCTTTGGACAGGCACCTGGCCCAGAACCCTTTCATTTGTGACTGTAACCTCAAGTGGCTGGCAGACTTCCTGCGCACCAATCCCATCGAGACAAGTGGGGCCCGTTGTGCCAGTCCCCGGCGCCTCTCCAACAAACGCATCGGGCAGATCAAGAGCAAGAAGTTCCGGTGCTCAGGTACCTGCCTGCCTGCCCACCTGCCCACCTGCCTCCTGTCCACCTGCATACCTGCCCGCCTGCCCACCTGTTCACCTACCTGCCTCCCTACCAGCCTGCCTGCCTACCTGTCTGCTTGTCTGTCTGTCTTCAGCCTGCTCAGGGACCCCCTGATGTTTCCTGGATGGCTCCCACAAAGGTGTCTTTCATTACTGTGAATCCAGGCTGTAGGGTGTGGGCCCAAAATTCTAGACTTGATCTGAGTGGTAGTTCAGTCCCACCTCATTTTACTGAGGCCTAGGGAAGACGCAAGGCTTGCTGAAGGTCCCAGAGGGAGGACTCAGGTTCCTCCACTTTCAGCCAGTTCTCTCTTATGCCTTTGTTATCAAGTCTTTTAAGACACTCAGGAGGCCTGGGAACCCTCCTTGGTGAGATAGGAGCCTCTTCCAGGCTTTGGGATGCAGAAACAGCCTTAGCAATTGTAGTCCACATGGCATCTGGCTGGGGACAGTGTGGGGCAGCTTCTGAGCCTAGATCCTGGTCAAGGACCTGACGCCACCTGTACCCCATCCCCACCTGTAAAGTTAGCACAGTCCCCACCGTGTGCCAGTGCAAGTGAGAGCTCGATAGTTTTGGCACTCCTTGCAAGAGGTTTAATTGGATGCGACACCCCCAGCGTCAGCCTGGGCAAGGAACACGCGTGCTCTGTAGCTCACTCTTCTGCACACGGGGACTGGGCAGATGGGCCCCTCAGCCCTGTCTGGGGTGCCTTCAGCTGAGCAGTGGGGCTGGGGCCTGGGCTGTTACTGCAGGTCCTGGCTGATTCCTGCATTGTGGTATTTCTGCTTCTCTCCCCAGCCAAAGAGCAGTACTTCATTCCAGGTAAGAGAGTGGGGGGAACCAAGGCCAGCCTGGTGGGAATGGTGGCAGTGGGTGGGCAGGCTGGGGGCCTTGGTTGGCACAGACTGCTGGGAGCCTGCCCTGGGCCCCTCAGCCCCTGCCCCCACCCTCTCATGGCAGGCACAGAGGATTACCAGCTGAACAGCGAGTGCAACAGTGACGTGATCTGTCCCCACAAGTGCCGCTGTGAGGCCAGCGTGGTGGAGTGCTCCAGCCTGAAGCTCACCAAAATCCCTGAGCGCATCCCCCAGTCCACGGCTGAACTGTGAGGGTCCCCGCCCCCACCAGCCCTCCCCTGTCTCTTTCTACCACTAACCCTCCTTGGCCTACTCCAGGATTTTCTTGGTCCAGCCCTGTCTGGGGCTGAACCACTGGAGCCTTTGGCTCAGGACATGCCAGCTGCTGGCTTGGGCAGGAAGAAACCCCATCCCGGCTGCCCTCTGCTTCATTTACAGCCCCCCTCACCCCTCAAAAGCAGATGCCAGTCTCTGGCACTCAGGGCAGGTCACCAGCCTGAATCAGGGATGGCTTTTCTCAACGATGCGTTTGTCTTCTTCCGGGGGCATGATTCCAAAACCCTTTGTTATTTTTATTCCTCTATCTAAAAATATGAATTTGTGTACACATATGTCTATGTGCATAGATGCCTGCAAGCATCTGTCATTTACGGCTATAAATTTTTCGTGGCATTTTTAATGTTAAAAATATCCCCATTCATATCCTCTCCCAGTACTAGGCCCAGCCTTCCTTTCAATAGGATCAGTTTACTTTGCCAGATACATTCTTCCGGGAGTCTTCTCTGTTTGAGTCCCAAATATTCTCAGTTTGGAAGGGATTTGAAATGTCTATCATTTGTGAACGTGCAAGTTCATTCTTGCCTCTTACAGGCGATTGAATAACAATGAGATTTCCATCCTGGAGGCCACTGGGATGTTTAAAAAACTTACACATCTGAAGAAAATGTGAGTTACCCGTTGGTGAGGCGTCTGTTGGGATGCTGGCCGGGGATGGAGAAGGGAAATGCCAGGGTGGGGGCAGCTCCCATTGTGGGGGCCAGGGCTCTGTGCATGGGGGTGTTGCCTGCAGGAAGGGAGGGGCCTGAGCTCCTGGGTGCTGGCCATGTGTAATCCTCCCCCCACCTCTTCTCCCAGCAACCTGAGCAACAATAAGGTGTCAGAAATTGAAGATGGGGCCTTCGAGGGCGCAGCCTCTGTGAGTGAGCTGCACCTGACTGCCAACCAGCTGGAGTCCATCCGGAGCGGCATGTTCCGGGGTCTGGATGGCTTGAGGACCCTGTGAGTGTGCAGGGCTGGGAAGCAGGGTGGGCCAGCTGCAGGAGGTAGGTGAAGCCAAGGGAAAGGAAGAGAGAGGCTGGAATGGCCCCTCCCCTGGGCCCAGCTCTCAGGCAGATGGGGAGAACTGAGGACCCTGACTGTGTTGGGACAGGTAATCAAGTGTTGGTGACTCTCTGGTGAGGCCTGTTCTCTTGCACCCTGGGGCATGGGGCCGATGCCTGGTTGACATCAAGGGATGGAGACATGTGGGCCCTCCTAGAGGTCCCTTCCCATTGCCCTCTGGTCAGGCTGCAAGAGCACAGCATGAGTTCAGGAGTGGCTGGCACTACTGCAGGCAGGAGGGGCTGGATGACCTTGCCAGGGTGACTTAGTGGGTGTAGATGGGGGAGCAGCGATGTTGCACTGTCCTTGAGATGCTGGGATCCCATAACCCCCAGCCCAGCCTGAGCTGACCAAAATCTGGAGCTCAGTGGGATCCTGGGGTCACCCACTCCTCCATGATGCAGGACACCCCCTCCATCTGCCCCAGCAGAGCTGGCTCTTCAGATGATCCTGTGGATGTGCAGTGCGTCCCATAGACAGGGCAGTCCATCGGATCTCCCACAGAGATGGAAATGTTTCATGTCTACGCTGTCCAGACCAGCCACCTCATGTGGCTGTGGAGCAGTTGAAATGTGGCTAGTGCTACTGAGGCACGGAATTTTGAATTTCATTTTATTTTAATGCATTTAAATCTAAATAGCTACATGTGGCTAGTGGCTACCATGTTGGACACCACAGCTCTAGGAAGCCACTTGCCTGGGTATAAATCCCAAATCTGCAGCAGGATGTAGATTTGTCTCTGAGCACGTGTCATGGAAATTTTAGAAGTAGACGAATGTGTGACGGGACTCCCTGTGGATTTTTGTTCCTTTATTTTACAAAAAGCAAATTTTATTATGCACTATGTTTTGCAGCTTGCTGTTTTCACCTGTGAATATAGCTTTGCCATCTTTCCAGGCTGTTCCTACAGGCTGCCTCATTTTTCTCTAAGCTTACCTAGTATTCCTTAAATGTGGGCATGGGGGCTGTCTAGTCAGCTGCATTCTTTCCAGGGAAGATAGGACAGAGGAGAAGAGAAGGGCCCATACTCCATCACTATCCAGAAATGGCCACTGTTAATTATTGGTATAAACAACTGTCTTTCCAGTCTTTTACATGTCTCTAAACCTGCATATGCATACATGTGCACACACACACATACGTACGTGCATACATGCATGCATACAGAAATATTCTAATGGAATAGTACATTTTATTTAGTAACCTGCTTTTTCCTTAAACTTAATATGAGCACTATTACATATTAAAATTTTTTTCCATTCCACATTTAATTCCTAATACAAAAGAAGTATTCTGCATCAATTTGAATGACTAGGTATTATATAATTATTGGCAAAGTAGGCTGTTTCTATTTTGTTTTTTATAAGCAGTGTTGTATTGATACCTGCCTTAGTGAGTTCAGGCTGCTATAATAAATTGCCACAGATGGGAGTTTTATAGACAACAGAAGTTCTAGAGGCTGGAAGTCTGAGACCAGGATGCCAGCATGGACGGGTTCTGGTGAGGGCCCCCTTCTGCGTTGCAGACTTCTGACTTCTCATTGTGTCCTCACATGGTAGAAAGAGGGCAAGAGAGCTCTCTGGGATCTCCTTGATAAGGGCACTAACTCCGTTCATGAGGGTTCCACCCTTATGACCTCATCACCTCCCAAAGACCCCCCATCCTAATCCCATCACATTAGGGATTAGGACTTCAACATAGGGATTGGAGGGGAAACACATTCATTCTGTGACAATATCTTTATTGTGAAATTCATGGATAATGCATGATGATACTCTTGTTAGGAATTCCTGAAGATGGAGTAGTCCGGTGAAAACATGAAGTGTTTTAGGGATTTTGATGCATCTCACCAAATGCACTTCCAGGGGGGTACAAAGGCATCTCCTGCCAGTGCGTGGAAGTGCCCAGTCACTCAGACTGTCACAGATCCTGAACGTCATTATTATTATTATTATATTTTTCATTCTTTTTCAATTTGGCAGGCAAAAAATCAATATTGCTTAAATGTCTTTGATTAGTAGTAACATTGAACATTTTTGTGAATGTTAGTAAACCATTTTAATTTCTTTTGTGAGTTGGCTATTCTGTGTTGGCTTGGTTTTTGTTTTTACTTTTGGTTGGGGAGTGAAATTGAGCTGGGTTTTTGTTGTTATTGTTGTTGTTGTTTAGGGAGACAGGGTCTCACTCTGTTTCCCAGGCAGCTGGGGTGCCGTCGTGCCATCATAACTTACTGTAACCTTGAACTCCTGGGCTCAAGAGATCCTCCCGCCTCAACCTCCCAAGCAGCTGGGACTACAAGTGCACACCACCATGCCTGGCTAAGTTTTACATTTTTTTGTAGAGAGAAGGTCTCACTATATTGCCCAGGCTGGTCTCAAACTCCTGGTTTCAAGTAATCCTTGGCCTCCCAAAGTGCTGGTTTTACAGGCATGAGCCACTGCATCAGGCTTGGGCTGGGTTTTTGAAGATGAGCAGCAGTTTTCCCAGATGTAGATGAGGAAAAAGAGTATTCCAGAAAACTGTCACAGCGGTGTAGCAGGCTGAGGGCTGGTCCATCTCTGGGGAGGCAGGCAGGTGCCAGGGCTGAGATGGTCTGGGTCTGGGTGGACGTGGTCTCAGATCAGAGTAAGGGGCTGAGATGGTCCGGGTCTGGGTGGACGTGGTCTCAGGTCAGAGTAAGGAGTTTCAGCATGACTCTGTGGGCAGTTTGGAGGCTGTTAGTGGACTTGAAGCTGGAGAGTGATATGATGGATTAGGTTTTAGGAAGTCTCCTGGGCACTGATATGGAGCGTGGCCTAAAGACAGGCAGGAACTCTGGTCACCCAGGGCGTGGAGGTGAGGCCAGCATGGGGGCCGGGACAATGGCAGCGAGAGAGGGAGACAGAGCCTCGAGGCTTCTCAGAGGCAGGGTGGGTGTCTGGAGTGGGCACAGGTGTGTAGAACTCGCCTCACCTGACCGGGGCCTGACTGGCGCGGGTTCCTGGCTCTGCGGCTCGGGGTCTGTGGAGGAGAGCTGTGAACCAGCCACGGTGGCTGAAGCTGCGTGGCCCAGGTGGACGGCTGGCAGGCCTGCAAGGGCCCCCTTCCCCTCCCCCGCTCCTCCCCAGGATGCTACGGAACAACCGCATCAGCTGCATCCACAACGACAGCTTCACGGGCCTGCGCAACGTCCGGCTCCTCTCGCTCTACGACAACCAGATCACCACCGTGTCCCCAGGGGCCTTCGACACCCTCCAGTCCCTCTCCACACTGTGAGTCCGGCCTCCAGGACAGGCGGGCGGGGGCTCTGGAAGCAACTGTCCCAAGGGTGTGGTCCTCTCAGGCAGCCCCTTTGAAAGCGCTCACCCCGGGGGTGCTGGGTCTTCGTGGTTTGCTGAAACGTGGGTTCCACATTTCGAGGTCTCCCTCCGGTCCTGAGAGCCGGTCCTCTTGGTGACGGGTGGTGGTCTGGGAGACAGGGCCGTGTGGCCGTGTGGCCGTGGTGGACAAGAGGGGTTTGCTGGGACCGCTGAGAGGGGCAGAGTGTCTCCATGGCCGCCTGGCCTGCCTCTTCCAGGAACCTCCTGGCCAACCCTTTCAACTGCAACTGCCAGCTGGCCTGGCTGGGAGGCTGGCTGCGGAAGCGCAAGATCGTGACGGGGAACCCGCGATGCCAGAACCCTGACTTCTTGCGGCAGATTCCCCTGCAGGACGTGGCCTTCCCTGACTTCAGGTGTGAGGAAGGTAATTCGTGGCCCCCCGGTGGCGAGGGAGAGGGAGCCCTGGGTCCAACCAGTGGGGTGGGGCAGGTTAGGAAGATGGGGTGGACAGGCAGCACCCCCTGGCATGCCCTTGAGGGGAGAGGTTTGGTGGGGAGGGGAGGCCCTGTTTTCAGGAGAGGCGAGGAGACGCCCTGCCTGGTGGTGTCTTTGTGTGGTTATAAGAGCAGTAAAGTTCCTATCCTTAAAAAATGGGAAAATACGGATAAAAGAAGGAAATAAACTTTACCTCTTAACCTATCGCTCAGAGAAAACAGTTCCTGTTTTAGTGTAGTTTCTTTCTGTAATTTTGGTGAACTCAGACCTGCCTTTTGACTGTCCCTAAGTGCTCTAGACTCATGGGATCACCTTATCTTAATATGCAATGGAACCCTTTCAAATCCCCCTCCCCTGTATGTAGGAAACCCTAGTCACTCTGCTCCAATGCCCTGTTTCCTGGGACTTCTCAGGGTAGCCCCATCCCTCATTTTTTCCCCATGGCACCAAGCACAGAAGGTCGCTGTAGGAAGCAGATTTTTCTCAGTGCAGCCATCCTGTCCTTAGCGTCTCTCAGCACCCTGCCGCAGGGAATTTCTCCCTGGCTGACCTCAGCTTCCAGCCCCCTGCTCCGCTTCTGGGTGCTAAGTTGCCTCCCTTCTCCCGGGTCTCTCCCTTTCTTGCCCTTTACCCCCCGCCCCCAATAGCCTACTCCGGTGGCAGCTCCACCCTCAGCTGGCCCGGCCAGGCACGTGGCAGTGGGGAGCTTTGACTTTCACCCCAAGAAACACCATCAGGGTATTTTTCTAAACAAAAGTAATGAATTTTCTAAGAATACTTTTGCTTCCAACTTCTAAAATTAAAAAAAGACTACTATTTACATACATCTTTTATTAAGTCATACAATAATAGCTTGCAAGTCTTTTTACAAAATTCTGATTTGTTTAAAACCTAACTATGTGTTTGGGGCATTTTCTCATGCCATTAACTATCCTTTGGAAGCATTATTTTTTCCTTTTATACAGTTTTATACAGATACAGTTTTTTTATACAGATACAGTTTCCTTTTATCATTCTTATTACAAAAGAAATGCATCCTCATTCCTGAAAAACAACCACCACCAAGGACAACCAGAAGGAGGATTAACAAAAGTTACTGACAGGCCAGGTTCGGAGGCTCATGCCTGTAATTCCAGCACTTTGGGAGGCTGAGGCGGGCAGATCCCTGAGGTCAGGAGTTCAAGACCAGCTTGGCCAACATGATGAAACCCTCTCTCTACTAAAAATACAAAAATTAGCCAGGCATGGTGGCGCATGCCTGTAGTCCCAGCTACTTGGGAGGCTGAGGCAGGAGAATCTTTAGAATTCGGGAGGTGGAGGCTGCAGTGAGCTGAGACTGCACCGTTGCACTCCAGCCTGGGCAACAGAATGAGAATCTGTTTCAAAAAAAAAAAAAAAAAATTACTGATGTGCCCACTAACCCCCCAGCCCCCATGCCCCAACTCTGGATAACTCCTGTCGACATTTGCTATGTGGCTTTCCAGATCTTTGCTGTGTGCTCACGTGCACGAGTGTGGCACACAAAGGATCTTGCAGGGCCACCTGTGAAAACCGCTATCTGGAAGGCACCACAATTGATGTAAGCAGCCGCTGCTGCTGGGCATTCAGACAACCTCCCCCGTCCCACTCCAATGCATCGTGCTGCCAGGAGCACCCTTCTAGATGCTCCCTACATATATATTCCACTCCCCACTAGAACAGCTTCCTAGAGGTGAAAGGATGTGAGTATTTCTAAGATGTTGCTGCTGAGAACCTGGTGGCCAATGGAGCAGGTTCTGGAGGCAGGCTGCTTGCTCCAGACTGGGGCAAGTTTCTGAATCACTCTGCCCTTAGTTTCCTCATTGCTCCAATGGGCTGATAGTAACATATTCACTAGAGAGCTGTTCTGAGGACTCAGTGACTTCACCCTTATCATGTGGGGCCTGCATAACTGATGGTCACTGTCACCGGGGAGCATGTGCTACCAGCATCCCAGTGTCCTCAAGAACTCTGACCGTGGTGATATTATCATCTCTCGGACACCCAGTCAGCAGAAAGGAAGGCACAGATTTATTGAATGGATGAATGAATCAATGAAGGGATGGTGTGGTATTGAGGGCTCAGATTTTGCTTCAGCCAGACCTGGGCTCAGACTCTGCATTGCCTTGGACCAACTTTATGAGTCAAGCAAGTTGCCTAACGTCTCCAGAGCTCAGTAAAATGGAAATTCATCCACTTGTTCATTCATTCGCTCAACTCATGTGTTTTGAGGGCTGCTGCGTGCCAGGCACTGCACTCGGCACTGGGCTCTATCAATGAAAAAAGAGGAGAAAAGAGGCCCAGGTCTCCGTCCTCCTCGTGCCTGCGTTCTAGGGGCAAGGCTGCACCCCTGACTGCACGGTTGAGGAGACAATGTCGATCCGGTGCCCGGAGTAGCCGGCACTCCAGGGATGGGATGGTGTGCGGGCCATCCTCCTGCCCTACTTCGACCAGGTCCACTTTGAGTTTGAGGAGAAAGAGATCAACTCAAGACCTATTTTAACCTCAAAACTGCTCTGGGGGCTTCATTCCTAGTGGTGGTGGCGGCTTGGGGGGAGGTGTGGTGCAGAGACTTGCTGATGGCAGAGGTAGTGTCAGAGGGGTCTTCTGTTCTGAGAGACCCCAGAGCATGGCCCCGACTATAGGAGGCCCTACAGCGGCTCGTCCCCCTTCCTGACAGGGACTTTGTGCCTTCTTCCCTAGGCCAGGAGGAGGGGGGCTGCCTGCCGCGCCCGCAGTGCCCACAGGAGTGTGCCTGCCTGGACACCGTGGTCCGCTGCAGCAACAAGCACCTGCGGGCCCTGCCCAAGGGCATTCCCAAGAATGTCACAGAACTGTGAGTAGCTCAAGGCCTTGCCCCCTTCACGGGGGTCCACCGGACGGGGACAGCGGGGACATTTCCTGAGGGGCTGGGGCCTGGCAGTGGGAGGAGGAGGTGACCCAGGGCAGGCATTAGCTGACTAGGAGCTGGAGTTTGGGCTTTGTAGAAAACGCTGCCTCCAGGAAGCCTTTGAGCTTCTCTTTGATTCCCCCTTGCGGTCACCTGATACCACATGGCAGCGAGTGCTTCCTCCCTTTAAGCTCTGCCTTTAAAACAAGGAAAACATTGCTTTCCCACCTATCATTGTGTCACGCTCCTGTGTCATGAAGACTTACAAATGTGATTTTTGTACCAGCAGTGTAATGTTCTTCACAGGAATCTACTATGATCCAGATAACAAACCCCCTTTTGTTGCATATTTAAGTTGTTTCCAACTTTTTTTTTACTGTCATAAATAGAACCAATGCTAACACGCCTTCACTGAAATCGCCAGTCAAAGAGCGGTGCGTTTTCAGGACTCTTGCTGCCTTTTGCCTGATGGTCTTCCAAGAAAACCTGTTTCCTTTGCACTCCCATTGACAATGTGAGAAGGCGGCCTTCTTGCTTCCCTGGGTCAGCACTGAGTATGGTGGTGCTGAAATCCTGGCTGATTGGTATTTGGTATCTGAGCGCATGTGGAGGATTGGACATAGATGCATTTGACAAACAGGGATGGAGACCTGGGACTCTTCAGCAGACACCTCCCGATGAAAAGCTCTGGCCAGCTCCTGACCTCTGACCTCTTCCTGTGCTCTGGGGTCGATCCCTCCAGGCCTCCAAAGCTGAGCTTTTCTCCCCCACTCCCGGGACCAGTGATGAAGCTTTCATTTGTTGTTTCTTGCATTACCAGCAAGGCTGGCCTTTTCCTCACAAGCACATCAACCACTATGGGCCTTTTCCTGGGCCCGGCCTGCCCCATCTTCACCCTGTTTTCTACTGCAGAGTTAGTGTCCTACAGACCTCATGAATCCTAGTTTTCTCCTTGGAGCCTCCTAGCAGCCCTGAGAATAATGGGATGGGTAGGGTAGCCTACCTTCTTTGACTGAAGATGCTGAAGTTCAGAGCTTGCGAAAATCTTTTAACTTCTCTAAACCTCAGTTTTGTCATCTGTGAAATGGGACTACTTGGGTATATGGACAAGGGCTGCTTTAAGGATCAAATGAGATGGGTGGGAAGTCACTTTGTATGATACAGAGCGAGGGGTAAGGATGAGCACAGCCCTGCTTTGCTCCTCTCTGGGGCTTTTGGGAAGTGGGGGAGAGCTGTCCTGCAGGCTGTAGTTATTGGGGGTATAGGGGGTTCCTGTGCCGGAGTCTAGCTTGGCTCAGCACCTGGCATTGGGCCACTGCTTAGCAACCTTCAGGCTGGAGGCATGAATGGTCAACGATGAAGGGAAGAGCGGGAGGTTCAGAGCATCTTGAATCCCAAGCTCTATCCTGTAGAAATGGGAACCTTGGGAATCTTAGGGCTTAGGAGGATTTCGGTGGGCTTGGATTTAAGGACAGTGACTTGGATAGCAGTGAGTAGAGTGGAGGCCAGAAGCGAGGTCCAAGGTGCAGAGAACAGACAGAAGAGACTGCAACAGGAGCCTGGGCATGGGTGGTAGTGTACAGTCGGCGGGCGGCATGACAGTGCAATGAAAGGAAGCCGTGAGAGAGCCGCGGTGGCACTGGCTGCAGAGCGAGGTGGAGAAGTGACATCAGGGCACAGAGCCCGGAAGGCAGGAAGGCAGAGGGGTGCTGATGGAATGAGGGAAACTGATTAGGCAGTCTGGCTGTGAATCCGCTTCACAGCCCATGCCAGCAGGCGGAGAGGGCGCCCTGGGAGCTGGCAGGGCCCAGTAACATGCAAATCAGATCTATTTGGCCAGGAAAAGAGTAGAGCAGGGAGGGGAAGGTAGGTGCTCAGGGAGTGTCCATGGACAAGGAGGAGGCTGGGAGGGTGAGAAGGGAAGTGAGAAGGGAACCAAGAGAGGCCATGTGACTCTTGGCTTTTTACCAAGTCCTTTGGGTGGCACCTTCCCAAATGGCTTCAACAATGTACATGTTTTCTCCTCCTATAAGTAATTCTGGGCCCATCGTGTGGCCTATGTGGAGGAGAGGAAATGAGAGAGAAGTCCCTGGCTGCAGGGAAGGCTGTCCCCAGCGTGGGGCACCACCAGAGGTGGAGATGGGCACTAACGCCGCTGTGTTCCCTCTGCAGCTATTTGGACGGGAACCAGTTCACGCTGGTTCCAGGACAGCTGTCTACCTTCAAGTACCTGCAGCTCGTGTAAGTATCCAGTCCGCTTGAGGACAGGAGGGCCTTTGGCATCTAACCGTCAGGACTCTGGCTTTCCTGGAATTTCCTACAGACCTCACTTATGGGCAGATCCTGCTTTTTCCCTTTCCCCGCTCCCCTCTGGAAACAGCTGTGCCTAGAGCTGTTTTGCCACCTAGTGGCCATGATTGGCAATTACATAGTTCCAGGCCCTGTTGGGTTGGACCTGCCTCCTTCTCCTGCCCAGGCCATCTCCCCAAAGCTCTCTTGAGGCTGGTCGTGACTGTTAAGAGGGGTTATCCTGGCTGGGTGCTGTGGCTCATGCCTGTAATCCCAGCACTTTGGGAGGCCAAGGCAGGCGGATAACCTCTCGAACTCATGTTGGAGTTCAAGACCAGCCTGACCAACATGGAGAAACCCCATCTTTACTAAAAATACAAAATTAGCCGGGCACAGTGGCACATGCCTGTAATCCCAGCTACTTGGGAGGCTGAGGCAGGAGAACAGCTTGAACCTGGGAGGTGGAGGTTGCAGTGAGCCGAGATCGCGTCATTGCACTCAGCCTGGGCAACAAGAGCGAAACTCCGTCACACACACACACACACTCACACACACACACACAAAAGAAAAGGAGGGGTTATTCTTGCAAGGTTAGGATCCAGGAGAAGCAGAGGGTGATAGAAGGCTTCTCGGTCCAGCTCAGCTCTCAAACCAAGTATGAACTATGGCAGCTACAAATACATACCTGTAACTAAGTTTTTCTTTAGGCTACACCTCTGCTTTTCTGTTATTTCCACCTTTGACCCCTTCTACTCCATGGAAATATACAAAATAAGCCTCAGGATAATAAGTTCAGCTCCTTTTAGTTTTCTAACCTACTTAACTCCTCACTTCAGTTGTCTTTATCTGCTCCTTGGCCAGATTCTACCAAAAAGAAGTCCAGAGAACATTCCATCTTAGTGTAGTTTGGAGCAGTGCCACTCCAAGTGCAGTCTACGGGCCCACATCAGTCCCAGAACTGTTTGTAATGGGTTTGTAATTAGATAAGGTGCTTACACCAGAATCTAAATCCATGTATTGCTTCCTTCCTTGAGAAAGTCTTGCTATTGAAACAATGTTCGCTAAAGTAAGCTATGTGTGGTGACCGGATCTTGGCTCAAGTTTCTTTTTTCTTTCTTTTTTTTTTTGAGACGGAGTCTCGCTCTGTCGCTCCGTCGTCCAGGCTGGAGTGCAGTGGCACGATCTCTGCTCACTGCAAGCTCCGCCTCCCGGGTTCACGCCATTCTCCTGCCTCAGCCTCCCGAATAGCTGGGACTATAGGTGCCCGCCACCACACCGGGCTAATTTTTTGTATTTTTAGTAGAGATGGGGTTTTACCATGTTAGCCAGGATGGTCTCGATCTTCTGACCTCGTGATCCACCTGCCTCGGCCTCCCAAAGTGCTGGGATTACAGGTGTGAGCCACCGCGCCCGGCCAAGGCCCAAGTTTCTTATTGTGGGTTGGTGAAATTTAGTTCAAGGACTGGCTACTTTGGGCGGCTCTGGCTTACAGGATTTTGAAACTCCAATTTATCTGTTTTTGCTTAATGATCTGGCCAATGTGTGTTGAACATTCCAATAGGAGGGGTGGAGAGGGGATGGAGTAGTGTGATTCAGTGGCTGGTGTCAGAGTGCTTTGAGCCAGTGAAACTGCCTCTTGGGGGCTGTGCCACCACCTCCTCATCACAGGGAACGACCACAAAGTGTGTTGAACATTCAGTAGAGCACTTACATATATCTCCAAAGACAGTGGAATGATTTGGAATTAGATTAGAGGAACGTTCAGGAGGAGAAGATGAAGGCAGGGCACATCGTTGCATTTTCTAAATGTTTCCTGAGTACATGAAGTGGGCAGATGTGAAGGCCCCGAAGTCATGGCCCCCTCTCCAGACTGTCATGGTTTAGGGAGGATGCGGGGGAGGGGAGGGAGCACATAAGGGTTCCAACAGAGGTCAATGCCGATTAGGGCCGTGGCTCAAGGAGGATGTGATCAACTCAGGGAGGGGGCTGGTGGGGAGGGCATCTTGGAACACGAGTTCGAGTTCACCGGTGGGCAGAGGGAATAAGCTGTCTGGGGGCACAGAGTGTAGTCTGCTCAGAGAACTTCAAGAAACTTAGTGAATCCTAAGCCTGGGAAACCTTTGGGGCGGGAAGCAGAGGGGCGGGGTCAGGGACCAGACCCAGGAGCGCCAGGTGGCCAGCTAGAGGGCCTGGAGTCCACATGCTAGGCACATGGGTACCACTGTGGGGTTTCAGTGGGGAAGTGGCTGCGTCGGCTTTGCGTCATAGAGAGATTCTGTGGTGCCACCCTCATGGCAGATGGATCAAAAGGGCAAAGCAATGGGTGAGAGATGAGGTCAGAATCCAGGCAGGAGCCCGAGAGAGAGGATGCTGGCTCAGGAGGAGGGCACATCGTGAGAGGTGACCAGGGCCACCAGCCAGGGGCGGATCAGATGGGTGGGACGAGAGGGCGGACATGTGGGCAGGCGGTGTTATGGAGCTGGAGCCTGGGGGACGGGGCATGGTGGGGAGCACAAGACGTGGACGGAGTTTGAGTGTCTGTGGGCATCAAGAGGAGGAGTTCATGAGAGGACAGGCTGGGGCCACGGGAGGGGGGCACTGCCAGCACAGGGGCATCCCCGAGGGCACCCAGATTGAACTAAAAGGGGCATAGATGGGGTTTAGCGATCCCCATGCCTCTGGGCTGAGTACGAAGGAAGCTTCTACCAGGGACTGAGGAGGCACAGCCAAAGGCCCCTGAAGACAGTCGAGAGTGGAGGAAAGCGGGTGGTGGGAGTTTTGAGAAGAGGAGAAGGGCGGTCAGTTGTGTCAGATGCCACAGGTGATGTGGAGAGGCCACGGCAGCATCCTGGGCTTGGGGCCAGTGGACCGGGTTTGAATCTGGCTCTGCCTCTGACCAGCTGGTGACCCTTCGAGAGTCACAGATCCCGCTGAGACTCTGGGTCTTTGTCAAACGGGGCTGCCCTCTCCCTCATAGGACTGCCTTGCAGGGAGGGCTTCTGAACCGGCCCGCCTAAGGTGCTGGCAGGAGAGAAAGGAGAGAGTGCTGGATCTGGTCGGGAGGCCACCGACACCCTGGTGGGAGTGTTCCCATGGTGAAAAGGGGCAGAGCCAGGCTCTGCTTGCAGAGGGGTGGGGGTAGGGGTCAGGAAATGGAGGCGCCAAGCCTCCATATACCAAGTGTCCCTTATATTTGCCTGGTGTGTACCCGAGGGAGTTGAGGGAGCAGCGCAGGGCTGTAGCTAAGCAAGCACTGTGACCGGGGCTCCTCTCCACCCCTGGCCAACGTGGCTGGGGAATGGCCCTGGGCAGAGTGAGGGAGGGGAAGAAGCCCAGGAGCGTGAGCCAGGACTGAGTGAGTTCTTTCTCAACCATGATGCCTTTGCCTTTTCCAGGGACCTGAGCAACAACAAGATCAGCTCATTAAGCAATTCCTCCTTCACCAACATGAGCCAGCTGACCACGCTGTGAGTCCCAGCAGGGCTGGGGTGGGCGCCCCGGGGCCTGGGTTGTGAGTCATTCCCAAGCCCCAGCCTGTGCTGTGCGTTGCACCGCGATCCCTCACCTGCAGACGCCTTGCCCTCTGGAGAGGATGCCCAGCTCGAGAGCCTAAAAGACTTTCAAAAAACATCTTTCATTGTGAAATACAACATATGGTATATACAGAAAATGTTAATGCAAAAAATAAATAGTGCAAAAAAAATGTACAGTTTCACAAATAATCATAAAGCTGGCACACGCGTAGATACCAAGTCAAAAATTAGGGACACTCTGCTGGGCGCGGTGGCTCATGCCTATAATCCCAGCACTTTGGGAGGCAGAGGCAGGTGAATCACTTGAGGTCAGGAATTCGAGACCACCCTGGCAAACACGATGAAACCCCGTCTCTACCAAAAATACAAAAAGTAGTCGGACGTGGTGGCACATGCCTGTAGTCCCAGCTACTCGGGAGGCTGAGGCAGGAGAATTGCATGAACCTGGGAGGCGGAGATTGCAGTGAGCCGAGATCATGCCATTGCACTCCAGTCTGGGTGACAGAGCGAGACTGTGTCTCAGAAAAAAAAAAAAAAAAGAACAGGCTAGTATCTTGTCCCTTCCTGATCCTTATTGCTCTCTCCTCCCCTACCCCGAGGCAGCTGCTGTCCTGACTTGATGAGGATCATTTCTTTTATTTTCTTTACAGCATTACCATCGACATATGCATTTCTAAATAATATAGTCTAATTGTGTCCATTTTTAACCTTGTCCAAGTGGAATCATATGGGCAATAGTCTTTTGTATCTGGCTTCTCTTGCTTAGCATTGTCCGTGGGATCCATTCATGCCACCGTGGCAGCTGTGGTCTGTTCGCTCTCATTGCTAGCTAGTGTTCCTTTGGAGGAACAGGCCACACTTTCCTCATCCATTCTAGTCCTGGTGGATTTTGGGGTTGCTTCCAGTTTGGATTGTTGTGAGCGGTGACCCTCTGAACATTTTTTGTGGCCATATTCTAAGATATTTAAATGCTGGCTTTAATTATATTCCAAGCAATTGATCAGAACATATTACCAAGTGTCCCTTATATTTGCCTGGTGTGTAAAAGTATCTCATTCACCTTCCCCACACCTCATTTTACAGATAGAACAGTAGAGCCAGTGCCCAAAAAAGGAAGGGGCCCTGACCCAGCCATTTTCCAGGAGCAGGATGTGGGCCCAAGCCAAAATACAAAATACAAAACATTAGCCAGGTGTGGTGGCGCACATCTGTGGTCCCAGCTACTTGGGAGGCTGAGGTGGGAGGATGGTTTGAGCCTGGGAGGCAGAGGTTGCAACGAGCCAAGATCATGCCACTGCACTCCATCCTGGGTGACAGAGCTAGACCTTGTAAAAAAATTAAAAAAAAAAAAAGAAAGAAAAAAGGAAAGGAAGGAAGGAAGGAAAGAAGGGAGGGAGGGAGGGAGGAAGGAAGGAAGGAAGGAAGGAAGGAAGGAAGGAAGGAAGGAAAGAAGAAGAAAAGAGTGCTATTCTTGCTAATCCCCTGCTCCTGCCTCTCCCAGCTCTGAGACCCGGGCAATCACTGCTCTGCTTTCTGTCACTATAGGTTAGTTTGCATTTTCTAGGGTTTTACATACAAATGGAAAAAGTCGTTTTTGCTTGGCTTCTGCACCCAGCATGATTATTTTGGGGTTCAGCATGGTGTGGTGTTGCGTGTGCCGGTGGCTCTTTTTCATTGCTGAGCAGTGTTCCCCTGCACAGGCGTGGATGTGCCACAGTTTGCTCATCCGTCCGTCTGCTGGGGACACCCAGGTTGTTTCCAGCATGGCGCTGTTGCAAGTGTGATTCCCTTATTTATCTGCCTGTCTGCCCTGGATGGATTCAATTACTTGGAAGCATTTTGGGACAGTGGCTTAGCCTGTGGGCTCTGGAAACTGAAAGCTGTAATGAAAATCCCTTCTTAATAACTTTTTTCTTTTGAGATAGAGTCTCTCTCTGTCACCTAGGCTGGAGTGCAGTGGCATGATTTTGGCTCACTGCAACCTCTGCCTCCCAGGTTCAAGTGATTCCCCTGCCTCAGCCTCCCGAGTAGCTGGGATTATAGGCGTGTACCACCATGCCTGGCTAATATTTGTATTTTTAGTAGAGATGGGGTTTTGCCATGTTGGCCAGGCTGTTCTCAAACTCCTGACCTCAGGTGATCTGCCCACCTCAGCCTCCCAAAGTGCTGGGATTACAGGTGTGAGCCACCGGATCTGGCCCCTTCTTAATGGCTTAATAATGTGACCCCGGAGAAGTTCTTTCACCTCTCAAGGCCTCAGTGTCCTCATCTATAAGATGGGCGTAGTAACAGCACCTTCCTCTCTGTCACAGCTTTTCAACAGTAAATTATTGTAGATGACTTTGCCTGTCCACCCTGGAAGTGATCGGCTGAGACAGTGAGCTCCCCGCAGGCAGGTCCTGGTTGGGTGTCACCTTCATAGGGAACTTGCCTACGCACCTTGCTGGGGCAGCCCCTTAGGGAATGTTCTCAATCATAACAACAGCAACTCTCCTTTGTTGAGGATTGATTGGAGCCAGGCATGGTGTTAAGGGCTTCACCTGGATTTCACCCCCAGGACAGCCCTATGGAGTTGGCATTATTTTTGTCCCTATTTTACAGTCAAGGGAACTGATTGAGGCAGAAAGGGATTAGGGGGCATGCCCACGACCACCAGCTTCTCAGGGCACAGCCCAGCCCATAAGCTTGCCGGCTCCTCTGCCTCCCCTCACAGAGCCCGAGGAGGCTGCTGGGTGAGAGGGGCCTCCGCGTCCTGGGCGGTGGCTGTGCCCACGGGGGCCAGGCACTAACTCGGTGCCCTTCCTCCGCCTCCTTCCTCCACAGGATCCTCAGCTACAATGCCCTGCAGTGCATCCCGCCTCTGGCCTTCCAGGGACTCCGCTCCCTGCGCCTGCTGTAAGTCTCCTTACTCGCCATCCCGCCAGGAAATCCACCCCACCGAGGGTCCCGCCACCCACCTGGTGGACAGAAATGTTCTCATGTCTAGGGTCCACACTGTGCCGTGGTGGAGTCCAGAGCGTTGTCACTTAAGCTCCTGCGGATACTCTCATTCCCAAGAAGCTAGGGCGTGCATAGGAAATGATCTGAGAATTGGGGGTTGCTGTCACCCCCAAGATGAGTTTGTGGTGTTGGCGGGGGGACATCCAAAATAAGGTGGCCCTTCATTTGCATGTGAGACTTCTGTTCAGATTTAAAAATGTTTGCAAGGGATTTGTGAACCTCTTCTATGAGTTCTCACTGGGAGGTTTTGCCCTGGGATCAAAGCCCTCGATCCGTCCATGATGATGGCCTCAGTCAGCCCACCAGGGTCAAGGTGACGTTCTCCCAGCCCTAACCTGTGGCTGGCCTTCTTAACTTCCTTACTAAGAAGAAGCGCCTCCCACTTAGGCTCCTCTGCTAAAAGAGGGAGGGCTGTGGGTGCACAGGTCCTGTTTGTAATATAAACGCGGTGTTTCAGTCCTCTGAAGGGCTGGGGGACAGGGCGGTCCACCTCAAGGGTTTCTTCCCTGTGGCCAGTGGGGCAGGGTCTCTGAGCTGGGGGCCATCTCCCTTGGGCCACTGACTGAGAGGCCTAGAGGGAAGGCCTGGCCTGTCCCGTCTCTGCAGAGGGCTGGGCCTCTCCCTCCAGCGGGTCTCCCATCTCTGTCCATGGATAAGGCACCAGCAGCCTCTTTTCTTCTCAGGTCTCTCCATGGCAATGACATCTCCACCCTCCAAGAGGGCATCTTCGCAGACGTGACCTCCCTGTCTCACCTGTAAGTACTCCAGCCCCTTTCTCTGGGTCTCTGGATTTCAACAGGACTTGGTTTCTGAGAAGACCCCACCTCCTGAGATTGTCAGAATTTGTTGCTTTTACATTGAAATTAAGCTTGTGAACTTCCCATGTGCACCTTCTGGGACTCTTATATGTCCAGTGGTTCATCAGCTACAGCAATAGAGTAGAAGAACAGTTCCTCGCAAGCAGCAGTGAAGGTTGTAATGACCATTGATCGATTGCTGTGCACTTTGCCTGCCTCAGCTAATGTGCGCCTCACAATTGTCCTACAACATAGGTACTGTGGTTCTTATTTTTCACACCAGGAAATGGATGGAGAAAAAGTGGGACGCTCGCTGGAAGCTGCACAGCTGCGGGGTGGTGGGCTTTCTGACTCCTAGGCCAGTGCTCTTAGGCGTTCCGCTGGTACTGTGCCTCCGACTTCACACAGTGGGGGATGAGCTCTGGAAATGTACTGCCCCCAATCCGTGCTGTAATTCGATATAGAACTATTTCCAAAACCATTTAGCTAGCAGTGCTATGAGAATTCTTTAAAAGCGGTGGGCTTGATTCCTCAAAAATCTCAATATAGGATTACCATATAACCCAGCAATCTACTCTAAGAGGTATATCCAAAAGAATGGAAAGCAGGGACTGAAACAGATGCATGTACACCAATGTTTGCTGCAGCATTATTCATCATAATGAAGTGGGAACAGTCTATGTCCACAGATGGTAAACAAAATGTACTATATACATACAATGGGATATTGGCCATAAAAATGATGAATTTCCGATGCGTGCTACCACACAGATGAATCTTGAAGGCATTATATTAGGTGAAATAAGTCAGACGCAAGAGGATTAATATTATATGATTCCATATATATGAGGTACCATATATATGATTCTGTATATATGAGTAAAATTCATAGAGACAAAAAGTAGAATGGTGGATGCCAGAAGCTGGAGGCAGGGGCCATGGGGAGTTGGTGGTCAGTAAGCACAGAGTTCTTTTGGGGTGATGAAAACGTTTTGGAAATAGGTAGTGGTGATGTTGTACAACACTGTGAATACCATCAATGTTACTGAATTGTACACTTAAAATGGTGAAAGTGGCAAATTTCATGTGATATATGTATTTTGCCATATAAAAAATAGACAAAATCAAGAAGCACTGGGCTGTGACAGGGCCATCCTAATTCTGGAGGTTGGGCAGGGCACTGAGCAGGCACACATTCTCTCCTGGCATCTCTTGGCACTACTGGCCAAGGCAGGATAGGAGAACTGTGGTCACGTGGACTATGCCTGGGACCTCAGGTGCAACTGTCCTCTTTTGCTCTCAGCCCCATCCTTAAGCCCTAAAAGGGCCTGGTGGGCAGACATACCCAGGTTGGAGAGCTTCTGGGGCCCCCAGCCACTCTTCTTGAAGTTCATTCACTCATTAGTCTCACTAGATTTTCTCTAAGGTTCACTTTTTCTGCATTTTAAACTCTAAAACCAGAGTGTATATTTAGTATGGTAATGTTCCCCACCCTTCAGAAAGCATGTTAAATCAGCGGTGCATCAAATAGCATCGGGAGATAAAATAGTAATAGGTGTTGCTCTTTGAGGGTCTGCCTGAGTCAAATACTGCACTCTACTTCATCTACAAGGTCTTGATTACCCCATGATTGAAATGGGAAGTGAGTTTTGTTTTATGCGCCAGCGCCACATGATTGGCAAGAACTGTCTTGAGGACCACACTGAAGATTCCAGGGCTGGACCTGGACTCAGTGGAAGGGGTGCAGTGATTGATTTGTAATGTCTGCCATGGAAGTGGGAGGGGTAAGGGGCTCTGTCCCAGGTGGTAGGATTTGATTTATTATTTCCATTTTACAGTCCTAGGTTCTAAAAAGTTACACAGCTTCCCTAGGATTTGAATTTAGGTGTCTCTGATTCCAAAGCTCTTTATTTATTCTTTATTGCCCTAATAAATACATCCTGGGCAACCAGAGTGACTCCAGTGCTGAAGAATTTCCTAACACAAGGTTTCTGCCCACTGTGACCATTTGGGATCTTATAAAGAGAATTCAAAGGAAGCAGTGACTAACTCTGAGCAAGTCCAAGGGGCTTCACAGAGGAGGTACCATTTATGCTGTCATTGGAAAGGAACTAGAGTTGGCCAGTTGGAGAAAGTGAGGAAGGGCATCCTAGGAAGAGGGAGCAGCATGTGCAAAGGTGTGAACACGAAAAAATGGGATGTTCAGGGATGCTGTGTTGTCCAGCATAGGATAAAGGGTGTTTGGTTGGGGAAGGAATGTGGGGTGGGAGGAGATGAATCTGGAAAGGGACATTGGAATTCTGTTGTGAAGGACCATTTGTGCCTGCTAAGGAGTTTGCCCTTCGTTGTATACAGAAGGGGAATTGTGGGGAATTGAGTTTCAGCAAACTTCTGGAAAGCCCATGGTGACATACAGATGGTGAGTGGGATGGGAGGAGGCAGGAGTGAGCCCTGCTGGAGGTGGTGCCTCTGGACATAGGTCAGGTTGGGACAGTGTTGTTTATTGTTCCTACTGACTTGAATTCACCAGGGCTTGTTTCCATCTGTATTGGGTAATTTTTGGTTGCACGCTCATTTTTGCTGACATATCTTTAGGAATTCTGAAGAGCTAAGTTGGAGATGCTCCTCTCCAGAGAGCATTTGTGCTTGTCTCTGCTGGGCACCAGGGGCTGCTGCTACCCTGGGACCACATAGCTTTTGTTGCATACCCCTGGGCATAGCCGAGTGTCCACTTTTACTGCCCACCTTAGCCTTTTCAGCATCTAGTCTACATTTTACATCTTTGCATTCGCCCTTAATATTTCTCTTCTACTCGGGGTTTAACTGTGCAGATGCGTGGTTGGCTACCTTTTCTCCTTCCTCATGAGAACCAAATTAACACCCAAGTACATCTTGTCTCCAGCTCAAAATATACAGGTTTTGTTTTTCAAATGAGAAGTGAGCAAACAACATATGTTTTGAGCAAACCAAAAAAACCAAACCTGCAAAAACAAATTTTGAGCCTATACCCATCTATAAATTAAGACTTTCTTTAGGAGAACAGTAATATCAGGCCAGAAGCCAGATCTAGTTTCTAAGAAATAAACCAGTAAGTAAAGATCAGGTTAGCAGGACTTGTAGAAAATGGCATCAGTTTTACTGATTAAATGTGTTTATTAATTGCACCTAAGCTTAATTTCTCTATGAAATAGCATCTGTGTGAAAGAAACCTTCCGTTGTTATCAAGAAAGCTTGTGGATAAACTCTGCCCTTTATACCCAGGGTTTAAGATGGAAACAGGCAGCAGCCTGGAGGATGTGTGTATACTCATGTTCATGTGCGTGCACATATGCACGTGTAGTATTGATGTGATATATGTCATGTGCACACACACATCGGTTGTCGCCTCTGCACTCAAGACCTGCAACTCTTCCAGAAAGAGTTCTTGAGCACTTATAAGGAGTTGAAGAATGGTAAAAAGATGACACAGACCCACTGCATTCACTCCGGGCTTCATGAAAGCTGTATACAATTTGAAGGGAGGCCCTCGCACACCGCTCTATGACAAGTGATAATTGAGGGACAGCCAGGAGTTACCATCCAGTGTTCCTGGTTCCCGAAGGTGCTGATGTTACTGAGAAGCCCTGTTCCTGATCTGACTCTGGCCAGGGCCTCTCCTGTCCACTCGCAGTGTGGAGGAGGGGCGTGTGGAGGAGGGGCGTGTGGAGGAGGGGCGTGTGGAGGAGGGGCGTGTGGAGGAGGGGCGTGTGGAGGAGGGGCGTGTGGAGGAGGGGCGTGTGGAGGAGGGGCGTGTGGAAGAGGGGAAGTCATCATATTTAAAATCCTTGAACTCTAGACTAATCAGGACTGGGGGCTTTAGGTTCTTGTTCTGCCATCAACTTGCAATGGGCTTTCAGACAATTTATTCTTCTCTCGAGGCCTCTTTTCTCACCTGCACCAAGATGATTTCTAAGGTCTCACGTGGTTCAAACAAGCTGTAACGATTGTGAGCACTCTTCACTGTGCTGCACTTCAATGCCCAGCACAATCATCTGCTATTTACTTTGCAGTTAACTCATCTTCCATCTATCCATCCAGTCAGCCATCAGCAAATATCTACTATGCACCATGTCCCAGGCTAGGGTTCCCCAGTGTCTGTCTTTGTTGCTATAATCTGGCATTTTGTTGCCTCTAATTTGCTGTAGGCTGGAAAGCTAGATGTCCAAATTCATTAAGAATTTGGCATGAAAGGAAATATGGAAGGAGTAAGTAAATTATGGCATGCCCATATGACAGAATAGCAAGTAATTAATAATGACAACACATTTATTTATTTATTTAGAGATGGAGTCTCGCTCTTGTTGCCCAGGCTGGAGTGCGGTGGCGTGATCTTGGCTCACTGTAACCTCCGCCTCCCGGGTTCAACCAATTCTCCTGCCTCAGCCTCCTGAGTAGCTGGGATTACAGGCGCCTGCCACTACGCCTGGCTAAGTTTTGTATTTTTGGTAGAGATGGGGTTTCACCATGTTAGCCAGGCTGGTCTCAAACTCATGACCTCAGGTGATCCACCCACCTCAGCCTCCCAAAATGCTGGGATTACAGGCATGAGCCACCATGCCTGGCCAACACTATAACTTATTATTTGATGAAAACCAGAATAAAGTAGACTGTACACTGTGATGTACAAACATACACACAGGAAATGAAAGGGAATACACTAAAATCAAATCAGTTGCATTTATGGGATGATAGATAGTTCCTTTCTTTTTGAATTTCCTTTGCACTGAGATGTTGTGCTTTTCTCATGCTTTTAGACAGGCATTCATTCATTCACCAAACATTGACTGGTGCCTGCTAGTGCCTGACACAGCTGGGGATTTAGTGGTTTCTGCCCTCAAATGACAGTAATGCACACAGATTGATCACCTAGGAGTGGGATGGATGGTTCTGCGACTTGTGAGACAGCCAGGGGAGGCTATTTCAGTCCAGGTTACACAAGTAGGAGCCGGGTAGGGCCTTGGCATGAACAGATCAAATAGCTACTGTTTCAACTATTTCCATATTATGCCAGAGATCAACAACACAGGGTTATTTATACTTTGGCTGGGGTATAAACCTGAATCCACAGTCCTTTTGGACTGACGTGGCCTGGCTGCGGTGTCTGCCTCCCCAATCCCTGCCTACCAAATACATCTCAGTCGGGCCTTGGCTGTCCACTCTCCACTGAGTTCACAGGAGTTTTCGTCGGGAGAAATAGTCCCCAGGTGAATACAAACTACAAGTACTACCGAAGAGAGGGCAAGGCAGTCCTCAGCCACGAAAACCCAGCCTTTGGATAAATGAAAGCTTGTAATGTTGAATTCAGGTGTAGCTCAGAGTCTATTCAGTATAGAAACAAAGAAAAGCAAGTGTGGGCCAATCCAGAATTCATATTTTTGAATAGCTTTAGATGTGACTTTGCACCCATATTTTGTTGTTGTTGTTGTTTTTTGTTTGTTTTTTGAGATGGAGTCTCACTCTTTTTGCCCAGGCTGGAGTACAGTGGCTTGATCTTGGCTCACTGCTCCGCCTCCTGGGTTCAAGCGATTCTCCTGCCTCAGCCTCCCAAGTAGAGTAGCTGGGATTACAGGCGCCTGCCAGCGCACCCGGCTAATTTTTGTATTTTTAGCAGAGATGGGGTTTCGCCATGTTGGCCAGGCTGGTCTTGAATGCCTAACCTCAGGTGATCCGCCTGCCTTAGCCTCCCAAAGTGCTGGGATTACAGGCGTGAACCATCACTCCTGGCCTGCACCCATATTTTTTTTAAGATGGAGAGAGGAGAAGGAGCACTTACATCTCAGGTGTCACTTTGCTGCCGTTTATGGAGGGACTGTAAGCCACGTCACAGGCCCTCTCATTCACATGGCCTCAGATTTCATCTTTTTGGCATTTTTCTCTAAATGAGCTACAGGATGGAAATAAGGCATTCCCAATCATCTTTCAACTTGTGGCTCATTGCTAGGCCACACTCCTTATCGTGTGCTATAAAAAAAACCTTTTGTTTTTTGAGATGGAGTCTTGCTCTGTCGCCCAGGCTGGAGTGCAGTGGCACAGTCTCGGCTCACTGTAAGCCCCACCTCCCGGGTTCATGCCATTCTCCTGCCTCAGCCTCCTGAGTAGCTGAGACTACAGGTGCCTGCTACCACGCCCGGCTAATTTTTTGTATTTTTAGTAGAGACGGGATTTCACTGTGTTAGCCAGGATGGTCTCGATCTCCTGACCTCATGATCCGCCCACCTCGGCCTCCCAAAGTGCTGGGATTACAGACGTGAGCCACCGCGCCTGGCCAAAATATACTTTTAAATAAATTGTGTATTTATCTTTTGAATCACATACTTTTGTGACATCACACTTTTTATTAGTATAAAAATACTAATCTGGTGAGTACAAACATTTTACCATTTTTGAATTCCTGTTATCTTAAAAAGTCTTTGTTTTTCTGAACACACTGGAACTTCAGAAAAAAATCACCCATCCCATTAGCCAGGATGGATACTCTCAGCAATAAGGAAAGAAAAAATGAAACACATGCCAAAGTCGAACCTGCTCTCTTTTCTGAGCTGTGTTGTTCCCTCGGCACCTCTTTTAGGTCATGCGTGCTTGTCTGTCTTCTCCCTCTAGGTTGCAGGCTCTTTACTGAAACATGAAGTGACCCCCAGAGATATTAAGGGAGCCACTCAAGGTCGCCCAGGCATGGGGCAGCTGCGTGGGGGCCGGAGTCCCGGTCTTGTTCAACCTGCTTTATAAGATAGTGAGTCATCAGCTGAGCTATTCTGGGGAATTCCTGCTCAGAGCCACTGCTGCTTTAATCAGGCTGTACAGGTCTCAAGGGGAACTGCTTCCTCTGTCCTGCCCAGAAACAGGTGGAAAATGGCAGGGCATCCATTGGTTCCTTAGTCAATGTGCCCATTCTCATTCACGTTATTTAGCCTTATATTTTCAAAATAATGTAGATATCAATGAACTTTAGGCATAAGGCGTTGATTTTCCTATTTGCTGAGTCAGAGAACTCTGGCCCACCTTTCCTTCCCTCTTTCCCTCCCTCCCTTCCTTCCTTCCTCTCTTTCTCTTTCTTTTCTTTTTCTTTTTCTACTGAGTTTCAGTCTTGTCGCCCAGGCTGGAGTGCCGTATCACGATCTCAACTCACTGCAGCCTCCGCCTCTTGGGTTCAAGTGATTCTCCTGCCTCAGCCTCCCGAGTAGCTGGGACTACAGGCATGCGTCACCATGCCTGGCTAATTTTTGTACTTTTAGTAGAGATGGGGTTTCACCATTTTGGCCAGGCTGGTCTGGAACTCCTGACCTGAGGTGATCCACCTGCCTCGGCTTCCCAAAGTGCTGCAATTACAGTCATGAGCTACTGCGCCCAGCCAGAACTCTGGCTCTTTCTTACCCTCAAATCCATGTTTTGTCCATCTCTAAGTCTCTCATGTGGTTTAGTGGAGAGATTCTGAGCTTGCCCATCAGATCCGTAAGAAACAAAGGGGTTGGCAGTATGTCGGTGCAGGCATGAGAGCAGGCCCAGCCTTGTACTGATGGCCAGTGTAAGTGGATACAACCTTTGTGGGTGGGGGTGGGCTATTAGCATATTACACGTGCTTCCTCTGTCCCCCAAATCCTACTCCTAGTCATCTATTCTAAAGAAATACACCACCCAAAGAGGAGCCAGGCGTAGTGGCTTACGCCTGTAATCTCAGCACTTTGGGAGGCTGAGGTAGACGGATCACTTGAGGCCAGGAGTTTGAGAACAGCCTGGCCAACATGGCGACACCCCCATCTCTACTAAAAATACAAAAAAAAAAAAAAATTAGGTGGGCGTGGTAGTGCACGCCTGTAATCCCAGCTACCCAGTAGAATAAGGTACAAGAATCACTCGAACCTGGGAAGCAGAGGTTGCGGTGAGCTGAGATCATACCACTGCACTGCAGTCTGGGCCACAGAGTGAGACCCTGTCTCAAAAAAAAAAAAAAAAAACAAAGAGGCACGTATTATGTGTGTTCACTGCCATTGGAAAGAACCAGAATGTCCAGCAACAGGGACGCTGTCCACTGTGCCGTGGGGTATCCGCTCTGGGATATTGCAGAACAGTTGGACACAATGAGATAGATGCTTATATGCTGACTGGGAAGATTCCCGAGACGTGCTGTTTAGTGACAAGGAGCAAGCTGCTCAGTAGTGATGTGATTTGTAAGGAGGAACCATGTGTGTACGTGTGGAAAGGCCTGGAAGGCTGTACATCCGAGTATGGTGACCCTGTGACCATGTGCCCCTTTGTGGAGGGCAGTGACAGTGGGGTGTAGACTTTTATTTTTTGTAATGTGAATGTATCACAATTTATATAACCACTCCCCACTGATGAACATGGGATTTCCAGTCTTTCCATTACAAATAAGACTGTTGCACAGATGTCTTTATGTGTGCCTGCAGGTAAACGCCCAGAAACAATGGCTGGATCAGAAGGCAAGTGCATGAGTCATATGATAAGTGTCACACAATTCCCCTCCACGGGCGCTCTACCATTTTGCACCCCCATCAGTAACACAGGAATGTGCCTTCAAAAAAATTGAGGTGAAATTCACATAATATCGAATTAGCCGTTTTTTAAAAAGTGTGCAACTCAGTGGCATTTAATCATTCACAGTGTTGTGCAGGGCGGACACTTTGTCTGTGATGTTTGAGAGTGGCTGACAGTGAGAATGCACTCATGTGTTCTGTTTAATTAAAAATGAAAAGAAAAATAAAAGAGCATGGGCGTCGGAGGCAGACAGTGGCGCATCTGGATCCAGGGGCTGTCCTTCGCTAGTTGTGTGACCCCAGGGAAATTACTTATTCCATAGGAGGCTCGGTGCCCACATCTTTGAGATGGAGAGGAGAAAACTTGCGCAGTGGAGCTGATGAGATGATTCGGTGCACAAACACAGGAAAAGCGGCTGTCTCATTGCAGCAGTCGATGTGGGTTGCTTTCTCCCCATGCACATTAGAGGCTCTGGCCCCAACAGCATGGCCCCAGCAGCTCCCTGCTTCTCTGTGTGATCTTAGGCAAATTCCTCAGCCTTTTTGAGCCTCAGTTTCTGCACATGTAAAATGGGGATAGTAGTGCGTGGGGATGACTAAGTGAGACAATGCATATGCAGTGCTTGAACCAGCACTGGCAGCTGGGTGCAGTGGCTCACACCTGTAATCCCAGCACTTTGGGAGGCTGAGGTGAGTGGATAACCTGAGTTCAGGAGTTCGAGACCAGCCTGATCAATATGGCGAAACCCCGTCTCTACTAAAAATATAAAAATTAGCTGGGCTTGGCAGCGTGTGCCTGTAATCCCAGCTACTTGGGAGGCTGAGACAGGAGAACTGCTTGAACCTGGGAGGTGGAGGTTGCAGTGAGCTGAGATTGCGCCACTGCACTCCAGCCTGGGCGACAGAGCGACACTCCATCTCAAAAAAAAAAAAAAAAAAAAAAAAAAAAAAAAGAGAAGCAGCACTCGCTACACAGTAAATGCTCACAAAATGGAGGCTAAGATTTTTGCCAGTCCCTGGTGCAGTGCCTAGGTTTCCAATGGGCGAGGGACCCCATGAAGCTGTAATGCCTGCTTCTCTCTGCTTTCTGCTCAGGGCCATTGGTGCCAACCCCCTATATTGTGACTGCCACCTCCGCTGGCTGTCCAGCTGGGTGAAGACTGGCTACAAGGAACCGGGCATTGCCCGCTGTGCTGGGCCCCTGGACATGGAGGGCAAGCTGCTCCTCACAACGCCTGCCAAGAAGTTTGAATGCCAAGGTGAGCCTAGGAGCGCGGCCCCTGCTGCTGGGGGCCCACGGAACTGGCCCAACACTGCAGGGCCTTCCTAACATGCCTGTGTCCCTGTGGCGACTGCTGGGCAGGGAGTCAGGGGACAGGAACAAGCCACCTGCGGCTTGATGACTGCCTTCCAGTCCTGACATATCATGGACAAAAAGAGCCAGGCAGAAAAATCCCAGGCCGTCAGGGCTGTAATCCCTCCCTGTGGTTACATAAGGAAAATAAAAATAGCAGCGGTGTTTCTGGGAGCTCCAAGCCTCGCAGCAGAGCATGCGCTCAGACCTCCCTTTGGTAGGAATTGTGTTCAGCAGTTAACTTAGACCTCTCTCAGTCCCTGGTGGAGCAGGGGACCCAGCAGCCACTCTCCCGACGTTTACAGAAATGCAGAGCCAGAGTGTCACTGGAGGCTGGTTCCGGCTTTGCCCTGGGACGCTCCACTGTGGGCATGTGTAAATACTCATTCAGGGATTGAGTGACGGCCCAAGCCCCAGAAGCCCTGCTGAGCACAGACAGGTGGCTGAGTGGCCGCCGGGGCTGGGCTTTATGTGCAGGGGTACAGCGGGGGGGAAGACACTGGAGGCCATGGAGCACGGCCCCTGCCCTCTGCAAGCTCAGAGGCCACCGTCGGAAATGAAGCTGACAGCTGTAGGTTAATGAGGAGGCCCTGGGCCACCCTGCGTGCAGGATGCTGTCACAGCCTAACGGCTCAGAGGGGCCTGATCTGCGGCTTGGCTGTTGGGAGCAAGTCAATTTATGCTGAAACATTTGCTCTGTGTTTATTTAATGGGGTGGGATTGGTGCTGGTGAGAAGGGGTTTTGTTTTGTTTTATTATTTTTATTGAAAGAGAACACACACACATTAAAGTACACAGATCATGAGTGAATGGGTTGCTGAAGTTTCACAAGCTGAACTCACCCAGGTAACTTGCACCTGGATCAAGAAACAGAACTCCAGCTGGGCGTGGCGGCTCACACCTGTAATCCTAGCATTCTAGGAGGCTGAGGTGGGAGGGTCGCTGGAGCCCAAGAGTTCGAGACCAGCCTGGGCAACGTGGAGAGACCCTGTCACTACAAAAAATTTTTTTTTAATTAGCTGGGCATGGTGGTGTGTGCCTCTAGTCCCAGCTACTGGATGGAGATGGAAAGATTGCTTGAGCCCAGGTCGTTGAAGCTGCAGTGAGCCATGTTTGCGCCAGTGCATTGCAGCCTGGGTGACAGAGTAAGACATTGTCTAAAAAAATAAATAAATAAAAATAAAGGAAAAAAAAGGAAACAGAACCCCATCTTCACCCCAGAAGTCTGTCATGTGTCCTAGTCACTGCTGAAAAGTTTGTATTTCTGCTTATGCTCATGCCTCTTCAGCAGGAGCAATATTCCACCCCTTCTAGAAGGCATCTTCCAGGGAAGCCTGAGTTCACTGGTCTTCCTATTTAGTCTCCTGAGATCCTGCTGCCACTCACGAGTGGCGTCCCAGGTGGCCTGGCTGTCGGCTCCTCTGGTTACCTCTACAACCAGTGCATCCTGGAGATGCTGGAGGGCCTGCTGTAGCAGGGAGGTGGGGGAAAATGATCCTCCCTGGCTCAGGTGTGGAGGGGAACAACTCCTGCTCCCTGGTGTGGCCAACCTGCAGAGCCGAGCTTGGGCACGGTGCTCACAGAGTCACCGTCTCCTCTCTGCCAAGGTGGCCACCTTCTGTCCTCCTAGTCAGCAGGTGTCAGGCTAGGGTCATTGCCTCAGAAGGGCATGAGGGGAAAGAGGAAGGGCTGGCTGACTTCGGTGGTAGCGACTGTGCCCTTCTTACATGGATCGTGCGGCCCTAATGGCCACGGTGCACAGCGCCCGCTCTGTGCCCAACCCTGTGCTGCCCACCCCTCCCCCTGCACTAACATCCTCCCCTTGCTACAGGTCCCCCAACTCTGGCTGTCCAGGCCAAGTGTGATCCCTGCTTGTCTAGTCCGTGCCAGAACCAGGGCATCTGCCACAACGACCCCCTTGAGGTGTACAGGTGTGCCTGCCCCAGCGGCTATAAGGTGAGTGGAGGCAGATGCCGGGGAGGAGGAGGGCTCCTCCTGTGCACTGCAGGGCTGTCCCCAGGGCCCGGAGCACCGCCTGACTCAGAGCAGATGCTTGAGTGAACCAGTAATCAGTGACTTAACATATGAATGAATGAAAGAATTAATTAATGGAGTGGACGAATGAATGAATGAAAACAAGTAACTCCTGGGACAGGGAGAGGCTGAGCTGCTGAGGGTCTGGCTGGCTGTGGGCTCATACTACCGGGTCTCCCTGGGGTCCCCATCACTGACTTTCCCCCCAGGGCCGAGACTGTGAGGTGTCCCTGGACAGCTGTTCCAGTGGCCCCTGTGAAAACGGGGGCACCTGCCATGCACAGGAGGGCAAGGATGCCCCGTTCATGTGAGTTACCTGGAGGGGCAGGAGCCTGGTGAGTGCTGATGGGTCCAGCACCTGTGCTTCAGGGCCCTCCTTTCCCTCAAGGATGGCCCAGACCTTCTGTGCCCTGGGGGGAGGTGGAGGCACACGGTGGGGGGCAGGCATGTACTCCAAATCATAGCCAGAGGGCTCTCCAAGCTCACTGGGCCAACCCCTTCCTTGCCCAGATGCGGTGGGAGCACAGAGAGACCAGTGGATGCCTGAGCCATACGGCTCCCCAGCTCCAGGGTTGACCAGGGCTTGGAGTGGGCTCTGCTGCCTCCTGCTCCAGGCCTTCTTCCTGCTCCTACCAGGTGCCATGGGGGCCTTTTTGAAGGCACTGGGAATCCATGGCCAAAGCATACACAGTGCAGTGCCAAGGACCACAGCAGGGGTGTTTGAAATTCCTATAAATTTCCATTCAGGCTGGGCGCGGTGGCTCACGTCTGTAATCCCAACACTTTGGAAGCCTGAGGTGGGTGGATCACGAGGTCGGGAGTTTGAGACCAGCCTGGCCAACATAGTGAAACCCCACTTGTCCTAAAAATGCAAAAATTAGCTGGGTATGGTGGTGGGCACCTGTAATCCCAGCTACTCGGGAGGCTGAGTCAGGACAATCGCTTGAAACTGGAAGGCGAAGGTTGCAATGAGCTGAAACTCTGTCTCCAAAAAAAAAAAAAAGAAAGAAAAGAAAATTTCAATTCATCCCAAAGCCTCCAATCTCCCTCGAACAGCCTGCTCCTGACCGTGCTGCCTGCAGGCAGGGACCTGGCCAGCCCCCTCAAGCTGCCACCCTGAGCCCCTGAGACACAGCTGGGGCTGCCACTGGGTGGGTGAGGCCTGTCCAGAGGTGGGAGCCAAGGGCTGTTTGCTTTCTCTGGGGTTCCCCCATCTCATGAGTCACACTGGGCACTGTGGGAGGGGATAGCCCTCTGGCCCTGCCCTTAGCAGCCCATTTTCTGCTGTTCAGTGAAGGGGCCAGCCCTAATGACCCCATCTCTTAAGTCCTTCCAGAGCTGACATCACAACGCAAGCCCCTCCCACTGGCTGCTTCCCCCAGGACCGCCCAACGAGCCCCACCCTCCCAGAGCTTTTCTGAGGAATACATAGTATTTAGTTGCTGAAAGTAAATTGCTGGCACAATACATTGGCTCTTCAGAAAATGATGTTGAATTTGGGGGCAGAAATGGCTGAGCCTGCCTCTGCATACCCAAATTACCAGATGTAAAAATGAATCACTAAATGGCCTCTCTTCCCCCAGTTGCCTTGGAAACGGCGTCCTTACACTCTGCGCCTAGCTTCCTCTGAGCAGCTCCCTGGGTGCGCCCTCCTCATTCCTGAGACGCCTCAGCTGGGGGCTGAAAGGACACCCCCTTCACCCTGAGATGGGGAGATGGGGCATCTCTCATCTCACCGCCTAACAGACTGGGGGCTGGGGGAGTGGGCTCTCCAGGTGGAAAGGGGGTGCCTCCACGAGTTACCCCTCAACCCCGAGGCTCTCTGGGGCGCCTGTTATCCCCTGACCTGTGTCCACTCCCACTATCCTGCCCAGCTCCTACCACAGGCCACTTTCTGAAATGCGAAGCTGACCCTGTCACCCCAGCTTAAAACCCTGCTGCTGGTCCCCTCCAGCCTTCAGGGAAAAAAATTTAACCGCAGACCATTTCCTACAATAGTGTCTTTTTACTCACAGACTCCCCAAACACATTCTAAAAACTAAACACTCCCTCACACATCCTTAGATTGACAGCTAAAATTTTCATTGTAAGTTTTTCATTGCCAAGGAGGTAATTTTCCAGATATTGTAAATATTATTAACATTTAAAAATAAAACTATCGCTTTATTTGGGAGGCTGAGGTGGAAGGGCCTTAAGACCAGTAGTTGGAGACCAGCCCGGGGAACATGGCAAAATCCCCATGGCAAATCCCATCTCTACAGACAATTAAGAATTAGCCAGGTGTAATGGCGAGTGCCTGTAGTCCCAGCTTTTCAAGAGGCTGAGGAGGGAGGATCGCTTGAGCTCAGGAGGTCGAGGCTGCAGTGAGGTATGATCACACCACTGCACTCCAGTCTGGGCAACACAGTGAAACTGTCTCTAAAATAAAAAAAAATTAAGTTTTAAAAATATGACATTAAATCACTCTTTTATCATTCTCTAATGCAATCTAAACAGCATATCATTTTGACACTTTTTTTTTTTTTTTTTTTTTGAGACAGTCTTGCTCTGTCACCCAGGCTGGAGTGCAGTGGCAAGATCTCGACTCACTGCAACCTCCGCCTCCTGGGTCCAAGTAATTCTCCTGCCTCAGCCTCCCAAGTAGCTGGGACTACAGGCATGCACCACCACACCCGGCTAATTTTTGTATTTTTAGTAGAGATGGGTTTTCACCATGTTGGCCAGGCTGGTCTCGAACTCCTGACCTCAAGAGATCCAACCACCTTGGCCTCCCAAAGTGCTGGAATTACAGGCATGCGCCACCACACCTGGCCAATTGGACACCATTTTAAAATGACACAAACAAGTTCTTCTTTAACAGTTGAACATTTTACCTTGTTCTTTTTTCTCCTCTAACTAGTATTTTATTTTACTCTTTACCCTCCTGTCTTTTTTTTCTAACCGAATATATTTTTATGCTAGAGTCTTTTCTTGAGTACTCTGTCCCCAACATGGGTACACGTAAGGTAAAACTTAAAGTTTTTTTCGTATTTCTCATCACTATAAGCTTCTGATTTAAAGTTTCTTTTGCAGTGAGTTATCCCTACAATAATTTGAAATGACATAACTGTATTATGGAATTGGGTTGAAGATTATTACACATAGAAGGAAAATTTTATTAGAGTGTCTCTCTCTTAATGAGATGGATCGGGTGCTTTTTCGTTCTTTTCTTCTCTCAGCTGGCATATGGGTGCATGTTGCCGAATGAGAGAGGACACAGTGGTTGATCTTCCCCTGTTTCGTTTTGTTTTTATAGATATACATGCTGGGAAAGTTTGTTCATGTAAATAAACTGGTGAGATTAGGAGTTTTATTATAGCCATGTCACTTAATTCTTTGAAAGCCCTCCCAGTTTATATGCCAAATCTCCACAGTGACCTGTCATCAAGATTATTTTTAATGTTCTATCAGCTGACAGTTCCATGAGGCCTTCCTTCGATTACTTCCAGTGCACAGACCTGGAAACCTCTTGACTTAGATTGCATGTAGTCATTCACTTTCTAAACATCAGGATTCCTAGCTGCCCCTTTATTTGGTGCCTGGAAGCATGCCCACCTTTCTACCTGTAGGGCTTGTCCCATCACCCCCCAGTCTGTAAGGGCTGGGGCTGGGACAGATGCCACCATTTTAGAGTTTAGGGAGGAGCTCGTGCAGATATTTGAAGATCTGGAAATTAATTTCTTGGACCTCTCTCTGATTCACACACCCCTTGGAAACCTTGGCTGCCCCAGGGGAAGGTGTATCCTGGTTTGAAGGTCACTGATCCCCAGGGCCCCTCATGACCAGGCTCCTGCTCACGGCAGCCCTTTGCTCACCGTGCCTGAAGTCTGTGCTCCGGAAGTATTGGACTGTGTGGATGGGCAGGGCCCCTGGAGAAGACTGGCTGTGGGGTTCCCTTCCACTCCAGGCTTTTTTTTTTTTTTTTTTTTTTTTTTTTTTTGAGACAGAGTCTTGCTCTGTCTCCCAGGCTGGAGTGCAGTGGCGTGATCTTGGCTCACTGTAACCTCCCCCTCACAGGTTCAAGCAATTCCCCTGCCTCAGCCTCCTGAGTAGCTGGAATTACAGGCACATGCCACCATGTCCAGCTAATTTTTGTAATTTAGTAGAGACAGAGTTTCACCATGTTGGCCAGGCTGGTCTCCAACTTCTGACCTCAGGTGGTCCACCTGCCTTGGCCTCCCAAAGGGCCGGGATTACAGGCGTGAGCCACCGCGCTTGGCCACTCCAGGCTTTTACGCACACCTCTGCCCCAGTCACCTTCCTCCCCTTCCTGCTCTCCCTTGTCAGGGTCCTTGGCTAATTCATCACCTCCTCCAGGAAGCCTGCCCTTATCACTCTGTGCCAAGGAGGAGCCAGGTGTCTCCTGCCCCTCTGTGCCACCTCCCTGGCTTCAGTGCTTACACCATCCTGGTCCTCACTACCTCTCCTCTCACCACCCATCTCCTCTAGCCTCCCCACTAGACTGTGAGTGAATCCCATGAGGGCAGGGTCAGTCTTGGTCACCTCTAACCCTGCCCAGCACCTGGCAAGGGCCTGACCCGGAGTAGGGACCCTAACTCTGTGGAATGGTGATATTGACCAGTAGCCACAGGCTTCCACCAGTGTTCCAGGAGGGCTGTCTCTCCATCCTCCCATTCCCCGCACAGGTGCTCCTGTCCCACCGGCTTTGAAGGACCAACCTGTGGGGTGAACACGGATGACTGTGTGGATCACGCCTGTGCCAATGGGGGTGTCTGTGTGGACGGCGTAGGCAACTACACCTGCCAGTGCCCCGTGCAGTATGAGGGTAAGCGCGCCAGGGCAGCAGTGTCCGGGGGACGTGGGGGACAGAGACAGCCCTGAGCCCCCAGGCCCAGGAGTGGAAGGGGGTCCCTGCCTCAGTGTCTGCAGGAGGATTCCTGTGGGTCTGGCCACCCAGCAGAGCACAGGAGAGCAGCTTCTTTCCTGCCCCTTGCTCGTTCTTTCCCCAGGAAGGGCCTGTGAACAGCTGGTGGACTTGTGCTCTCCGGATCTGAACCCGTGTCAACACGAGGCCCGGTGTGTGGGCACCCCGGACGGGCCCAGGTCAGTGTTGCCCCTTTCCAGGGCCAGGGAGGAGCTCGGGCCCCTGAGTCAGACTGGATTCCAGTCTGGGCTCCGCACCCCACCCTCATTTCCTCATTTGTCCAGTGAGTCTGGTCTCAGCCCTACAGGGTTCCTGAGAATCCATGCGGGGTTGGGGTAGAGGGGTGATGTGCCCAGCTTTGTGGCCACAGAGACCTGGGTTTGCAGCCTGACCCTGAATGTGTCAGTTGCCTGCCCTGAGCTTGTTTTCTCATCTGTAAACTGGGCGCAACAGTAGCTTCCTCCTGGGGTGGCTGCAAGGGTAAGATGAGAAAATGCATGGAAAACGCTTAGCTCCAGGTCTGGCATCTGTGAAGTGCTCCAGGCTATTATTCCAGATCCACCATTTCTTATCCCCAATTACAAAATCCACAAAGTTCAGGAAAGCATCCCATCTCATGGCCAAATCTTATCTGACCTGGACGTATTTGGTAACAAAAGCTGCCCTGCACTGGTATGAGATTGCTTTTTGTTGTTATTCATCCCGTGTAATGTGAACATGTGTAGATTTTGTGGCAGAAATGTGAATAAGTCTGATTATGAGGTTGCCTCAGCTCCTACCAGTAGGTTGTGTAATATGCATTGTCTGACCTTACCAAAATCTAAAAAGTGTTGAATTCCAAAACCTGTCTGTCCCAGGAGGTTTGGGTAAAAGTTGTCGGTCTGTATTTTCATCATGGTTGTTATCGGCATATGTGAAAGTGTTTGTTACTTGAAGACTGCTTTATAAAGGTCACACATTTTTAAAATAATGCTTCCCACTGCAGTTTTGCAAACATAGTCTCATTTCTGGGACCTCCCCATTCCACCAGTCAGGCCAGCAAGGGGTGGTCAGGGCAGAGTTTCCTGGGGCTTGTGGCTGAGGGACCCAAGCCCAGGGACTCGGATGGAGTCCCCCAGGAGCCCCCTGTCTAACTGGAGCAGCCTGAGGCCCATGACAGGAAGCAAGAGTCCAGGATTGTTGAGGCCTGGTTCCACGGTCGATGGGCCCACAAGAGCCTCCATCCAAATGGTGGATGGACACTGTACTCCTGCGGGGGCTCCCAGGGGTGGGGCTTGGCAGGCAGACCAATCAGCAGTGGTAGATTGGGCAGCATGCGCCCTCCTTGGAGGGTGGGATAAGGCAGGACTGCACATTGTCCAGCCTGGAGCTGCTAGCACAGTCGCTCAATCACCAAGGGTAAGCACTGTGCTTAGCTCCGGACCCGGGGCTGTGGCACACAGTGGAGTGTTGAGTGCGTGTTCTCTTAACTGCCTGTCCTGGTAGAAAAACAGAACTGACATGCTCAGCTGTGCCTGGCATTACCAGCAACCCAAGACACATATCCAATATATAGTCATTAAATGAATGAACGAGTAAGTGGTGGCTTAGCTACTATAACATTTTTCAGACTGTAACTCCAGACTCATTAGTAGATTGTGATCAATTGGATATAAAGGGAGCCCCAGCCCCTGTTTAATATTAATGTCAAGACTAACATTAAAAGATGAAACAAAGTATCAGAGAGCAACATGCCATCTTATATAATAAGGATAATCGGTATTGTTGTATGAATCTGGTTTCGAGTGTGTGTGTGTGTGTGTGTGTACATACTGGGCTTGAAAGTATTTCTTATAGCCCGAAAAACACTGGACAAGGAAATGAGTAAAAAACCCAGGCAAGAGCACCCATCTGCCAGGTTGCGTGATTGAGCTTCAGAGTTAGGAGTTTAGAAGGAGATCAGACAAGGGGACTGCTCAGTGAGGGCTGGAGTGCTCTCTGGAGGCTTCCTGGAGGAGGTGAGCTGGCTGGACCATGCTGGGAGAAAGGAGACAGTATTCTGGAATCCACGGGTGTGAAGGCAGGGAAGTGCTTGGTGAGGTGAGTTTGGTGTCGGGGGATCAGGAGGCCTGTAGGACAGAGAGCAAGGCCATTACTAGAAAGGACTACTGGAGTGTCCTTCATTTATTTGATAGGCAGACAGTAGCCCAAAGGGAGTGTTTTGGGCCAGCAGTGAGGCATGGTGGGAGCTGGGAAGCTGGGGGCTGACCTGAGGTCAAGGCACCCACTGAGCAGGGGGCACTAGCCCTGCTGAGGACTGGGAGGCTGGGGAAGGAGGAGTGGGGGAGTCTGTGGAGCTCAGCCACGTGGTAGCGGGTCCTGGGAGAACAGGGAGGGTGCAGCTGAGCCGCTGGAGAGGTCGGGAAGGGGCTGACACTTGGCCTTGGAAGTGCTGTTGCTGGTGAGGGTGGGTCCTCCGTGACAAGACTCCATCTCCCCCTGCCACTGGGGTCTACTCTTTCAGCCCCAGGCCTCTACCTCAAGTCCACGTGAGCTCTCTTCTCCTACTAGGAAAGGCTCCCAGGATGGGCTGGGGCCCTTTTAGATCCAGAGCTCTGTGTGACCTCCTGGAGATCCCCACAGCCTCAGTGGAACTTGAGGTTCTCCCTCACATGTACAGACTGTGTGTGGGGAGCCCTGGTGCATCCCTGGCCTCCCAGGCTCCGTGTAGCTGACCCCCCAACTACCCATGCCCCCCCCACACCAGGTGTGAGTGCGTGCCAGGTTACGCAGGTGACAACTGCAGCGAGAACCAGGATGACTGCAGGGACCACCGCTGCCAGAATGGGGCCCAGTGTATGGATGAAGTCAACAGTTACTCCTGCCTCTGTGCTGAGGGTTACAGGTGAGTGGCCCCTGGACACACTAGGAGTGACTCCTTGTGGCTGTCAGCCCCTGGGGTGGCAGGAGCCTCCAGCCATGCGAAGGAAAGGGGTATGGGTCAGAGCCTGGGAGTTGGATGCTGGGGTTTTAACCATGGCTCTGCCAGTCACCAGCTGTGCAGCCTTGGGAAAGTCATGTAACTGCCCAGGGCCTAGGCAGAGGACCCCTAACCTGTTTGGTGCAGGGGGTGAGAGGTGGGTGCAGATGACAGGGCAGTGTGCTGTCACTTATCTGCCTAGCTGAGCCTCTGAAGACATGTCCTGCCACAAAGGTTATCTACCAGCCCACTGGGCTCCCCCGGGAGGTTGGAGGGCCCACCCTCTCTCCAGCCACCCATATCCCATGCTCCGCTCACTCATTTGTTAAAAAATAGCTTTACTGAGATATAATTCACGTAGCATACAGTTTACTCAGTTCCATGTAAAATTCCATGACTTTTAGTTTATTCCCAGAGTTGTACATCCATCACCACCATCGATTTTGAACATTTTCATTTTCCCCAAAAAAACCTCATACCCCTTATCTGTCACACCAGCCCCTCTTCTATCCCAGCTCCAGGCAACTACTAATCTCCTAATATTTGTGTCTATATATCTGCCTGTTCTGGGGATTTCCTGTAAGTCGAATCGTCGTACAATCTGTTGTCCTTTGTGACTGGCTGCTTTCACTGAGCATCATGTTTTGAGGTTCATCCGTGTGGTAGCATGTGTCAGCACTTCATTCCTTCTTATGGCTAAACAGTGTTCTGTTGTATGGACATAACCACATTTTGTTTACCCACTCATCAGTTGATAGGCTTTTAGGTTGTTGCCACTTTTTGGCTATAATGAAGACTGATCTTATCAACATTTGTGTACAGGTTTTTATGTAGACATACATTTTTAATTATCTGGGATATATACCTAGGAGTGGATTTTCTGAGTCATATGTTAACTGTATGTTTAACTGTTTGAGGAACTACCAAACTGTTTTTTCCTAATGGTTGCACCATTCCCACCACCAGTATATGAAGGTGTGAAGTGGTAGCTCATTGTGGTTTTGATTTGCATTTCCTCAGTGGCCAATGATGTTGAGCATCTTTTCGTGTGCTTATTAGCCACTTAAAAATATCTTTTTTGGAAAAAAAATTCTATTCAAGTTCTTTGCTCATTTTGAAATTGAGGTATTTGTCTTTTTGTTATTGAGTTGTAAAGGCTTTTTATATATTCTAGACAAGCCCCTTATCAGATATATGTTGACAAGTATTTTCTCCCATTTTGTTGGTTGTCTTTTCTTGATAATGCACAAAAGTGTGTAATTTGGGTACATCTAGTTTATTTTTTATTTTGTTGCTTGTGTTGTGGGTATCCTAAGAAACTGTTGCCTAATCCAAGGTTATGAAGATTTATACCTATGTTGTCTTCTAAGAGTTTTATAGTTTTAGCTCTTATATTTAGGTCATTGATCCATTTTGAGTTAATTTTTATATTTGGTGTGAGGTAGAGGGCCCCACTTCATTCTTTTGCATGCAGATATACAGTTGTACTAGCACTATTTGTTGAAAAGATAATTCTTTCCAGTTGAATGGTCATGGCACTCTTGTCAAAATCAACTAACTTTAAATGTGAGGATATTTCTGGACTCCAAGTTCTATTCCATTAATCTGTATGACTGTCCTGATGCCAGTACCACACTTTCTTGATTACTGTAGTTTTTGTAATATATTTTGAAATTAGGAAGTGTGAGTCCTCCCAGTTTGTTTTTCTTTTTAAAGATTGTTTTGGCTATTCTGAGTCCCTTGAATTTCTGTATGAATTTTAGGATCAGCATGTTGATTTCTGCAAAGAAGTCAACTGGGATTTTTTTTTTTTTTTTTTTTTTTTTTTTTTTTTTTTTTTTGACGGAGTCTCGCTGTGGGGCTGAGTCAGTGCGATTCAGTACTGGTTCGATTCTTGTATTTTTTTTTTTTTTATAGAATGGTTATAAGGATTCTATCTGAATCTGTAGATCAATTTAAGCTAAGTGGTTTGCCTTTGTTTTTTTTTTTTTTTTTTTTTTTTTTTTTTTTTGAGACAGAGTTTTGCTCTTGTTTCCCAAGCTGGAGTGCAATGGCACAATCTTGGCTCACTGCAACCTCTGCCTCCCAGGTTCAAGCAATTCTCCTGCCTCAGCCTCCTGAGGAACTGGGATTATAGGCGTGTGCCACCACGCCTGGCTTATTTTTTGTATTTTTAGTAGAAACTGGTTTTCACCATGTTAGCCAGGCTGGCCTTGGACTCCTGACCTCAGGTGATCCACCCATCTCGGCCTCCCAAAGTGCTGGAATTACAGGTGTGAGCCACCATGCCTGGCCCAGTATTGCCATTTTAACAATATTAAGCATACTGATCCATGAACATGAATGCCTTTCCATTTATTTAGATCTTCTTTAATTTCTTTCAACATTTTATAGTTTTCAAAGTATATGTTTTGCACTTAAAAAATTTATTCTTAAGTATTTTATTGTTTGATGTATTATAAAGGAATTGTTTTCTTAATTTCATTTTTTGTTTGATTTTTGTGCATTAATCTGGTATTCTACAATCTTGCTGAATTATTTCATTAATTCTAATAGCATTTTAATGGACTCTGTAGGATTTTCTTATACAAGATCATGTCATCTGGATGCATTTTATTTCTCCTTCCTTCCCTCCTTCCCTTGCTTGCCTTCCTTCCTTCCTGCCTGCCTGCCTTCCTTCCTGCCTTCCTGCCTTCCCTCTCTCCCTCCCTTCCTCCCTCCCTCCCTCTCCCTCCCTTCTTCCTTCATTCCTTTCTTTTCCTTTCCCTTTTTCCTAAGTGCCACGGCTAGAACCTCCAGTAAAATATTGAATAGAAATTGTGATAGCAAATATCCTTGTGTTGTTCCTAATCTTAGGAGAAAAAAATTCAGTCATTATTAAGTTTGATGTCAGTTGTGTGTTTTTTGTAGATGCCCTTTATCAGGTTGATGCAGTTTACTTCTATTCCTAGTCTGTGGAGTGTTTTTGTCATGAAGGAATGTTGAAGTTTGTCAAATGCATTTTCTGCATCTATTGAGATGAACTTTTTTTTTTTTTTTTTGCTTTTTCATCTATCAATGTCATATATTCCATTAATTGAATTTCAGAGGTCAAACCAGCCTTGCATTTCTGGCATAAATCTCACTTGGTCATTGTATACAATCCTTTTTATGCTGTACTTGATTTGCTAGTAATTTGTTGAGGATTTTGGTGACAATATTTATAATAGATATTGGTCTGTAGTTTTTTGTGATATCTTTTGTTGTGATGTCTTTGTTTTTGGTATCAGGGTAATGCTGGTCTCATAGAATGAGTTAGAAAATGTTCCTTCATTTTTTATTTTTTGGACAAGTTTGTGAAGAATTGGTATTTATTGTTTTTAAATGGTTGGTATAATTCACCAGTTAAACTATCTGGGCCTGGGAATTTTCTGATTACTAATTCAATTTCTTTACTAGTTATAGGTCTATTCATATTTTCTATTTTTTTCTTGGTTCAGTTTTGGTAGTTTGCATATTTCTAGGAATTTGTGCGTTTCATCTATGTTATCTAGTTTGTTGGTATATCATTGTTCATAGTATTCCTTTATAATTCATTGTATTTCTATTAGGTTGGTAGTAATGTCCCTTCTTTTATTTCTTATTTTAGTAACTTGACTCTTCCCTCTTTATGCTTGTGTCTTAAATCTCAGTTTTCTTTTCTGTAAAATGTATATAGTAAAATCTGGCTTGCAGAGTTATTGACGTTGTCAGTAATCACCTTGGATCTTGTTAAAAAGCAGATTCAGTGGGTTTCCCATTTCTATCAAGTGTCCAGGTAATGTTGATGCTGCTGGACCAGGGACCATACTTGTATCCTGATATCCTTCTGGCTCTTAGCTCTCTCATGAAAAGTGTTTATTAGGAGCATCTTCTGTCACTTTAAGAATCCATTTTCTCAAGATGTTTAGTGTATTTCTCTCCAGGGCTATGGGAGAGGAAGATACCCCCTTCCTCCTCGGCCCTCTCTGACTTGTGTCCTTTCCTCTCAGTGGACAGCTCTGTGAGATCCCTCCCCATCTGCCTACCCCCAAGAGCCCCTGTGAGGGGACTGAGTGCCAGAATGGGGCCAACTGTGTGGACCAGGGCAACAGGCCCGTGTGCCAGTGCCTCCCAGGCTTCGGTGGCCCTGAGTGTGAGAAGTTGCTCAGTGTCAACTTTGTGGATCGGGACACTTACCTGCAGTTCACTGACCTGCAAAACTGGCCACGGGCCAACATCACATTGCAGGTGCGTGCCAGGGGGCTTGGTCACAGAGGGGAGTCAGGGAGCAGGGGACCCTGGCTTAGGCCAGAGCATCAAGATGCATCCCTGCATGGTGCCTGGGGAACTGGAAGGACTCTGTGTAATCAAAACTTTTTGCATATGGGTATCAAAATCTCGGCTTGAACTGATTTAAGCACAATTAGAAAGGTTATAGTGTCACAAAACCAGGGCAGGGGTGGATGTGGTCTCATGGGTAACTGAATCCAGAAAACCAGACTTGCCATCATCCCCTCCCACCATTTCTTGTCCCATTTCTTGAGGAGGCTGCTCCTCAGTGTCTGCCTCCAGTGCTGCAGACGGGCTTTCTATGTGTGGCTGGAACGTGGCCAGAATTAACTTTGGGCTTATACCTTTAACCGTATGTCCCTAGGGTCCCTTAAATTGTCCTTTTCATGCCTTCAGTTCCATCTCAGAACATCTTCCTATTGAGGGGAAAATAAAGCAAGTCCCACTTCAACAGCATTGATGAAATATATCAATATTTTGCTAAATATTTTTGGGGGATGGAGAGGAGAGTGGCTTATATTGCACAGCACATGATAAAGAACGTTAAACTCTCCTTTAGTCATCTTTCTCTTTCCCTCGAATTCCATTCCCTGTCACAAATGCCACATCTTTCTTCCCTCTCTTTTGTCCTCTTTTCCTTTTTTCTCAGAACTCTTCAGCCTCTCAAACATGTGCATTCTGCTCTCTTCCCCTACGTCACATCTCCAACATCCTATCCACTTACATAGTCTGCATGGCAAGACAACAGCTAGCCTAACCGCCAAAAATAAAATTCACCAAAACCCTAACCAGCCATTGCCTCGGGCACGTCCTTGGTTTATCCTCATCTTTTACCTGACAGTGATTTACAAAGGCTCTTCCTTGCCAGCTCTAATTTGGTCAGCTCAAGGAAGATCTCTGATTGGCCTGGCGTTAGTCACATGCCCATCTCTGAACCAGCCGCTGAGTCCAAGGAGATGGGACAGTATGACTAGACAGCCTGGGTCATGTGCCCAGCTCCACAGACCAGGGGGCTCAGGGTCTTTACCAGAAGAAATGGAGGGAGGAGGACAAGAGAGGGAAAAATGATCATGGCTCCTACAGCATCTTAGAGGGATCTCCCTCCTGAGGCAAAGATCTCACTTTTGCTTGCACGGTTCCAGCGACAGACATTACCTTCTGAGTGGCTCCTTCCACTAGGCTTGGATGACTCTGGCTGTCAGAGAGCCTTCCTGAACTTGTCCTCTCTGTAGTTCCCCCACTCAGCAGCTAGCTCCCCAAGGCCCACAGAACAGGGCTACCCACACCCTCCAGACAGGGGTCCCAGTCTAATTTTCCTCTCTGGGAAGATTGTCCTGAGGTCTCCTGGCTGCTTTTCCTGGCACAGAGTTTCCAGGCCTCAGTGGCCCGTCACCCTTCCCTGCCCAGACCTGGCCAGGCTGGCAGTGGATGGGGCTTGAACCAGAGGCTGCAGCCCCTGTTGGCGCCCCCTGGAGGAATGGCCTTGGGGAGGCTGGCCAGGTGGGGGAAGAGAGCTCTGCACAGAGCATCTCTCTTCCAATCTTGGGTGCCCTCTCTGCCCCACCTGCTAGCCTGTGCTGCTGCTGCATGGGGTGGGGTGGGAGAGAAAGTGCCACTGCCCATCAGGTCTCCACGGCAGAGGACAATGGGATCCTTCTGTACAACGGGGACAACGACCACATTGCAGTTGAGCTGTACCAGGGCCATGTGCGTGTCAGCTACGACCCAGGCAGCTACCCCAGCTCTGCCATCTACAGGTAGGGCTTCCTCATGCCCCCCAGCTGCCCTCAGGGGTACGGGACTGCCAAGGCGAGGTCTCCTGGGCCAAAAGCAGGTGGTTATCGAGACCTCTAGAAACCTGGGCTGAGTTTGAAGGACACTTGAACCATCTGGTTTAGCCCCAGTTTGGGTCTGAGGTCTCTGAGGCCTGTGCAGTGGCCCCGTCCTTCCCCAACCCACTACCGCCTTAGAGGAGGCTCCTTAATGGGGAGGGGGAGACTCATAAGTTTGAGACCCCTGCCTCAAACCTCTCAGCCTTCCCCAGGGAGTCCAAGAAGGGGAATAAGAGGGATCGGGTTATAGGCCATTGAGCCCCCACAGTCCTTTTCCTTAGAGATTTGGTCTCCTGGGGAGAACCTGCTGGTGTTTCTGGGGAAGTGCCCAGGCAGGGATGGTCCAGACTGACACCCACTCCCTGGGATGGGGAACCCCCTCTTGTTCCAGTGCTGAGACGATCAACGACGGGCAGTTCCACACTGTTGAGCTGGTCGCCTTTGACCAGATGGTGAATCTCTCCATTGACGGTGGGAGCCCCATGACCATGGACAACTTTGGCAAACATTACACGCTCAACAGCGAGGCGCCACTCTATGTGGGAGGTGAGGACCTGGCCCTGGCGGGGTCTCTTTTGCTCTCTGGCCTGAGGCCAGCCAGGAGAGCTGGTGCCTAGGGACTGCACTGTGGGAAATGCCAAGTGGGAAGATGGTCCTGGTGGTGGCCAAGCTGCAGGTGGACTGGCCTCGCTGCCTGGAGGCCCAGCTGCTCTCTGCCTGGCCCAGACTGACCAAGAAGGATAGACGCTTGGGTTGGGTGCAAGGCCTGGCTTAGGGGAGGTCCTGGGACTGTCCAGGCTGTCTGTGACACATTGGGCACCTTTCCTCTTGGTTTTGGGCTAGAAGGGGCTTTTCAGTGGCTTAGGGTCCATTCCCAGTCTTGGGGCCCTCAGAGGCCCAGAGCCACTGCAAGAAGACTCAGGTATGGAGTCCCTGCATCAACCAGGGACTGCCTCGGCTGGCCTTAGAGGCTTTGCAGGCTAGATGACCCCATCGACCACCTGCAAGCATTTCTCGGTCTTGACAAGCAGGCTGTTGGATGCAGCGGGGCTGTCTCCACACCCTGTTGGGGGCGTGCTGAGGCTGGGGCAGAGGTGAGGGATGGCCCTGGGTCTCAGCCCAGCTCCGCAGCTTACTCCTTGTGCAGCTTCAGGCCAGTCATGAGCATCTGTCAAATGGGGCTTAGCAAGCCCTACTTCAGAGGGCTGCTGAGAAGGGACAGCCACAAAAGCAGTGACCCAGCGCCACACATGATGTCTCAGCCCCACCCCTTTGCTACGGCTGGGGTCTCCGGGAGGTAAAAGCTGGTGTCCCAGGTAGAGAAGGCGCCTTGGCGAGGGCAGCCAGACTTTAGGAACAGGCACCTCAGAGCCGCACGTAGCAGCTGGCCACCACCAGGCCTGACACCCCAGCTCCAATCACAGAGGAAGCAGCTTTTCCCTTTCTTCTGGGAAAGGAGCCTGGGCCCTCCAAGGTGGCAGAGGACCTTGGATCAGGGTTGTAGAGATGAAGGACAGAGGCCGCAGGCAAGAGGGAAGGCCATGGAGCTGCCTAGACCTCAGAGGTGGGTGCCTGGCATAGCCCGAGCCTGACTCAGCCCAGCTATGCTCTCTCCCCTACCCCAGGGATGCCCGTGGACGTCAACTCAGCTGCCTTCCGCCTGTGGCAGATCCTCAATGGCACTGGCTTCCATGGCTGCATCCGAAACCTATACATCAACAACGAGCTGCAGGACTTCACCAAGACTCAGATGAAGCCGGGCGTGGTGCCAGGCTGCGAACCCTGCCTCAAGCTCTACTGCCTGCATGGCATCTGCCAGCCCAACGCCACCCCGGGGCCCATGTGCCACTGCGAGGCCGGCTGGGTGGGCCTGCACTGTGACCAGCCTGCTGATGGCCCCTGCCATGGCCACAAGTGAGCCTGGGGCACTGGAGTCGCATGCAACTCCCTTTGTTTCAATCTTGGGAACAGAATAAAGACCTGTGAAGTCAGGGCTGGGTGGGCTGCGTCGGGTGGGGCTTGGCTGGGTTTGTCCTCACAGCGCTTTTCTCTGTCCCCTGCAGGTGTGTCCATGGGCAATGTGTGCCCCTCGACGCTCTTTCCTACAGCTGCCAGTGCCAGGATGGGTACTCGGGGGCCCTGTGCAACCAGGCCGGGGCCCTGGCAGAGCCCTGTAGAGGCCTGCAGTGCCTGCATGGCCACTGCCAGGCCTCAGCCACCAAGGGGGCACACTGTGTGTGTGACCCCGGCTTTTCGGGCGAGCTGTGTGAGCAAGGTCAGGGGCCCCCCTCCTGATGTGCACTCCCCAGGGTCCCCCACAAATTGCTTTAGCAATTTGACTCTTTCTTCCTCCCAACCTCGGCAGCCCTTCTGTCCTCCCCCAGCCCCGTACCATGGGCTGCTATGGGGCTTTCAGGGTCCCTCCACCCTCTGGGCACTGCTCCCGGTCTCTCCTGGCCCAGTTTGCCCTGCAGCTCCCTTATCCAGGGTATGCGCCTCTTCTGGCTGGGGTCTCTCCTTGCAGAAGAGACCACCCAGGGTAACAGCTCCTGGCCCAACCTCTGTACCTTGGCCCCATCACCTCATGACCTGGGAGTGGCAGCAGGAAGTCTAAGGGTTGGGGACTCCTTCCCAGGCCATCCCTGGCCTGCTTGACCAAGATGGCTTCTGCTGGAATCCGGACTGTTAAGGCTGGGCAGGGAGAAGCTGGAGAAACCCAGAACTCAGGCACCTTAAGGATCCCCTAGGCCATCCCCTCCCCAGCACGAATCCTTTTCATAATGTTACTGCCTCCAGGGCCTCCAGTCTCTCTTGCACGCCTCTAGCAATGGGGACCTCGCCTCCCTCCGGCAGTTCAATCTGTCCTGGAGGGCCCTGGAGCTAGGACCAGACTGTAGGCCCTGGGAAGAAGCTTGTGCATGTCAGCGGGAGGCGGAAGTATGCTGGGGACAGAGATGGGGTCTGAGAGCCAAAGGATCCACCCCACAGATGCTGCCCTACTCCTCCTCTTCCTTCTGCCTCCCTGGAGGCAGCAGCTCACCCATGGGTGTGCCCTGAGGCTTTCTTTTGGTGTCTGTCCCATCCAGAGTCCGAGTGCCGGGGGGACCCTGTCCGGGACTTTCACCAGGTCCAGAGGGGCTATGCCATCTGCCAGACCACGCGCCCCCTGTCATGGGTGGAGTGCCGGGGCTCGTGCCCAGGCCAGGGCTGCTGCCAGGGCCTTCGGCTGAAGCGGAGGAAGTTCACCTTTGAGTGCAGCGATGGGACCTCTTTTGCCGAGGAGGTGGAAAAGCCCACCAAGTGTGGCTGTGCCCTCTGCGCATAGCGCTGGGCGTGGACAGGCGGGTGAGGGTGGGCAAGGGGGCCCAGCCGCTGCAGCAGCAGAGACAGTCGCCAGCAGCTGGGCTGGGGTGCAGGTCATCACAGGACGGCTCCTGGGCAGCTGGGCCCTCCTGGATGGGGTGGTGCCAGAGCAGCCTTTTAAAAGCAAATTGCGCCATAGCTGGGGGCAGCGGGGGTGGGCGAGGCCTGAGCTGCGGGCTGCCCTCTCCGGAAGTGCCTTGCACAAATAGGCGCTTAATAAATATTTGTTGAATGAATGTGTGCGTGAGGTCAGGCCAAGAAGTGCAGAACGATGACACCCCTCCTTATCTGCTACCTGAGTCTGGAGAAGAAAAATGACAGCTTTCCAAACCAACCCTTCCCTCTGGCCTGTGGCCCAGGCTGGCTTGGAGCTGGGTCCGTGGCCCCGGAAGCCTCTTACCCCTCTGCAGGCAACCACGAAGTATTCTCAGTCTCCCTGGGCAGCCAGCCTGGTTCATTCTGCTGCTACAGAATCTGCTGGTGGTAGGCTAGGCTGTGGAGCGGGGATGCCGCCTCCTGCTGGCCAGGGAGGGTCGGACCCTTCCCCGCTGGATTGACTGCAGCCACTGCTTGGGAACGAGGCTGTGGGTGGAGGTGGTTCTTAGGACCAGGCCTCTGAATCCTAAAGTTCTAGGATGACTACTGTAGCTTCAAGGAGGACTTATGTGGAGGAAACAGCCACAGGGGCTGCTTAGGGTGGCAGACCCCACCAAAGAGGGCAGGGGGTTCTTTGCTCTAGGTAAACAAACATCATCCGCCTCCAGACACTGGCCACAGAAGGGGTATTGGTCCTGGGCTTCCCCAGCCACCAGTCAGCCACAAGCTGTCGGTGACCTATTGGCAGAGGGACTGGGTGTGAGGGTCTGGCCCAGGGTGCTTGACCAGGGAGCAGCTGGTTCAGAGTCCTTCACACTGCAGGCCAGTAGGGAGCAGTGGAAGGGACAGTGCTCCAGGCATTGGGAAGTCCCCACTGGCTCTATCAGTCGGGGCAAACTTTTCCCTGCCTGGGCCTCGGGTTCCTCAGCTGTAAAATGGCCGGAGGTAGGGGCAGGATGACTAAAGGAATAGTGCAGACTCCCCGACTGTGGTCTTGGGAGGCCAGAGGAGTTAGAAGACCTATTTTCATTGATCACATCAATAAGTATATATGTGCCTAACCCAGGGCTGGGGACTGCTGATTAGAAGGCTAGAGCTGGGGTAGAGGGTGCCTGGCATGTCCCATGCCACAGGGACTCAACCTAGCAACTATGAGTCCTGGGGTCCCTGTGATGGGAAGAGGGCCCTGCCCTGCTTAACGTGGGAGGTGTCCTCATGGCAGGATCTGCCCCTCACCAGGGGGCTGGGATCTACTTGCTTGGAGCTCTGAGCAAGGCCACAATGTCTGGCCCCACCCGCAAGTAGACGGCAGCCTGGGCCTCATGGGGCTTCTCCCAGGACCACATGGCATCCCTCTCTTACTCTGAGTTTCCAGGCCACGTTGGGACCCTGCAGAGCATCTGCACCGGGCTGGATAGGGCAGAAAAGCTCAAGAGCAGCCATCTTGCCTCTTCCCTGGAAGAAAGCTGCTCTGGGACTCGCCAACCCTGAGAAAGATAGCTTCCCTGGCCACCACCATTCCCCACCACCCTGGAGAAGTCAATTCCCAGGCTTGAAGGGCACTGACTGGCAGGAGGCCTCTTCATTCTGCAGGAGGTGGAAAGGGTACCTGTAGACAGGTGATGCTTACCCCTCACCTGGCGCCATGGGGCTGGGAGGTGAGCGGCTGGTGTGTTTGTTCCCAGGGAGCACCATGTGAGCTTAAGGCTCCCCTGACCAGCCCCACCACATGGTCCAGGCTCCTAGCACAGCAGCGCTGACCTCGGTGCAGTCTGAGGATTGGAATCCACCATGAGATGAGCTGAGAGCTGTGTGTCCCAGGACCAACTTTTTCTCCAACTTGGCCATCAACCAGCGAGTTGCTAAGGACTTGAGTCAGCACTCACGTTGCCTGTTCATACTCCGCTTGAAAGTCCGGAAGGCGGCTACTGCGAAATCGCCCCTCTGAGAAGTCCTCTCTCCACATCTTGCCCCCCTTTGTGAAGACCCCTAGTTCGCTCTGCATTTTAGACATGAAGAGATACAGCAGGGTGCGTCCCGAGGGAGCTGTGGCCTTGCAACACCACTGGCAACAGGGCCGGGGCTCCCGGCGAAGGTGTCAGGAAGTGGAAAAGGCTGGACTTTGTCTCCTCTTTGCCTGCTGGCAGCCTAACCGCAAAAGTATCTCTTTATACAGAATACTTACAGATTCTAATATATATTTGTATTTCATTTTGTTATAGTATTTTTATATGTTAAAGTCAACATCCAGCGTCTTGTTTTGCCTTTCAGATGCTATGTGGTCGTAGCACGTTTTGTTGGGGGTTTCTGTAGTCTTGTTTGAATCGACTCCTAGAGGCTGGTTTAGAACAGGCCCGTTCTAAACGGTGTGAGGAAGCCGTTTAGAGGGAGCCACACCTGCCCTGGAAGTATTGTTTTAGACTATGTCGATGTTGTCGTCTGTTGTCTTCCATGTGAACATGACATTGATTCACTCTGCCTTGTTGGTCTCTTTTTCTCCACCGAGAAGCGGGCCCGGTGCTGCTAGCATTCTCTCCTAGGGCTTCTGGGCTGATCACATATGGGCCATCATCCAGGGGTGGCTCCAAGGGGCTATACACGTAGGACGTCTGTTCCTGGAACTCCCTGCCCTTCCTGAAGTCCATTCCTTCTGAAGAAGGAGGGGGCCCTGGGAGAGGGGTCTGATAGACCCCCGGGGTCTGTCAGTGCATGGCCGAGCTGGGGAGGCTGCTCATCCTCATCTCCCTTCAAGTAATTGCCGTGACACGGACATTCTGTAAGTTTGTGCAGAGTCACACCCATCTTTAATCTGGCTCTGAGGGTTTCGGAGCCATCAGAGCAATCAATAGTGTGACTTCTCAGATGTCCTGTGAGTTTCACTTTTCTGTCCCTAGCACAGTGGCTCTTAGAAATTGGTGGAGAAAGCAGGCACACATACGTCTGCAGTGGCTCCGTCACCATTCAGATGAGAACACTGCAAGCACAATTTTATAGGACTCAGGATGGATGTCTGGGTAAGGCCAGGCCCTGGCAGGCAGGCTGGGCAGGGTCACTGACGCTAAACGGAAGCCTGAGCCAGGACCATGAGCCACAACCATGGACAGATTTCCGTGGAAAATTGGGCCAGGGCAATGGTCATACAAACCACACCTTAACAGCACATGGGTCATCTTGAAAGTGGCCAGTTGATATAACTTCCGTGCCTTCAAAAAATTTAGGGATTTTGGAGGAAATGTAATGAACAGTGTGCAGGAGAGAAAATGGGTTCCAATGGGGTTGGACGCTCCTGTCTCGCAAGGCCAGTCGGTTGGTTACCTGTCAGTCAACTGACCTGTCGTTTGTGTCGCCACATCTGATAAGGCAGCACGCACACAGACCCATTCCCCTGCCATGAAGAAACAGTGATCAAATGGGAACTGACAGCCCTGAAAGGCACGTTTTTCCAGTCTCATGCCAGCTGACTCTTACCATGAGTTAGACTCAAATCTTCATCTTTTCCATTTTTTTTAAAAGAGAAGTCAGAACTCTCAATCTTTATGTAAAGAAAAGCTCAAAGTATTTTTTTAAACACAAGGCTAAAGAAACACATCTGTAGGCCACCAGTTTGCTATTTCTGAGTTAAAGAAAAATCAGTGGCAAATTTCACTGCTAAAAGGAAATCCCCAGCCAAGGGAATGGGCACAGCCGGGCTTGGTTGGGAGGATGGAGGCCAAAAAGCAGTGCCCAGACTTCCAACAGGCAACATCCTGATTACTAGGGCTGCCAAGTTTTTCTGAGATTGGTGATGACACCTCTATCATCCCTAAACCCAAAGCCCTCAGAGTTAATTTTTGAGATGTCCCCTCACCCCAAGGCAGCCAGTCTGCACCTCTTGGGTATTTTCGTTATTCCACTACAGGATGACTACTGGAGGAAAAGAGGTCTATCTTAACAATTAAAACAACCAATCTGGAATGAGGTAGTCTTCCAAATTCAGACTCAGAGGGGTGGCCTGGCAGTCAGCTGTGGGGTTATTTTTGCTGGAGGTGGTTCTGCACAGTGATGGCACAGTCAGATGAGCTTCTTGTGGGTCCTTACGTTGACCCACTTCAAGCAGAGTTGAAAGAATACAATGAAAAACCTCATGAGGCTAGCAAATGGAAGGACTTTTTCTGCCACACTCCAACAAAGGCGTTGAGAGCTGGGCAGCCCTGGCCTGTGGCCTGCACACTTCCCAGTGGCTAGCCTGAGGTCAGGAGCTTGCCCTTCATTGCTCCCTGTCCCTCAGGATGAAATGCTGGCACATTTCCAGCCCTGCCATGGGAATCTCAAGGATTCCTCCACTGTCTTTTCTTTTCCCTGAAGTTAGGCAGAACTCACAAAATGATGTATTACTGACATTAGCAAATAAGGCTTCTCTAAGCCCTGACACTTGGTGGAAGTATTGCTTTGTGGTTCCTTCTGGCAACTTATCAATTTTGCCTTAGGCTGCAAGTTGAATGACCGGCTCCAAGGCATTCTATGCCCTCTTCAGTGACTACACAGACACACTTGAATATCAAAGAAGTTTAATACGCTGCCATAAAATAAGCGCCTTGGAAAAGCTCATGGAATAGATGTCAATGTTAGAGAAACCCCTCCCACACATCCTCTGGCTCCACACCCCATCCCTCAAAACCAAACAAGAGAATCTGAAACAACACAGGAAATCCTTCCAAGCTTGGATTTCAGTGAGGGCCCCTCTACCAATAACAAGAACACAGTTTCCTACATGGCCTGATAGGAAAGCAAAACACAGAAGCACAAGAAGTCTACAAGATTTCAATATTTAAGAGACTTGGTACATATTCAAAGTTAAAATAACTCCAACTTTTATAGCTATACATATTGTTTTAAAGCAACTTAATATATTTTTAAATTTTATATATACACTCTCAAAGGTTCTTCAGGTGAGGTATGTAAACATTGTCTAATGAAAAATTTCAATGTTTCAAACCAACAAATTCACAGCATACATTGAATTTTCATCCATTAAAGACACAGTATATTCCTACACTCACTAACATAGTAGAAATCCAGGCCCAAGAGATACACACTGATCTTCTGGGTTGCCACTTGCAGAATTTCTCATTTCACTGCTCTGGAAAGACACTGTCACACAGGCCGGGAGCACACGCTTGGTACCAGGACGGTGCTAGGCCCTCTGGAGGCCCTGTCCTTGGGCAGCTGGATCACTGGCTAAGACTCACAAGACAGCAAAAAGAGCACAACTGAACAACTACGAGATCGACCTCGGCAATGACAACACTGGGAGGAACCAGAAAGACCTTTAAAGGAACGGTAGAGATTCATTTTAGAGCTCCCTGAATCCACAGCCGGATCAGCAGCCCCTGTCCTAAACTCATTCAGAAGGGTTGCGGCCTAATAAGAATAAAAATCCAACGTGGCACCTGAGCTTCAGTTAAATTGCATGGGCCTCCTATGGCCCCCTGGCCCCTCAAAGGCATTCACGCTAGCCTCAATTAGGGCCCTGGGCTGTGCTTTTCATACAGGTTGGGGATGAATTTCTTAGTATTATAATGCATACGAGGAAATAATGCCATGAGTTTACAAAGATGACCAATGCTTGCACACAGTATTGGCCAATGACCTTGGAGGAGCTCAATTTTGAAAACTACTTGTTCCCTGAGGGTAAACAGCAGGCTTCTATTGAGATTAAATGAGGCTAATAAGGGGATTTTTCATACAAGGTAATAAGACTTGGGGAGCCTCAGGCCAGAATTCTATTGTACCCCCACATAACCTACAATGCCCCATTCCCCCCACCCCCTACCACCACAAGAAGTAGTCACCTCCCCAATGATACAATACAGGTCAATTTCTTTCCTCTTGCTTGCCTTCAGGATCAGCAAAGGAAAGTTTTATCCTAATGCACCCACTTCAATCTAAAAAAACACTAGTGAAAAATTCCAAACACCATCATAAATACAAAAGAGAAGACATATTCCAAAAGCCTAAAAAACTACATTACTTCTATTAATGGTTATCTGGGTGTGGGGTATTTATTTTCACAAAGTTTAGGACGGTCAAAAAGAGAGGCTGCTTAACAGCTTTAGAAATCTGCTGAACTGGACACGCTGGGAAAAATGGAGGAGTGACTGCCCTCTTTATACTGACCTACATGGTGTAATCCCAGACACGAAGGCAGCTTTAGACATTTCAAGCCCAGGCACAGAAGATGCTTATATGAAATGGGCTAGCTTTTAACGGTAGGTCAAATATAGCCAAAGGACATTGAACTGGCCACTTAAATTTCTATTGTAAGAAGTCTTACATTTACTCTATAGCCAAATGAGCTTTGCCTCAACTAGATTCTGGAAACCCTACAAATTCATGAAAAATTGCAAATTTTTCAATCTACACACCCAGTTTTGATGTGTCTGGTGCTGGCAGATTTCTCATCCATTGCTAGAGTTTTATGACATGAAGGAGCGTGCAGACAAACAGAAGCAAAAATTCAAGTACAGCAACCTCTCTGGCAAAGGCAAGAGGTCTTAGCAAGAGCTGTTCTACCCCCACCCTATCCTCTGAGACAAGGGCCAATGTGGGCCCCGGAATAAATGTTATTACCTAGGATCTTATTGCTTATGGGCAACACATCAGAAAGAACACCTGGAAATCTGCTCTGCAGATCTGGGTACTGACCACTGACCAGTTTATCATACACCTGTGTGTGTGTATATATATATATAATATAATATAACCAGATGAGAAGAGGGGGCAGTTAAAGCTTAGATTTGATGTAACATTACAGATCAAACGCCCCAAACAGCTCTCAACCTGCTGGTTTTTGTTCTTTCTCCATGTGTGAACTGTGTTATGAAAGGAAGTCCACTGCTCAAAATATATTCTATAATACTACGATGCAAACCAACATCACTCAAAACATGAATTTGTATACAGCACAGGTAATAAATATTTTTAGAAAACTATTTACAACATTACTTCTTGTGAACATTTAGACGAGAGCAAAATTTATTTCTTCCTGCAAAGTTAAAAAAGTTCTGACTGTCTAGTTCAGTGCTAAATTCCCTGGCACCTAGTTTCTCATTCACATTTCATCTTAAAATCAGATTTGCTTACAAAGTCTCTTAAAAAAAAACATTCTCCAGCATTACTGTTCAAGTGTCTGCCTCATTCGTTTAGAAAAGACAAAGGGAGGCCGTAAGAAATATGCAAATTATGGTTCAAATGGATGACAAAACCCCTGCGTGCCTAGTCCCAAAGCTCCCTGCTGTCCTGGAGTTGCAATTCTCAGTCCAGCCAGCCCTGCACAATGAGGATCATGACTTACATGGAGGTGCCCAAGGACAGGGCACAGGGAAGAGGAACATGATCATAAAGCACTGGTTCCATCCCATCCAGGGGTGCTCTGAATTGTAGGACAGGACTCCTGAGAAGTAAAGCTGACCACATCTTAGAACAGATGGTATCATTCTGTAACCACTGGTTACAGGGGGGCTGGCCCACATCTGCACAGATGCACACTGAGACAGGCAGGGGAGGAGGAGGAAGAGAAGAGCCAGGTGCTCACAAGCATAGTCAAGGTGCAGAAGATAACATGCTTATCTCCCATGATTAATGAGAGTGTGAACAGTGTCTTTCACCAACATGAGAGAGGAACTAGAAATACACCTTAATGCTTTCTCTAGGCAACCAGTGGTTTCTCCATATCTCACAGGCATGGGTTTGGGTTTCCTTGGGGCTACAACTAAGGCTCATTTTCCTGTACAGGCTGTTAAGTGTACAGCTGAATGTACCAACTGTGCATGCAAGAAGTAGACTGCGTGGGGCATGCCCGATGCCATGCTGGCACAGCCATACCCACGATGGGAGTCCCACTTTGTTGTGGGATGGGGTGACAGTGGGGAGATGCGCTTCTGTTGCATCTGCCTAAATACAGTGAGGGTTTCAAGGCCACACCTTTCTGCTTTCACTGTTGTTTGGGGACTCAATGGTTGAGCATGGTAGCAGGGGAGGATGGGTGGCTAGAAAGAACACTTTTTGGAAAGCCCTTTTGACAGTTAATTTTCTTGTTAAAATAAATACTTTCTATAGAAGCATTTGAACAGGAAAATATCACTATTTACACAGTGAAATAAATTCCACAGTGGTGTGTATAAATATTATATATATGTATTTGAAACCAGTTACTAACACAGTCTCCGAGAACTATTTAGAATGCAGAAACCACACTAGTGAAATCAATAACCTTAAGCTATAGTGGCTCTAAAAATAATCCCTACCTGTGGTATAAATATACAAAATTATGCAAATCTTGTTTGTATAGTCTCTTTCCCAAAAATTAGCTCCCAAATACTGCAGCTTTAGCTACAAGACAACTATGAGGTGCAGATCATAGAAAACTGGGGTAAAAAAAAGTTGATAAATTGAATAGCATTTAAACCCAACAACTAAATACTAGAGGAAAAACAGAGTTTTGAGATAAAAATGCTTCTAATGTGACGAATTTGTGTTCAGGGCTGCACTGGGCAAGTGGGGGACTGTCCCAGAGAATATGCCTCCTGGAAGGGAGCTGGCGGCATAAGCAGAGGCAGGAGGAGGAAGGGCAAGGTGCCAAGGATGGCTCCTCAGAACCAGCAGGTGGCTCAGGTTGGACTGGAGAGCCCTGAACTTGTTCTGTCTAAAGCTGCCGGTGTCTTGACAAGATGCCACAGACATGCTGGTGGTTTTAAGAGAATGTGTGGTCTGCACTCGAAAGTCAAACAGGCAAACACCAGGCATTTATGTTCGTGTATCACGACCAGAGCTTGAAGAGTGAGAAACCTTCAAGTATATGATACAAAAGAGAAATGAAGCGTTCTAGGGGTAAAACCAACACATCGCATACTTTCAGGGAGAGGCACTGTTCTTGGCTTTAAGTTCATGAGTAACTTGTTTGTGCTGAACTGCTGTTAATGGAATGTCTACCACAGTCAAGTTCACTCTGATTCATAAAAATGAAGACTGTACTTTTAAAGACTGCATTTTTAAACTATATACCCTAATAGATATGATCACATGCCCACAATTCATTAACAAGTAGACAACTGGCAAAGGGGGATAATTTTTCTTAATGCAAAAGCATTATTCAGGAATAATCTGTAACAGCAGCTGTGTACTGAGATGCACAGGCAAGCTACTCTAAAATCTAAAAGAATTGCTGGACTGTATGAAAAAATGTTGGACTATATGAAAAAAAAAAAAGTTCTGCCTGTCTACACAATTTGATCTTTAATGACTATTGCAAGGATCAGTAGAGCTTTTATACAAGAGTCAGGAAGTAAATATTTTAGGCTATGTGGGCCACATATAGTTGCTTTTTTTTTTTACATAACCCTTTAAAAAAGGGTAAAAAATCCATTTGTCCAACCCCTGGCATACTTTAATACCGTGAGTACCTGATTTTTTTTAAATGGACAGTCTATGCTTTCGTGAGGCATGCATACTGAGCACCCCGTGTGGGATGGCCCCAGCTAGGGGAGAAAGGATGTGTGTCTGTGCTCACCCGGCAGCATAACCACACAACTGCCCCTCTGAACAACGGAGCAAAGGACATCTCCTGAGCACTGAGCATCAAGCACTGAGGCTCTGGGAAAAGGAAGATCAGACAGAGAGGAGGTAAGTGGAAGGAACTGACCAGCCTCGGTTCAATCCCAAGGCAAAAGCCTGAGCAAGGACACACTCCACAAAGTGCTCAGGGTGGTTCCCCGGGCTTCAGGACGGCATGACACGGCACAGCACAGCAAAGCCCTGAGAGCTCTGAGTTTCTGCCCGAGTCTGATTATCTATAAAGGAAAGAGGCTGGGTCTTCAAGTCTTCCAATCCATCCATTGTAGAATACAGGACTCTGTTCTGAGGTTTCAAAGGATGAATTATATTGAAGGCTGCCTCAAAAGACTTCCCAGTCTGGGCAACACAGCGAGACCTCATCTCTGCTAAAACTGGAAAAAAAAAATTAGTTGGGTGTGGTGGCATGCACCTGTAGTCCCAGCTACTCAGGAGGCTGAGGTGTGAAAATCTCTTTGAGCCTGGGAGATGAAGGCTGCAGTGGGCGTCATAAAAATGAAGATGACTATACTTTTAAAAAACTACACTTTTAAACTATATACCCTAATAGATAAGACCATACGCCCATTGCACTCCAACCTGGGGCGACAGACTGAGACCCTGTCTGGGGGCGGGGGGGGAAGGCCCTTCCACAATTCTGCTCATTTTAAATACAATAATCTTTTTATTTTTCCCCTGAAAAGGATTTGAGAGCAAGCATGGGGAAGAGCACTTACTGCTAGGATATGAAGACTGCCTTACACAGATTGATTTTATACTTAAAAAAAATTCCAGTATTTCAGTGGATATCAAGTCATAGTAAGACATCAAAGTAATACTAAGAATTCAAAATGATAATTGTCTGTTTCAAAACAACTAAAACAATCAGTGATTTGGGGCCACTGACAAAAATTTTTCACTGACAAGACATTGAATCACATTAAAAAAAAAAAACAGCAAAGAAACTTATACTTGTGTTGGTGCGGTGGCTCACACTTGTAATCCTTTGGGAGGCTGAGGTGGGAGCACTGCTAGAGGCCAGGAGTTTGAGATCAGCCTGGGCAACACAGCATAACCTCGTCTCTATTTAAAAAAAAAAAAAAAAGATATATCCCCTTATCCTTGAGTTTTTGGAGAAGGAGGAAGACTTTAATAGTTTTTCAGTCATACTCTGGTTATGACTCCAATTTTTTAAATCATTATTAAAGCACTTCAAAAGCCTCTATGTTTTATTTGTTGGCTTACCTTTAATAAAATTATTTTGAAAGCACGTGACTGAGAAGGTATCAGTGCCAACACATTTTTATTTTCCTAAAAGCTGAACAAAATATATAAGAATAAACAATGCTTGGGTTTGTGATCAGACTTTGTTTCTACTCTGTGAAAAAACGTTTTCCACATCTAAATGTGACATTCAGAGGACTAAAAGTCCAACTAAAATAGTCTCAACTAATTTTACCAGAAACAAAATCTTGGTTTACTTTAATAAAGAAGAAATAAAGCCAGAGTCAGTTCTGTGTGAGTGAAATGAGAGGCCCCGGCCACATAATTTTAGAACTCTGAATCCCTATTTGCTAATGGGTTCTGGCTCCATAGGGTAAGGTGGCCTTATTTTGGCTACTGTGATGGGTTTTTTTAAAGAAAGATGGAATGCTACGGTTGCTCAAGTTTAAGGGGACAGTAGTGCATATCGATATAACATGTCTTCTTTGTAGCAAGATAACTATAGAGGAGTAAAAGAAAACAAAATTGAGACAAGGAAAACAGGAAGTAAAGAGGAACAGAGAGAAAAGGGCAGAAGAGAGAAGGAAAATCAAGAATATTTGTTCCTGAAAAGGATGACTTTCTCAAGCAGGGTCAGTGATGTTTTCTGAAGGTCCAGATAGTATCTTAGGCTGTAAGGGCCACACGGGTCTCTGCTGCAGCTACTCAACTCTGCTCTTGCAGTGTGAAAGCAGCCGCAGGCAGTACATAAGAAAATAGGTGTGGCTATATTCCAAACACATTTTATTTACACAAACAAGTGACCAGACCAGTTTGCAGACCCTTGACAGATCATCTGGAATCTGAAAGGCAGCTCGCATAGAACCTGCCGATAGTAACACTACAGCATCTCCAGCTTGTATCACACAGCAAGCTATATTTTCCTATTTGACTCTTAGGTCCACTAATCAACAGGAATGCTGCCCATAAATGTGAATGACAGCTCCCACCCTCACCACCGAACCCATTACAAAGCAGGAAAAGAGGTCAAACCTCAATTCAAAGTAACTATCTTAAAGTGATGCCTTCTACTGATGACCTATCTTAACAGTGAGAAATTCACCTGCATAGTATGTGATACATAGAAGATCCCATTAGAAAGCACCACGTATGTAAAGGGATGACTAAGGGCGCCTCTTCTACCCATACAATTTTAGGAACAATACAGCAGGAGACTCACAGCCTAAGATTATTGTTTTAGATAAGGCTGCATAGAAGTCTTTAACAAGGAATCCAAGGGGCTAGCGACTGGTGACTTACAGACATTAATAGCATTCCTATGAAGGAAGCCTCAGGAGCAGAACAAAGGTTCGCAACCTTCCTGATGTGCTGCAAGATTGTTACCTGTCTGAGGAAGTGCTGGGGTGAGGCTCAGAACCCCAAGTGAGGGAGTGGTCTCCTGCGTGTCCATCTATAGCAGGAGTCTCATGGGATAGAAGATGGGTATTCTAAAGAGGGGCCTCCTCTAGGGGAGCTACGGCAGCTTCAGGGATTGCTTCCCAGGCATCTTCCAGCTTCTCCAGAAACTCAGAGAATACCAGTGTCCTTTGGTCATCAACTTCAGCCCCAAGACTGGGACTGTCATTTCACCAAGTGTACACCCAGGAGCAGAATTTCCTTTCTGATTTGGAATCGGAATGTGAGATGGACTGCTTTTGCATTTGGTGGTAAGCCATTCTTGAAGATGGCTCTGGGAAGAAGGTTTCTGCAATAACAGAAAACAATAACAGACTTGAGTCAATCCCACGCCTGAGACTGGAGGTGTCTGGGAAGCTGCTTTGCCAGTACCTGCTGTAGCTATCAAAGGGCCTTTCAGGATTGGCCCTCAGGTTTTGCTGTTTTCTTTCTTCTATTAACAAAATTAACTGAATCAGCAAAAGTGAGATTCAACAAATATAAACATTCTAAACTTTTAAGTGTCATAATTATGTAGACTCTCGGTCTATTTAAATGTCCTTATTATAAAGTATAAGTTGATTTTAAAGATGATCCATTGCATTGTTAGGTATATAAAATACATACATACACATTAACACCTTTTCTCACACACAGCCTAGAATGGGAAAGAAGGCTATTATCTGTAAGTGAGTTTTTAAAAATGAAAAAGAACTTAGAAAACGAATGGAATGAATTACAAACTTGGAACTGGAAAAGTTCCACCCACTCACTACCTTACACCTCTCCCTAACCTAATCCAAGCACCTTACAAGGTAGTCTGTATGCAGCCAAGGGGGCACCTCCTCTGTACGGGAATCAGCATGCCTGACATTGGCAAACATCAGCTGTTTAAGTCACCACAAAAACAATATCCAGTGACAACTATATGAAAAGATATTTTTAAAACCTTAAAACCATTTAAGATTAAATGAACCTATTCAAAACACATTAATGCCTCTGTGCAACTTAATGCTGAGAAAGAGTTGCCAACATACACACTCAGCAGTTTCATTAATATAGGCAGCTCTTGAATGGCCCAAGTCAAAGATACCAGAAAAAAAAAAAAAAGACTCATCAGACAGAGAAGATATGAAAAACAGTCAGGGCTTCATAAGATAGTAAGCTTCTCTAGCTATGAAATTCAACACAATTCTAAATTTCTCACCAATCAAATACTTTTCTCCAGTTTTATCCAATCATCAGAAGTTTCCATGATATACAGCAAACCTTTACCAGAATGGGTAGAAGGCCTGTATTATCATGATTTTCAGGAAAAAGTCCATCTGGGCTTATCTAAAGAGATCTGAAACAATCTAAATGGAAAATTTTTAAATAAAAAGGACAGGGCAGCAGCTGTCCACACAAGCCGATTTTGGTGACAGAACAGGTTAAGGAAGCTGGATGAGGCTTCAACAACCAAGCCTTTTTTTGCAGAGTGGCCCAATGGAAAAGTCAAGTACATGCTGCGTTGTAATCATGGAGCAAAGTCATAGGCACTAGGTTGAAGCCAATGCGCCAATCTCAGGCTTCACCTGGGAAAGGCAAACAAAGTCATTAAAACATGGTGGTTCTCACTTCTGAGACACGGAACAGAGCCTGACATGACATGGCAGGAGGGATACTACAAGCATTTAACTACTAGGATGGTGTTAATCAATCAGAATGAATATCTACTCCAACAAGTACATTCACATTGGAGCATACAGCTAAACATCAGCTCTGGGTGTAGGGGGTGTGTGGGCTCCCCACAGATGTTGGAGTTGCTTCCTTTAACTGCAAGGCTGCTCTAACCTTTACATAATTCTATGCTGTTTTAGATCTGAGTCTGGTACCAAAGTGGTACTGGGGCTGCTCACAGAGACACTGGGCTACTTTTAAACCACCTGTCCTTTGCTAATTACTCAACTCAGGGACACCCAAGCACATTACATGGGGAAGAAAGAATTTTACTGTAAAATTGGGATTGGGAGACATGTGTGGCTGATAACCACATGCAAATGCACCCAAACACACACGGACATACACATTCTTAAACCTTTCTATTACTGGAAATAAGAAGTTTGGCTTTCTTTGAATATGGAAGTACTCTCGGTAAGAAAGAAAATAAGAAGAGTCATTTTCATCCTAATCATCAAATTACAGCTACAAGATGGAAAAAAAAAAATCCTAGACTTTTCCCTCCCAAAGTAGGATGGAAGCCTTGCAGGAGTGCTAGCAAGACCAGAAATGAAGAAGATGGTGAGAATTAGCAATACAGTTTGGGGATGCAAATGATGTTTTAGAGGTTATAAACAAAATTAACACTTGTGACATATCTCTTGTCCCATGGGCACAAAATTTAGAATACATGCTCTCAAATGACAAAACATCAAAGGTGAGAGGAGGGACCAACAATGAACATGATCTTTTTAAAAAGGGGGTAACAGAAATAGTAATCTTTTATAATTATAAATCCTCTGCATACCATAAAAATGATTTGGTTTAGCTTTCAAACATCATCTAAACAAACAAACAAGACAGAGAGGGAAGTTCACTGCTGGGGTTTGCAAAGAGGGGCATCTGTTCGTGGGCAGATGCTGCAGGGTGGCTGCTGAAAAGCTCCTTTTATGTGCATGATGGTGGTCTTCTCGGCTACAGTACAAGTGCTTGTGCATCAAGTATAAAATACAAGCCTTTAATCACATAGATCAGCTTTTTAGCTTTTGTAAATTTAAAAACAAAAAGGATAAATAAGGCACTGTACTTTTAAAAACGAAAACTGCTTGGTTCCAAGTTTAAAACCCAAGGAACAACCAGAATATAATATATAACTTCCCTTAACCTCAGAGAAGGACTCTGCAAGTTCCCTTCTCCATGTGAGATGCATTTTCGGACATCTCAAATTACGGTGTTCTCCATTAACTGTAAATTTGAAAGGCTTGATAAGCTTATAAAAGCAGATTTAGTTAATGCAAAATAAAAGGTTACTTCTATAGAACAGTTTTACTCTTGGCTACCATCTTTCCAATCACTTTGCATCCAGCCGCCTCCGTTTGCCATGCGAAGAGTCCAGCTTTGCCTTCAGCTTTCGCTTTCTCTGAGCTGCACTGCTCTCTGGGGTTTTCGTTGAGGGTCTGGCCCGAGTCTTTCCACTACTCTGCTTCCTATTCGTGGCTTTCTGAGGCCTTGAAGAGGATTCACTGGCCCCCTTCTGTTTTGCAGGTTTCGTCAGTGTTTCCGAGGCAATAGACTGGGAAGGCCTTTTGTTTGTATTCTCTTTTTCTTTCCTGGAGGGAGGGCAGCTCTTCCCAGCGGACTTTTTAGGGATCTTCACTTTGTTCTCTTTCAAAGATGTCTTTTTGGGGGGTTGGCTGCTTCTGTCCCTTGCAGCTGGCCTCTTGGCAGCAGGGGTTTTGGTGACTCCATCGGCATGCTTTTCTTTGCTGGCTTTCACCGCAGGCCCCTTGTTCTTACCATCTGGAGGGCTGCTGCCTTCTGTTCTCTTGCGTTTACTCTGAACTTCTGCTTTAGGCAAGATTTCAGACACCTGCTTCCCTTTCCGTCCCTTCATTCCTTCAGTACTCTTGGGCTTAACAGGAAACCCATCTACATCCACTTGCAGGGCAAGCTTGGGGGACATCAGAGGGTTGATGCATACGCTCTTACGACTTGGCTTACTTTCCACAGCCAGACCATCTGGGCATTCCATTTTCTCATTCTTGATCAAACGTTGCTGGGCTCTGAGCTTTCCTCGAATATTGGAATATTTTCTAAGAATCCGGGTACTGGCTGGAGTGGGCAGGTTTGCTGGAGGATGGCTGTTTTTATCTTCCTTGACTTCCTCTATGCTGTCTTCAGAATTAGGGCTGGGGCTGACATCACTGCCATCCTCTGGCTCCACTTGATCAGGATTCTCTCGAAATTTAGCCCAGAGCTTCTGCGTTTTCCAATTATTCCTAGCAGGGGTAGCTCCAGGAAATTTCTTCAAGTGCTTTTTCAAGCGCTCAGCCTGTAGTGAACTGGGATATAGGCTGGAAGGAGAGTATTTCTGAAGAGGATGCTTGACAGGGGGAACGTCTCCTGGAAGGCGAGTATTGAGCTTCTTCACAATGACTAGAGACCGGGTTTCAGTTGTCTCTAAGAACCATTTACAAACATTAGATAATTTAAAGTTTGTCATAAAAAGCATCTGAACAGGAGAAAACTTCTGACCCTCCAATGAACCCCTACATTTCCGTGACCTTTTCTTGCTTTTCCAAATCTCTTTCAGTTTATCTGATTTGTTCCTTGCTCTTGGTGTTGGCTGTCCTTCTTTCTCCAACTGGATCCAGCCCTTCTGAACTTTCATGTACTGGGCATTGAAGTTGGCAATGAGCTCTTGGTTCTCCTCCTCAGCACACCATTCCATAAACTTTGGCTGTTCATCTACCACGGTGTCAACATCATCCTCATCTAGGGGGTCTCCACTCTCTGAAGCTCCATTTTCCTTTGGCATTGTGGGGCTTACTTGTGCAGCTTCCTTCTCTGAAGTCACTTTTGAAGCATCCAAGGAGCCCAGAGAATGAGTGTGTCTTAGGTTGTAGGTTGAAGAGGTCAATCTTTTAGGCCTTGGCACCGATTTTGGTGGCCTAGCAGCATCACCACTTCCACTACTTGACAACCCAAGAGAGCTACATGGGGCATCACTGTCATCATCTTTCTGCTGGGTGTTTTCGTTGTCTACCTCATTTACAGCCTTCTCCACATGCTGTGTGGGAATATGCCCTGGCTCTTCTTTTGCCTGTTCTGGGTCCCTCTTACAAGGAATACTTTCTGAGGGGATATGAGCATTCTTCTCATCCATTTTAGACTGAACATAGATTTCCAATCTCTCTCCAGGCAGTGGCTGTCCAGCTGTGGTTATGGGGTCTCTGCTGGGGAAAATCTCTCCTCCTAACTCCTTGACTTCTTTGACCAGCATGTTTTTCAAAGTCTGCCTGGTGATGATCCCCCCTCCTTCGCCCTCCTGCTCGGCATCTTTCTCAGGGGAGTGTTCACTGACACTTGGCTTTTCTGTGTCCTCCAGAGCTTCTGTGTGGAAACTGTCAGGTGGAAGGCCCTCAGGTGTTGTCCCACCAGGGTGCCCTTCTTTTTTTGAACGTTTTGCACTAGGATTTTTAGGAACTTTGATTTCAAGACAAGCTGAGGAAGAATTTGAACTTTGATTTCTTAGGCATCTGTCAGCAGAGGAAGAATCCAAAAGTTGACTTCTTAGGCACCTATCAGAGGCCTCAGGAAATTTTTTACCTTTTTTCTTCTTGTCTAAATTCTCTTCGAGTGAGTCAATGCTTGGATCACACGTGTCTTTTTCTGACAGGCATTTTACATCATCATCCTCTCCCTCTAATTTTCCTGTACCACCTGCTACCTCACTTTCCTCAGTTCCACTGGGGTTTTCATCAGTAAAAGTCCTGCTTTCCTTCAAGAGTGGGTTGACATCTAGCTCCTGGGTGTCTCCAGACTCAACCTCGGCACTGATGCTTTGGTCGTCCTCAGCCTTTCCCAGACTCATGGGGGGCTCCAAGTCCACTGGGGAACTCTGATTTTCTGAGCACTGAGGACTTTCTTCTCTACTGACTGTTTCAGGAGGAGAATGAGGCCTAGAAATGACATCTTCACTGCCTCCCCCAGAAAAGCTTTCAGTGGAGGGAAGCGGGTGACAGTCCTGGGGTACACTCATCTCCTCCGTATCCAACAGTGCAAGTGGTGGTTGGTCGTGTTCAGAAGACATCCCACTTGCTGTGGGAGCTGAGACTGTGGGGCCACCTTCTGGCAGGTCCTCTTCAGGAAGGTGAGCGGGGAGAGGCCACCCCAGGCTGGAGGCTGTCGTTTCCTCTGACCTGGGGGAGCTGCTCAGACTCGGCTTCATCTTTGTGGGGCAAACCTCAGGCTCTTGAGGTTCTTTTCCAGGTGAAACGTCTCCACCTCCTTCCTCGTGAGAGGTTATTTCCTTGCTAGGTTCTTCAGGGTTGTCTTCTCTGGGAAGTTGCACATCTACTGTATGTCTAGGGGCTGAAATTGTAAGGGTCTGCTTAGGAGTGAAAACTGCCTCTGATGCCAATGCTGAGCAGCTTGCTTTTTCCTGGGAGTGTAAATTTCTGGCCAGTGTACGAACAGTTGGCAGTTCACAACAGTCACCATTGAAAAAGTATCCCCGAGTACTCTTTCTGGCTGTCTTCCGAGAAGATAATATTGATTTTTGATTCTCAAAGTGGCATTCTGTTATTGGTTGACTGATATAAACAACATCACACTGGTTATCATAATCATTTATCCTCAGCCCTGATGCCCTTTTACTTTTCCGAGCTGTCTTAATAGAGGTTGATATCATCTTGGTTCTTGAGTGTCCATTTGCTGCTTTGTGTACAGTTGGCATAGGGCCAGGGCCTAACCAACCATCTTTGGAATGATCAAATTGGCCCTTATCACTGGGATGTAAATGGTAACCCACCTTATTTCTTCCCAGCGAGTGAAGATGGTTCTCTTGCTTTGGCCTTGCATCTTGTTCATTTGCCTCTAAGTCCTGGCGCATAGGTGTTTTTGGACACTGTAAAGTATTCTCTTTGTCAGCAGTTCTAGATGAGTTCCCCATAAACCCTGAGTCCCAAGCCTCTTCTGATAAAGCCCTGAACGAATTTCTTTGAGGAATAATACAGGTATTGCCCTCCTCACTATTCTCAGCTGCCATTTTTACGGTAATTAGACTTTCTACTAAAGCTGAACTCTGCATATGGTCTTTACCATCCTCACATATGTTCACATTTGTGTCTTGCTCCTGTCCAGTGGTTTGCCCCTCCAAGTTTTTAGGGATGTGGTGGAAGTTCACTGAGGAAGAATTAGATGCAGTGAGGTATCCCGGAGTGAAACTATCCACTGAACTGCTATTAACAGAATTCGGTTTAGTGGTTGGAAGTTCAGAGGAATCTTTCTGGACAACAGTCAAGGCATTCTCTCTTCCATCTACAGGGTTTATCTCAGGAGGAGGCTCCTTCGGGGTCTGTTCCGTCAAGTGTAAAGGGCTGTGAGAGTCTGACGAGTCTACGAACAAATCTACAGAAGCAGAAGACTTCATATCAAGACACAGAGCATCTTTTTCTTTATGTTTGGTGCTGAGCTGGGCACAGCCAGCATTGCAAGTGGATACATCCATTGCTCCAGAATCAGAAGGCTGCAGGTCCTCAGTGCCTGGTTGAGATTCAGTGTACAGGTCGTTCAGAACACGAATGAATTGCTTTTGATGATGAGTACACAGTTTGACCATAAACTTCTCCAGTGGGGACTTCGACTGATTGTTAGAATCTACTGCTTTTGCCTCTGTTGAGTTCTCCCTAGACAGTGAAAGAGAAAGAAGGAATTAGTATGGTCATTTACCAAAGAACCATTTTTACATTATAAAATTCACCCAATGTTATTCATTTCATTATTTATTTATTTAATTTTTTGTAGATACAAGATCTCGCTATGTTGGCCAGGCTGATCTTGAACTCTTGACCTAAAGAGATCCTCCTGCCTCAGCCTCCCAAAGTGCTGGGATTACAGGTGTGAGCCACCTTGCCTGGCTATCTGTATTATAAAAAGAGTGGGTACTTTGGCCAAAACTGCTTCTAAGTCTGTTCATATACTTTTGATTCAATAAATATGAATTATTTACCTAATTATAAGGTCAGCCTGTTATAGTCTCAAATTTTCATGCTTTAAAAGTACTTTAAAAGTAATCTTCATAGTTTAAAAAGTAATCCCTCAAAAATCATTTTTATTTTAAAGAGAAGAAATGCCGCAAATACATTTTTTTTTCAAAAAACTAAAATTTTGACCACACTATTAACTCTAGTTGGTCAACATATACTTTACTTTATTTTAGGTCTGGGTATTCCTGTTAAATAATCATTGGTTTATAAGTTCACAACACTGACAAGAATTGAGGTGCACTACAGTACAAATCTTGGGTTAGAAGTACTTACAGAACTTACAGTTTTTTTTAGTTTTTATTTTTTTTATTTTTTATGGAGACAGAGTCTTGCTCTGTGGCCCAGGCTGGAAGGCAGTAGTGCGATCTTAGCGCACTGCAACCTCTGCCTCCCAGGTTCAAGCAATTCTCCTACCTCAGCCTCCCAAGTAGCTGGGACTACAGGCACACGCCGCCACACCCGGCTAATTTTTTGTATTTTAGTAGAGACAGGGTTTCACCATGTGGCCCAGACTGGTCTCGAACTCCTGAGCTCAGGCAATCTGCCCGCCTCGACCTCCCAAAGTGCTAGGATTACAGGCATGAGCCACCGCACTCAGCCGAGAACTTACAGTTTTAACATAGTTTCTCGGCATGACCAATTGGTCATGCTAATGCGGGAATCCTTCTACCCTTTCCTAGGAGCATAAAGGAATAGAAATCAATAACTTCACATACTTTAAAAGGTGAGATGACAAGCAAGTCCCAATTCACAGTCTCTTAAGTGAGGAGATAGCTATGAAGCCACACTAAACTGTACAGTAAACTGTACTTTACTTGAGTAAAGTCCCAATTCACAGTCTCTTAAGTGAGGAGATAGCTATGAAGCCACACTAAACTGTACAGGCCTGTCACTGCAAGTAGTATTGTATCTTTACTCAAGGCCCACTTGCTCCATTCTCTAAGACCTTCAATACACCTTTTACAATCATCCACAAGAAATCATTCTATGTTAAAAACCCCTTTCCACCATTTAAGTAAGTCACCCAGGACAAATCTTTAGAGCTTAGTGCAGACAGTGGGGACTGTGTGAAAGGGTGATGCTAGACTCAAGACATGCCACAGGCAATACCTGCTTAGACAGCCAGGCCTTTCACTAGCTGCTTTGTGCTTCTGGATGTCTGGGTTGTACTGAACCCATGCAGTAGGTATGCTCCAATTTCCTGGAGTTTTATATAATTTCTCAAATTTCCTCTCTCTCTGTATGGATTATAATTCCTCAGGAGATTATTATGTGACTTGCCATGAAATATGGCAATGCACAGAGGCAGCTTAAATGTGTAGACAGATGTTTGATAATATCTTCTGGCTAATTCTTTTCTTCAGTCTTTTTCTGTCTCAGTCATGAGACACCTTTACAGGAAGGCTGACCCTAGACAACCCATGTCACCTCCTACCTTCCCACCCTCCACTGGCTTCTGAGCAATGGGGTCACAGAGGAAAAGAGCACAGGCTGTGGAATATGGAGATCCGAGATTCCACCTATGGCTCTGACATTTACTATCTACAGGATCTTAGGCAAGTTACTTCATCTCTCTGAACCTTGGTTTCCTCATCTGTAAGTTGGGACTGAATGTCAGTATCTCAAAGGATTGTCGTGAGATAGTAGATAACATACATAAAACACAAAGCACAAAGCACAAAAGGGCAGGTGCTCAGACAATTTCAGTTTCTGTTCAGGACTTAGGGAGATCTTTAAGATCAAGTGGTGAAAAGGTTGCTGAACATGTCTAAATACAAAACCAAGAAATTAGTCAAATCTGTTGCTTAACCTAAACTGCTTTACCAGAGAAAAGGTTACACTGTGTTTTTGTTTGCACAACTAGCAAGAAAGCAGTTTTAGTCAGTAGTGCCATGGGTTTCTGAAAGGGCCTACATTAGACCATGGATTTGAAAGACTAGAAATGTCTTAGAAAATGCCTACCTCAAACTTTCCAATGATAACTGAATTATGAATACACTAGGAAAAAAGATTATTATAGAAGTATTACAAAAGGTACACAAGTACGGTGAACTCTGAAGTACATGCTGGCGATGGGGACAAAATGTACCAAAGGAAAGAAAAGACAAAAGCAGCTAGAAAAAACCTACTGAGTACTTTTCTATTTGTAAAGCAGACTTAGTAAAAGTTTCAAAAAGGCAACATATGGAATAAGCTCCTCCTGCTTTGCAAGAATGGCAAATACTATCTTCTTCCTTTGGAACAGGCAAGACATCAGTGACACCCTTGGATGAGTTGACTGTTAGGACATTTCCAACTCTCTGACTCAATGAGATGTACAAGGGAGCTCAACAGACTCCTCATACAGCTGCAGACTTTTCTGTTCATGGAGCAGGCAGGAGGAGGCCCCTGCTGAAGGACCCCTGGACCCCTTTAGGAGGACCTTTGTCGCTATGTCTATCAGATGAAAGCAACAGCACAGTATGTGTTACAGGCTACAGTACGAGTGAGGAGGTGGAGAACCAGTAGGTAGTCCTGCTGCTTACTAGTTACGTGACCTTGTCCAAAACACTTAACCACTTCGGGTCTTAGTAGAGTACCTGCCCCATCTACCACTTGGAAATTCTCCAAGGAAAAACCTACAAAGTTTATACAAATATCAGCTACTATTACTGTCAGTGAATCAAATTAAAAGTGCTTCAGTAAAAACCACTGGGCTAGCTGGGCTTGCTAACATGAGCCTGCAGTCCCAGCTACCTGGGAGACTTAAGGTAGGAGGATCGTTTGAGCCAAGGGGGTCGAGGCTGCAGGGAGCTATGATCATGCCACTGCACTACAGCCTGAGTGACAGAGTGAGACCCCACATCAAAAAACAAACAAACAAACAAACTTGGAGATCAAGAACATGCATTAATGCTTTCTTATAACCTAAAAGGAGCACATTTTCTGGATAAAGTTTAACCTTCAAGTACCAAACATTTTAAAGCAAATATTTAAAGATTCAAATTTTTTCTGACGGAAGTCTTTAAAAATTATATCATCTTGGAACATAATTTATTCTTCCTGATACTTGTTATCATTACCATATGGACTATTACTGAAGTTTGGCTATTATTTTTATTATACTAAATTGAATTAGATTAATAGTTTGGGGGGTGACTCAATTAAGTCTGACTTCCTAAAAAGCCACAGTGGTGGCCTGTATTGTATTAAATCTTCTTTCTTATTGGCTTCCAAACAGTGGCTGATCTTAGCAGTCCTACTTCTAACTTAAGGAAAGAATTTTACTCACTAGCTGAGAAGCCATATCCCAAGTGCCAGAATGGTACTTTAAGTAAAAATAAATAGGCTCTGAATGAAAGCTTGAGGAACAGTTTTAGGGGTAAGTACATGAATTTTCTAACCACAACTTCTGCTGCTCAGAAGCCTTTATTCCTTAGTTCCTGGTTCTTGGATATGTTCCTGAAGTTTCCAAGGTAGGTGACTATAAATAAGTGGGATGCCTTTTCAATGCATCAAAGAACATACTCCAAGTGCATTTTAGCAATACACAAAAAAAGGTTGACAAAGGTCTGTGAAGAGGGTAAAGAAATATGGCATCTAATTGTAAAATACTGAAGAGAAAAACAGTTCTTCCTAATGCAAGAAGCACAATCATTACCTAACTCTTTGCAAAAATTTTCTAGGTACTGCTTCATGCCTATAGCTGGGTTCTGGAAGCAAGCTTTAGTACTTGGAATTAACGAGATGCCTGGGGATGAATGACATTGAGGTATGCATGCAGTAAGAAGACAGAGTGCTATGAAGAAAGCTGAAGAAGCACTTTCCTCTAAAGTGATGCTCACACAGAATAAATGAGTAATAATTTAGTCCACAGGTATTATCTAACTTCCTTTATGATTGTGAGACTCTAATCTGCTGCTGTCCTATGTTTCAATAACTTAATAGCACCCCAATATCTTCATTACCTTTAACTAATGGAAGCTCTTCCAAAGGGCCATGCAGCCAGCCCTGAAGCAACAACTGCGGCCATATGGCTCAAGCTAGTCCCCATTAGACAGCCACAGGTAGGTAGGAAAGTACTCCACAATCTTACGGCAAGAGGCAGTGGCGCCTTCAATGCCACCACTAAGGCATGCTAAAGAAACATGTTCAGGATCCACTGAACTCTAACCTGGAACAATGTAATACAGCATATGGATACTAAAAAACAGCAGCATCAGAGAGACTGACACAGGCTACAGCAACCTTAAGAGACACTTAGAGCAGTAGTTTGTGGAAGCTCAGGACAATGAAAAGAATAAACTTTTCTTTCCACAGAACTGCAAATGGCAACCTCCAGAGAAAATGGCATCAACAAAAAAGACCATTTGTATGTTTTCCTCATAAAAAGGATCAGGGACAATGTATAAGAGCAGGTATCAGGGTATTCTTGTCAGCCTGTCACTGGCCAGCTCAAAACCACCCCACCTGGTTTGATTGCATTATTTCCTGAAAATCCTAAGCCACTGTGCTCGGTAAAACTCAATTATCTGGGGCCTTGTGTGTGTGGGTATATACATATACACACACAAGGAGTTTTGCTCTTGTTGCCTAGGCTGGAGTGCAATGGCATGATCTTGGCTCACTCAACCTCCACCTCCCGGGTTCAAGCAACTCTC